AAAAAAAAACATTTCTTTTCTTCAATGTTTATTTATTTTGATAAATCTATTGTTCATATAATAAAAATAGCAAGTTTTTTTTTGTAAAAAAAAAGTATAAGTTTTTTTATTTTTGAATGAATTCTAATAATGGAGCACTACTAAGTTATTGATATTACTAAGTTTATTGATAAAAAAAATGGAAGGCTAATGTTTAAATAAACATTACTACATTTGTCATTAACATGTTCAAAAATAAAAATAACTAAATACATGTGCGGCCCTTCGTTAGCCAACCAGCTGTGCAAGTGGCCCTTCACTCAAAAAGGTTGTGCTCCCCTATTATAACCAATCATTATTAATTAAATCAAATTATACAAAGCTAAACACTGAGTTAGACCTTGCAATTCTAAGGTAAAAACTCAAGGAATGAGTCTTGTGTTTTATTTTTCTATCCTAAATAATATAATCAGTGATACCTTTCTGCTTTCTGTCAGCCTAAATGTCTAGGCTGACTAATTTTGGATTTATCGTTCAAGAGTAATTAACTGATGAAATATGTATTGATAAGGTGTGTGTTAGAATACTTTTAAAGTAGTTCTGAAGGGGTATCTGATATTCAGGGTTCGACTGTAATTTCAATCTTAAGCTGTAAAAATATAATACTCTTTAATGCAGGCAAATGTGCCCCTCTATTAATTTCATTCCTATTGTTCCTCTATGATTGTATGCAGTCCAAAATTTAAACTATGCCTTGTTATAAATAGCTCTTATATTACTTATAGCTCTTTCTGCTTTGAAATATGTCAAAACTTTTTTCCAAACATAAGGAATTTTTCAGACCACTAAAATGTAAAACTGAATTTGAGAGTAATGTTAAGAAATAAATAATTTGTGCAATTAACATTTTTTTATTAGTATTAGGAAAAGTTATAGACATGTTTTAAAATCTTTAATGCTCTATATAATTTCTTGTTGTCTTCTAACTTTGTTAGTCTAGGAAGAATGTATAACTAAAAAATGTATTACAAAAGCCATTTGTAAGGATGAAGTTCTATGTCGAATAGGAAAAAAAATGGTCCATATATCATAATTTTGTACAAAATTTATTTTATTTATTTGTAATTATTAGGGGTTATTGTAACGTTAGATTAAGGTCCATGTTCCCGAAGTCTTGAAAAATCTACTCATAATTTTGTAAATTTGCTAAAATACAGACCCGAGTTTTTCAAAAAATTTCTGAAATCGGTAGTATGTTCAAACTTTTTGTAACGGGTCCGTATTTATTTGACAAAACTTTTCATAATTTTGTGAAAAAGGAAAATTTTGGTTTTAGGAAAAGAATCACAAAAGACATGTTGTACAAGAAGTTTTTTTTTAAAAAAAATTCTGAATTAGAGCATTTATTGGTAGAGTTTTTATGAAGGAAGCACTTTGTCCATCGTTGGACTCAAAATTTTTATAATGTTACCCTGGATTTTTTATAAATGCTTTAATGTATTATAAATGTCAAAGTATTTTATTAGTATTCATGTTTTAGTGTGTGCATTAATTGTCAATTGTTTCAGCATTTTCTAATTAATGAGCGATGGAGGTCTTAAAACTGTGTGCCATTTATCGGAGGAAGTCTGCCGCCGCTCAGTTCCAGTGCCACGAACCACAAAACTGACTGCAAACAACCTTAACTTCCTGTTATTTCTATCCCAAAGCGTGCATCGCTATGGATTGGCAGCAACGTCACCCCCATGCTCACTTTCTATTTGAAAACAGTAATCAATCCATCAATATCCCGCTCTTCTCATTTCCAGTTCATATAAATTCGCCTGTGGCCAGGTGCCAGAGGTGGCTTATTCATCAGTTGTTTTTGACAGAAACTTGTACATAAGATAGTAGAGTGTATATTTTTGCTGCAATCCCATGCCAGAGAATAGTTTTTTGTTGCATGCTTCTTTTTTCTCATCCAATCTCATTTTGAGACATTTAACAAAATAACTTGGGGAAAGGAATAAATAAAAGAAAATCTGTCAATAAAACTAATTGTATAAATGAGACTGCTTTTTTTACATAAAAATAATAATAAAATCCTAAATGTTTTTGTCTATGTATTGTTTTGTAATTACTCATCTGTTTTGAAAACGGAAGTCAAATATTTGCACAAATTGGATTGAATTTTATTTTCATAGCATTGAGCAAGTTGAGTTGTTATGTGTTTTTCTTCTAGTTGCTTTTTTTAAGTATGTTAGAGATTTTGTTTTTGAATTATCTGTCAGGCTATGATAAAAATTTCAATAACTTTTCCTTGTATGTTTCATTTGTAAATCACAAACATCCTTTAAAAGTAATAAATTATTTTGATTGTTAGCATTCTTTTTCGTTTTGTTATGATTAAGATGTACTGACAAGTTTTGACAACATAGATTTGAATTTATTGATGATTAAGAAAATGAATTGTATTATTTACTTTTTAATTTCATTATTTGTTCATTATAATTGTTATCAACCATCATCTTTAAAATATATAAAATAAAATAGTGAAATTTAGTTCAGTACTTGTTGTTATTATAAAGAAAGATTTTTAATTGTTTCAAATATTTTAAAAGCTTTCAGTTGTAGATTAATGCAATGAACCACAACACTATTCCCTACATCTCTAAAGATCTTTTTTCATTACTTAACAATTTAAATCATAAAATGGTGATTGAATTTATTTTAGGCATACCATTCCACGTATATGTTTATTTTAAACCTCATAGAAAAGTAGTCATTTTATTTGAAAGAATTGAAATAAATCCTGATTGAAGCCTTATTTTATGAGATCATTATCATCACTACAATAAGCAATTGTTTTATACATATTTGCTGTTGAATCTCATCGCATTAAAACTGCTGGTTCTGTTTTGGAAAGATTTGTTCAAGATCGATCTTGCAAATTTTTTTGTTTTTATAAAACATATTGCACTTTCTAATGATTTAGTCAAAGGTTCACATTTTATTTCATTTTAGAGTCATTCATAAAAAGTTCTGAAAAACATCTTTTAATAAGAATTTTTTTTTGCAGTAATAAGTAAAGAATACATAATCATGAATTATTTACTGGAATGGATTATCTTTTTGAGTTTTTATCTCAAATTTTGTTCAATGCTGTGAAAAGAAAAAAAAAAACTTTTTAGCCCCTTTCTCTTTGTTCAATTTTGTGGTTCATATTTTTGTATTCATATTCATTAAAACAAATTTTTGTGAATAGATAAAGCCCATACACATTAGAATATGTTGACAATCATAAACTCGTGTTTTATTCATTAGTGTATAAATTATAATTCAACAATTACCTTGAATAACATTAAAAAAAATCAAAATTTACTTTTTGTAATTATTAAATATTCTCATTTCAAAACGACATTATTGATTTTATGAAAGTTTCTGAATTTTTTAGACTTTCAAATTCAGGGTCATTTATATTTTCTTGCTTAAGCAGGCATATAAAATATTTTTGTGAGACATCAGGGATACAAAGTTTTATTTTAGCTTTAAAAAAAACAACCTTTTTATTGTATTTTAAATTGTTTTTACATTTCTCATTTTGTTGAGTTATTTGATATGTTGCATTGATCCAATGCTAACTGGCTATGCAAATGAATTAAATAAAATGTGATGTTTTTTAAAAATGTTATTGATGTTTAATATGTTTTATGTCTTATATAATTTAATGATGTAGCAAGTTGTAAAAGGGGGATCATTTTTTTTTCCTCAGTGTTTTCATGTAAACTTTAAAATCTCACCAAGCTACTTACTAGTAAGGTTTTAAGATCAATTGTGGTATAAAACTAAATTCCCTAATTTTGGGGACAAGACTTTACCGTCTTTTAATGATTGGCCATCTGCGTGGACAATTCGAAAGAAAATATTTTAACCATCCCTTTCCGACTCTGGGAAATTTAGAATTAATTTTTAAATAAAGCTCAACTGTAATCGTATAACTGTGCCTAAACAAAGAAATATATTTTTGTGCTGCAAACTTTAAGCTCCTATGCGAAAAAGTTAGAGTAGAGTGTTATTTTATTTTATAACTGACGTTGAACCGCCCATCCAATTCAGTTTAAGACTATTGATGTTCAACACCGTAGTCTTGTAATTTCAAATCCATTCCAGAAGACAAGAGAACTCTTAAATCCAACTTTAGGACAAATTAGGCCTCATGACAATTTTTTGATGGAACTGACCCATGGGTGCAACTCTAAAAAAAATTTCAAGACTAAACTTATTTTTTGACCAATTAACAAGGGGCAGTGCTGTTTACCAGAATTTTCCAATATTTATAGCTAACTGACTCCAAAATATACCTTTGCAAGATAAAGGCTCATATATCATTATCAACTAGGAATTTATTATTTTATGAAAAATTTATATTTTTTTTACAGCGAACAAGATAAAAATAACAGCCAACCTTGTACATCTCTTTACATCAATCACTGAATAATGAACTTCTATTTTTTGCATGAATCTATTCACCATTATTTATATTTGTTCTATCTCTATAAATAAAAAAAATATTTATTTAACTTTGGCCAGCATTTCAAAACGTTGGGGGAAAATGAAAACTCAAGCAAATTTAGATACAACAGTAATATAAATTTTGTTTCATGAATTTTCATTGCAGTGTGACATCATTACTTGATCATTTGGCAATAATTATGAAAAATAAAAATATTTTCATTAAATTGTGTTACATTTTAAGGGAAAAAAGAAATTTAATTTAAAAAACAGATATATTGATTTTTCCTCAGGACTGAAGAGTGGCACACATGCTGACCTGCATTTGCGTTGTATAGGACAGCAAGGGGATTCTAACCTATTAGTAGTGTTACCTGATACCTAGTTTTAAGCTTTAGGCAACCATTCAGGAAGCCAAAGTAATATCTACACCTAAAGATAAATACTCAATCCCAGCAAAACTAGTGCTTGTCTCATAATTAGCAGACTGTAGCTGACTTTGATATATCATACTAACAGTTAATTTCTGTCTGGGATAATTTCAATGTAACTTTTTGGAAAATATCATAGAACATATATTTTTTTAGCAATTGGGTGATACTACCAAATGACTAATATTTAGTGATAGAAGTTGTGTACTCACATTTGGTATAATTGCAGACAAAGTTCATTATTACAAAATTTTTTGGGGCTTATGTTTCAGTTTTATATATCAAGAGCAGCATAAAACTGTGCCATTGTGTTAATCTACATTTATTACAGCTTTTACCACACCCTAAGTATGCCACATGCTGCTTATGTTACAGGTATTCTTGATAATAGATTCTGCCATAAAATAATTCATTGGCTTTTTTTTCTTCTCTTTACTGCTCGATTAATTTCAAAGCAGTGCTCATACCATTTTTTTTAACGCATGTTAAAGGCCTAATCAGTTTTTTTAGAGCATTTAATGTCAAATTTAATTTTTTTGTGCAAATTTGCCTAGGAAAAGAAAAACTAAAATGAAACAAATTTCAAAAGTAATACCTTTTTTCCCCTTCCTATGTCGAGGAGCTTGTTGGATTAGTCATTTTTCTTCTAGCAGCCCAGTACAAAATAGCCTTCAGGTGAATATTATCAGTGATCAAAGAATTAGTGATACCACTGAGGAATGGGCAAACTATTAAGTGATTTAACAATTTTGTACTTCCACTCTAAAATTGCCTTTTGATAAGAGAGAGTACTTCAAGTGAGATTGACAAAATAACATAAATTCATTTATTTTATTAATTATTTTATATATACATAACTGCGAATACTACAGCTGATATAGAATGCATATTGACAATGTAATCTAATTTACAGAATTTTGTTTTCACAAACGGTATAAAAAGCATTTGTGGATCATGTTAAATGACACATTTTATACATTTACAATAATGGAAGAATGTTCTTAATATTTCATCAATATTATTCATTTCAAATTTTAATATATATCAGTGCCATTTAGAAACTTGTTGACAAATATTTAAAGAGAAAACTCAACCTGTAATGTAAGATTGTTTAAGTAGAAATCAACAATGTTAGGTGTAGATTCCTTCATTAATTGTACTTTAATATAATCAACATATAATACAACACAAAAATTATTTTAAAAAAAATGTACCTAAAATGCAGTGTATATGACAATCATTCCTCATTATTTGCAAGCATCTAAACACAAAAGACTAGAAACAGCTGCAAAGTAATTTTAAAAAATACAACAAAGAAACAAGAATATTTTTATATACAAACACAACTGAAAAGAACAGTAAATTTCCAGATGCAGAAATTATTGGAAAAAAAATTCATAAAAATGACTTGTGAGCCATTATAAATTGGCAAGGATTCATTTGGACAAAAAGCAAAATGAAAGTTATTTAATAAAGGGAAATTATAAAAAAGGGCAATAAAAATTAAGTATAATAGTATTAACAAATAACGACCAATAACAAAATATAAAATTTGGTTTGAGCATTAGAACTCCTGTTGAAGTATCACAAGAAAATAGCTAACCAAAGATTAAACTACAAAATAAATTTTACTAAGCTAATTGGTTTAAAATTAAGATAGTAGGAACTAGGTTTTAACTTTATTTTAATGAAACTACTTTATCATGTGATACTTAAATGCTATAAAATACCTGCTAAGAGAATATACTTTTAAATTTTACAATAAATAGCATAAAGTTTACTTGTGAAATTTTGTATTTTGCATTGCGAATCACACTTTCATAGATTTTTTTGAAGAACAGAATTTAACTCAGTAAAAAAAATTGAGCTGAAGACTTCACTTCTCATTTGAAGTTTAATTAAGGCATCTAAATTCTAGACTAAAAATAAAAATTGCAAGATTTTGATTGATTTTTTTCATTATTCATTCAAGAATATTAACATAACTTTTTTATGTCAAAAAATGAAGGCAAGATAATATAATTTCAACAATGGAAAATTCAAAACTCAATAACTTATCAAAAACTTGCTCCTCTTGGAACTAAAGAATGGTTTCAGAAAAATAAATTTTAATAAAAATTAACTGTTCTTGAATCGAATTTTTAAACAGTTCTAATATTGCCACTTCCTTAAAACAACTAATAGAAACATAACTGTCATAAATTCCCTTAATATACAGTATAGGGCTAAATATGAGATTCACTTTAATGTCTGAAATTAGCACACAAAAAATTCTAATTAATTAATAAAAAGCTAAAACATACACAAAAAACAGGACAACATTAATAACAACCATATATATGTATTAAAATGAATCAAAAAGTATTTATTTAAATATAATTTGGCACTTGGAAAGAGTCGAGAAAAAGTTATTTGGCTAGTTAGTCCAATATTTCATACTTTAAATTATTGGAACATTCTAAATGTTATGGAAAACAGAAATTCGCCACTCACTCAGGTAGATGGCTAAGCTCAGACATTGGAAAGAACTACAGGTTTTATTTTAATCTCACAAAAAAATTTTATTATGTGCTAAAGGTCTTTTTGTCTAAATTTTTTTTTTACTGAAAATAGACGCACAAACAATCAACATATATTTGCATAATAGAGAGTTAAAATGAAATATTTCTATCAAATACAATAATTTTATCTACATGAATACAAGTGGATTTAAACACTAAATGCTCTTTCTTTTATTGTTGACTTAATTGATTTAAACATGCAAGTAAATGAAATCCTTTCAAATTAAAACCAATTCAAAAACATTTTAGGCATGAAGAAAAATAGTGGGATTTAAAAATACAGTTTAATTACAATAACAAGATAATTTAAATTAATTTCTAACTGATCATTTGTAGTAGTAAGCAATTAACGTTTTTGTTTCTAAATTATTTTTTAACATAGAAAATAACTAAAAGGGAAAGAGCTTATATTATTTTTATTACAATTGTAATAAAAACAAACTCAGCACACATATTTAATGCCATTTTAACTTGATAATGCATAATAGCCAGACCTCGTAATAGCTCATAGGTGAACTGTCAAAATATATAGTTCTCAATTGCTATATTAAATGACATTTTTAGTTGCATTAATTGCCATCCTTTGTACAGGAAAAAAATATTTTCATTACTTTTGGAGATGAAAGATACTACTAATAAAAGATACTTTCTACTTAATATTTTTAACAATATCTGTATACAAAAATAAAAAATAAGATTCGTAATAAATTATAGAAATAGTTTTGCCTGAAAGCAAGCAGAGAAAAAAACTAGAATTAAATAATTTTATATCCAAATTATATTCTGGTCTAATGTTGTAAGCAACCAATATAAAAATGCAATAATTTAAAATTCTATCCAATGTTAACATTTTTAATAATTGTTTTCAATAGAAATTACTGAAATTCAAATAACTATAGTTCTATTGCACAACATTATATATAGCTTGCTACTATAACACTGCCAAGTTAACTTGATATAAAATATGCATATAATTAACCCTTAGGATTTTGAAGTGATTTTTTTTCTAAAACTTCTCGAAATTTTAACAAATCTATTTCTTTTGAAACATACAAATCAGTTCAACATTAGAAACGAAAGCATAACTTAATCATTTCAAGCTGCCTTACAAATAGTTTACACAAGTTTTACGTTATTAGTTTTTCAGAGTGCTAAATTTGAAAGATTTAAAAAAAAATCATTGATTACATTATAAATTTCAAATTATTTTGCACAAGAATTTGCTTAACATTTAAACTAATTTTGTACAAGAATTCGCTTGACATTTAAAATAATTATTATAATAAAATCGAATTTGTATATTCATTATCATTAATTGCATAAAAACAATAATCTTAGTATTCAATAAATCATATGATTTCTTATTAGTACATTATCTTAGCTAAACCTGTGAAGTAAATAAATTTAAATTCACAGTACAACCTTGAAAACACAATGTTATAACTACAGGAAAAAACTTAAAAGATTATGATTTCATGAAACAAATAGACTTCTTTTTTCTTTAATTATCAAGCAAATGATTTGGAATTGAATGAAATTTTTCTTAGATTTAAAATATGTTCACTCGAGCAAGAGTATATAATTTATGTTGCATCCGAACTTGCTCATTTATAAATATACAATACAGAAAAATACAATTATATAGATTTATTATTATTAAAAAAGGAAGATTGCACCACTCTTTTTAACAAAAATTTGGCTAAATCACAACCATGTATCTACACAACAACAAAACCAATATTTGGCAACAGAAATATTTCCTAATTTAGGCAAACATTTCTGTCCACTTAAAATATTCACATAAAAACTTAGAATAAAAGGATAAGAAAATGAAGAAACAACACAGAATTTGATCGAATGCTACAGTAACACAAACAAAGCTTAAATATACAATTATTTAAACATAGAGCTTGTAAAATAAAATATACAAAAATAAGGCAATGATAACTAATGTTTGCCGAACTGCCAGGTTCGATAACATAAATATTCCTTTTAAAAAAATACCGTCTTATTTAGAGCAATGTCAAATGGCAATATCTGTTTTGATATTTTGTTAAAAATGATGCATAATATTTATTTGCTGAAAATTGAATAAAAATAGCTGAATGCAAAAAATTAAGTTAAAATATTTTTAGTGATAATGGAAGATTCAACTTAAATTATGATGTTCAAAAAATAAAAATTTATTCAAAAAAAAATTAAAAGAGATCTAAAAATCATGAGATCCAATAAACCTTTGAATGCTTAGGCTTGTAAGAACATTCAAGCTTTCAGTGATACAACCCTTTAAACAGCTCGTTTATAAAGTAGAAATGAAAAGAAAATTTATCAATTTAAAAATATCAACACGTCTTGTTTATGTAAAATTTCAACAATGAAAAATATAAAAGTTTAGGAAAAAGAAATTGTATATGATTAAAAAAACATGCATTAAAATATTTACATCTATGTAAGATTCTTTTTAAACTATAGTATAGATACAAGTTCTATACACAGAATCTAACAATAAAACATCAACATAAAAAAAAGTTTTTTAAGATAATTTTTTAGGCAGTTCGAGAAACATCAATAGATTTTTCAAGTTGACTTGTTATTTTGAGGTCACATTTCTATTGCAAATCAAGTTTGCAATGTCATATTTGGCAACTGGAAATAAAAAAACAACATTCGATAATATTCTATAAATAAACTCTTAACAAACAGGTACATAGTTCGATTCTGGGGAAATTTAAGTCGAATTTCTATAGAAAAAAAGAAATGCTGACTTTTCTTTTCTGCAACTGGATGGAAGAGATATTTTAATTTAGTGTCTTCTTTATGCTAATGGATGGTCTTTACTGGGAACAGATCTGGAGGTTCCATCTCGGAATTCAACATTCATGGCATCTCCTTGTAATAAACCCTTTTTCTCTTCGCTACCGTTCGAACCAGCAGGATACAAAGAATCATAAACTGGGTTTGTAAAATTTGTTGCCTATTGAAAATTTTTAAAGAAAATAGAAATATAGTTAGATTTAGTCTTCCAATTCAATCATATTATTAAGTAAAAATCAGTTTGAAGCTGTAGTGTAAAAATAATGTAACAAAATCTAAGCCAAACCTTAAAAAGTGCTCAAGCAGCAAAAGCCCAAAATTTGTCTTCAAATATATTTATAAAAAAAATTAGAATAGGAAACTTACTTAAATTGAAATAGGAAAGTAAATTGAATTAGAACAAAATAAACCTGAATGCTATGTAGGACTTCTTCAGAAGACATCCTGCCTGTATTTATGTGGAAGCTTTGTTAAAATTATTGTTGTACAAAAACTCTGTATTTTGTTTTGTTAAACAGTTTTAAATTTAATTTACTTTCCTATTTCAATTTAAGCACTATTCTCTAATTTTCGAATAAATTTATTCTTCCAAATCATAAATAGTACATAATCAGGGTGGTACATAATCATCAAATAGTACATAATAGTACATCACCACTCAAAACAGATTTCAAATTTCCCTGATTTTTCCAGGTTTTCCAGGTAAAAATCATAAAATTTCCAGGTTTGTGATTTTTTCCTTTTTTCTTATAAAGTGTAGGATGTGTACAAGAAAAGTGCCTGTATTATAAAATATCTTATTCAAAATGTCATTGTTTTAAACATATCTTGAAAAAAAATTATTTTTTTTACAAGATATTTTTTTATTATTTTTTAATGTTCTGGTACAACATTAATTTTTAAAAAATTAAGACGTGGAGAAAATAATATGTTTAGCTTGCAGAATATATTGTTTTTATTGAATTTAATGTGTTACTTTAAGTAGTATTTGCTCAAAGTGTACCTACGAAATGACAAAATCAGAATAACCAATAAAACCTTGGATAAGTATTGTTTAATATATTTTCATTAAGGAAAAGAAAACCGTTTCAGGTGATTATATATCAATAATTTTTAATAATTACAGTGGCTCCCAAAAGTGCTCACTCACTTATAACTTATATTGAAATAGGAAATAAAAATTCAATAATTAAAATGAATATTTCACAATGGGTATTTGATAATAAGATGTATAATCTATTCTTAGCAAAACTGCACNTGGGAGAATTTTATGTTGTATTCTAGTTTAACAGGGTTATAATGGAGCAAATTTTGATGAAAGCAAAGTAAGTTGATGATATTTTAACTGTTTGGAGATACATTTCCGTCTAAAAAATGTGGGTATAATGGATGAAACAATTTAAATTAAGAAAATTAGCAAATAATTTAAATTAGTGAAATTGAAAAAATATATAAGAAAAAATTTCAAGTTTTTCTTTAAAATTCCCAGGTTTTCCAGGCTTTTATCCATATTTCCCTGATTTTTCCAGGTTTTTTCCAGTATAAAAAAAATTCCCTGATAATTCCAGGTTTTCCAGGTGGGTGGCCACCCTGATAATAAAAATCCTTTTTTTCCAGTATTTTTTCACTTTTATTTCTAACAAAATTTTAAAATAACTGCAAACTGTAATGCCATGAATATTATGGAAAAAACTCTGGCAAATTATCGAAAACAATTACGTTAGGTCGAATGAATAAATTTTGAAAAGTTTTTCTTCCAAATCATAAAAAATACACAGTAAAAAATCTGACTTTTTTTTGTTTGTTAGAGTACTTTTTTTCTTTTAGACCAAACAAAATTTTTGTTTCAATATTTCTTAATATTATTTTAAATAAAATGATTCAGAATATACTACAAACTGTAATGTCATAAATATTATAGGAAACATTCTGGCAAATTATCAAAGACTTATTAAGTTATGATAAATGAATAGCTTTTTTTATAAATTTATTCTTTCAAATCATAAAAAATACATAATAAAAATCATTTTTTTAAAGATCTTTTTTTTTTCACTTTTGGTCCTAAGAAAATTTCTATTTTGATATTTCTCAGTATTATTTCAAAAAAGAATATTCAAAATATATCGCAAACAGTAATGTTATGAATGATATCATAGAAAAAATTCTGGCAAATCTTCAAAGACCAATTAGCTTATGTCAAAAGTTGGTACAGAATCTGCTTAAAATAAGATTTTTACTGCATCTATTTTTAATATGAATTATAAAAAGAACTGGCTAACAAATTATAAATTAAACATTAATGAAGATAATGCTGAAAAGCATAGTTAGAAAGAAGTTTTTAATATTGTTTTCGAACAAATTCTTGATAATTAATTCAGCTGAGTCATGCATATTTGTGCACCAGAATTAAGATATTGATTCTTGAAACAAATGAATAGTGGATAGGTTAAATTTTCTAAAGAAAAAAACATAAAACACTAACCTCATCAACTTCTTGAGACAAAGAAGAGTTTAGTCCTTCAGAAGCTTCATAGTCAAAGTCTTCTTTCATATAAATAGGATTATTTATTTCAACATTTGCAGAATCTTGCATACGTACATGCATAAAAGGTTGTCCCCTAAAAAATAAGTATGAGGGAAAATAATAAATGTTAAGAAACTTATGAAAAATGACTTCAATGAGATAAAAATAACACTTTACTAATAATTAGAGATGCAACAAATGTTTGACCTATTTTGCAAGACCTCTGAATATTCAGCTTTGGTCGAATACAAAATCCACTTTTGGGACTTGCTTGATTACTTTTGTGAAAAAATAAATAAAGACATACAAAAATTTTTTTTTTAAATATATTAGCTTACATTTACAATTAAAATTTTAAAAAAAATAAACTAACATATGATTATTATTATTTATGTTTTTCTTTTTCCCCCTGAATGAAATTTCTACCATTTTCATGAAAGAGATGGCCTTAGTTTCAACCATGCTTGTATGTAAGTCAGAAAGTACTAAAATACCTTGCAGTTTGTTCTTTTTCAATGTAAATTAGATTTATACAAAACAGTTTATAAAAAATCATACTAGATATAAATAAAATGTGATAAAAACCTATCTTTTTCTTAAAATTTTAAGTTCTTTAAATAATGAAAGAAATAAAAATATTCAATTCTAAATGTATGAAAATAAGGTATAAATCATTATTGTCCCATTCCTATTTACACCGACTCATTTAAATTTAACAAATCTTAAAAATAAATAAATAAAATAGACTTTTTCTCCTTTGTTACATAATAATATGATTACAATAAATTTTAAATTTCTAGTTGAAATTTGATTTTTTTTTCTTCAAATTATCAACCAAATAAACATAATTTATTCAGCAGAAATAAATTTTAAAAATTCTGTTCATTTTTATTTTTATAAATGTAAGAGTTTAGTTTTAATTAAAACTAAATTAGAGTTAAAAAGTTAAGCTAAAAAGCAATAGAAGTGCTTTTGAAATACATACACTCACACAAACATAAAAAAAGAGGGATTCAAAATTTGTAAACACCAAATATATCAATATTTCTTTAAAATTGAATAAATTTCAAACATTAAAAATTCAATATGTTAGCATGGATTAAAATAGCGTTTAAAAGAACATACCTTTTTCGTCTGCAATACACAACAACTCCAAATGCAATGAGAATAATGAGCAGTAGTACAGTGCAAACAGGTATACCAATGGCAGCTATTGCTAAAGGATAAAAAAGTTTAAGAAAGTTAATAAGTGTGTTGATGACATAATAATCAGCAAGAAAAAAATAAAATATAATACTGAGTTATGACTTCTTAGTTAATATTGTTGTGCATCTCAAAGGTATTATATTCCAACAATACTGGGTTTCTTTTTTAATTTTGAAGTAGAACATCCTTAAATTATGCCGTTAATTTACACTATATAACATACAAGCTGCTACAAATATAACAATTCCTTGAGATTTTTTACCTAAAACTAATTTGTTTCCCCAAGCTTTATGGGGAAAAAATTGATTGTTTTAGAATATTTTGTAATACCTAGTTTGGATTTGCTTACTTTTCATCAATGAAAAGAAAGCAAAAGGAAATTACAAACCACTTTTTGCAACACAACACTTCTAAAATGCCTGTTAAAATGTGAAGTGTAAAACTTGTTGTAAGGATTACTTTTTCTAAATGATTTAAAACCTTGATAATTAGTAGAAATTTAATATTTTTTTTCTACAATATATATAAATGTGTTGGTGTCTAACAAAATATATGTAAATAGAATGTCCCAGGATTATTGGGGGAAATTTAAGGGAAGATAGGGGACATCACAAGGAATCAGAAATGCATAACAACTCATGGTCAGAAACGTCTTTATTCTTCACTAGACAGTTTTTGTTCACCAATACATTAAAAGTAACAGACCTGCAGCGATTTCAGCTGCCAAGCTATTGGACAATCTTTTTGTGGTCGTGCATTTCCCTCTGTTAATCTGTACATTATATGCATATCTGCCAGCTCAATGTTCATAAAACATTGCATACTTCTCTGGACACTTATTGGATAATCTTTTCGTGCTTGTGCATTTCCCTCTGTCAATCTGTACATCATATGCATATCTACCAGCTCAATGTTCATAAAACATTGCATACTCCTCTGCGAGCTATGACAGCTCAAATGACTACAGCGATGCAGGTTTGCTCTAATGCTCCTGAACAACAACACCTAGTGGCAAACGAAGACGCTTCCGACCATGGGCTGATATGCAAATCTGATTCCTTATTATATCCCCCACCTCCCCTTAAAGTTTGTCCCAATAATCTTGGGACACCCTGCATAGATAAATAAAAATCATACATTAAAATATTTTAATAAAATCTATATTATTAATTAAATACAGACAGATCTCTATTTAACAAAGTCGCTAAAACCTGATAATAAGTTCGTTATATGAAAACTTCATTAAATAGAAAATCACCTTTTGAAATACTTCAACAACACAAAACAGTTTTTAATTAACATAATTAAAATAGCAATAGATACACCTTTATCTTGTAAACGAGTATTTACTATTTGGTTTATAAATTTTAACCATAAAAGAAATCTCCATGGAAAGCGAGAATAGAGCAAAACATTATCCAGTACATGGTACATACATTTTCAACTAAAAAAGCTAAATTTAAGTATAAAATTATAGCTGCATTTATTATAAAAGTAATTTTAAACATACATAACTATGTGCGTTCTTAAGTTTAATTACTTAAGATAAAATTCGTTAATTTCGTCTGAGTTTTTCGTTTGAAATGCAAACAAAGAGGGATAGGGATTTTACAGCTTTCTCTAAAAGTTAAGTGGCTAAGAAAAATAATTCAAGGTCATTTCCCCCATAAAATGCTTTAACAAATGATTTTAAATATTTTGGGAAATAGGGAAAGTGAATCTCAAAGAAAAGTTTGTTAAATAGAAAATTCATTTTGCAATTTGGAAGTCATTTTACGAAGAAATTTCTAAAATATCGCAAAATAGAGAAAACAACAGAGTAATTATTATTTTGTAAATTGTAGTTTTCTTCTTTTAGTATGAACATAATCTTGTTACAATTTTCATCAGCTTAATATTTCAGTTTTATTAAGAAAATCCAAGTTAACAACCTTGGAAACTGGGTTTATTGTATTTTCTTTAATTTTCTCAACTCAATTTCTTATTTAAACTAGTTTCAGAATATTTCACATACAATTGAAGAATGTAATAAATTCCATTCTTCAATTGGTAACTAAATTTCAAAGTGATAATGTTAAAGTAAAATATTTTAATTCAATCATTAGCATATTGAAGCAGACAGAAATGCTAATAAAAGTTTCTGAAAAACAAATTCAAATAATTTTATATGGTTTATTTTAGGAGGAAGCAACATCAATAAGAACTAAAGAAGAATGTTTTATTTTAATCTATAAGTCGTCAAACAATAGTTTCTTTCGTGAAGGTAATTTTGAATAATCTATTAAAACTTGTATTATGTTTTATCTTACTTTCTCCTGAAAAACCAGAGCTCTCATTGGGTTTTGGCAATCCCATTGGCCGATATGTTTCACAACGTGGACCAGCAAAGCCATCTGTGCACCTGTCAAAAAAATTTTGAAATTAGTATTTAAAAAAATAAAATGATAATTTGTAGTTTTTCAGCAGAAATTTCAACTGTGAACTTTTAAAGTTTTACACCTAATCATTAAAATTACAAAATTGATTGTATTTTTAATGATTTAGTCAAAAACTTTTTTCATTAAGGCAAAAAATTTTTTCCATGAAACTATCGTGATAGCATTGTATATATTTGTTGAATTTCTAAAATTATTTTGCTGTATAATTATATCTTAAGTGCAGCTTATTCAGGGTGTATAGCCTTGTCTTTCAACAAAAACTAAGCACCTCTTAAGTACTTTTTAAGCACTAAAAAAATATTTTAAAGCGCTATATACATTAACAAAATGCAAAATAATTTTCAAAGACTTTACATGATCATGATAAAATAACTAGTTCCTGACAAAGAACTCTTTTCTTGACTACATTAGCCACCATAAAAAGATGGAGATATTTCAGTTTGACTTCAGAGGTGGGGAAATAAAGCCTGAAATTAAGAATCTCTTGAAAAATGCAGCAGAGTTGCACATGATAGTGCAATAATAAATTCCCACTGAATCCAGCTCAGTATACGCACATGCGGACCCACATATATTTAATCAAACATGTAAAACGTTTGGCACTTTCATACGCTATGAAATGACGGTACGCTGAAATGCATTGCGTTTGAATGAATTGTGAAAACCTTAAATAGAACAATGTGAAATGTGCTTTTGAATAATGTGTGGTGAAAATAGACATGGTTAAGAAACAAAATTTCATTTTCGAAAAGGGAAAATTAAGCACTTTTTAAAAACACCCAATTAAAAAAGCACCTTTAAAAAACGGAAAGTGAAAATGAGCACCTTTAAGTACTTTTTAACAACGCTACAAGCCTTTTTATTAATCAAATTCTTTCTGTAACAGTGTAGTGTGAGCATTACTGGAGAGATTTTGTTTCAAGATCATTAAAATGAATAAAGTACTTACAAGCAAGTAGGTTGTTCAGCCCCATTCAAAGCTCGAACACATGTAGCTGAATTAAAGCAATAATTGTTGCATGATGTGCTAAGTTGGCATCGATTTCCTGCCCAATCTTGGGAGCATCTAAAAAAAATATTTTTTGAAATTTCAGAACAAAAAAAATTAAGTTATTGCATGAAGTATATTTTGTATACTTTACTGTCTCAATACTGATAATGTTGAGGAAATAAGTTATATTGTGTTGTTTTTTTTTAACTCAACATCATTTTATTAAAAGTATATTAATTGATTCACTGTCACATACTCTTACAAAGATAGTAAATTAGCTTTTTCTCGTTGATATTTTTAGGAAATCTGATCTGTAATACAGATCAATTACAAAGAATCAAGGGGAAACATTTTATATACGAAGAGGAACCTGAAAGAAAAAAATCTCAGAAAAGTTGAATTGTTTAAAAATTTATTAAAATAGTTCGATTTTCCAAAAATTTTCAAGAAGTGTTTTCATTACAATTGTATGTAAACAAATTAAAAAAGTAAATATATTTTATGAGTGAATAAATAGAATTTATATTAAAAAAATATCAAAACACAAAAGAATAACAAATACAGAATAAAATTTATATTAAAAAATTTGCAAGACCTGAAAAACAAATCTGAAATTAGTAAGGCACATTCAAATAACAATTCAATGTTTAAAATTAGAAATAAAAGTTTGAAAGATGCAATCAAATAATGTAGTCGGTAACACATAACATGTGTGAAATGTGCAAACAAGATAAAAATTAGGTCTGAAGGTATAATATTTAATAGCATTTAAATTACTTTGAAATCAATAAATTCAGGCAGATTTTAAAGTATAAAATATATTAGAGAACCAAATATCAGCACTATTTTATTTGATATTTTTACTACACATATTATAGTTTTAAATAACTAACTTTTAAATAATAAAAAAACTGAAGTTTAAAAATTGGTCATAAAAACTATAACTCTAAACATTAGAAAATTACAAGGGGTTACCAAAAATTAAGTTTTCCTTCCCTCATGGATAATTTATCACAGAAGCAATAGTTTATCAATATCATTGAACTTAAGAACTCAATATCATTCTTCATAGCTATCAATGCAAATATATTTGGCAGTCATTTAAAAAGTACTATTTTTTTCTGGCAAGATTAAAGCATGGGACTTTCTGAAACCAATATAAAATTATTGTGCATATGGTAGGTGCTTCCCTATCATAATATAAAATGCAAGAAAATCAATTTTTAAAAATAGGAAAGAATGGGCAAATTGTCAACTTTAGAATGCCACAGTGATGGTACTTTTTATTGAATGAAATATAGGATATTTATCTAAGGATAATTATCAGTACTGTGAACTATAGTAATTTTTTAGTGAATTTTTAAAGGTTAAGTACATTATTCCCTAATTCATAAAAGCAACACTGATTGCAATAATGACTTGGTTAATTTATTCCTACAAATTCAATATTTTAAATGGATGCTAATTAAGTCCTAGATAGAATAAATAAAAGTAGGAATGCCAGTAGGAATTTTTACCCTTGTGAGATATCATCATTACCGATTGATGATAATGTAAGCAAACTTTAGTATTAGCCATGCTTTTTTTTTTCATTACTACTTTTTTTCTTATTTTTTTCTGGTAATGTCTACATGAAGATGCTTCTACCTGAAGATTTAGCTAAACCTTTGTTCAGTGTATCAGGCTAATTGCACTCTTTCTTTGAAACTTAAAAATACATAAGGGAATTCCTCCTGCCCTCAATGCTCGTAAGTGAGCAATATTAAAAGATCAAAATAGTAAAATAAAGCTTTTTTCAAAGGCATGACAGCCTAGTACAGACCAGGACTGTCCCAACAAGTCGTATTTATCTAAATCAATCAGACAACAGGTTTTTTCATCCTGATGTTCATAGTTTTAAGATAGTTTTCTACAAAATAAATCCACCTGGTATTTGATCTTCCCCTTTTACGTTTGCCAGTAACTTTCGGAACTCCGTCACCCTCATTCTCTCAATAGATGTGACGAATCCATCTCATTCTATCAGATTTACCAACTGAAATTATGTTCGGATGATTACATTTTCCGTACAATTCACGATTGTATTGAATCCGCCAAACATTTTCTTTAACAGCTTCGAAGATGGCTCTGAATATTTTCTTTAAAAAATTAGTAGTTTATTTTGCAGCCCTTTTAAAAAGTATTAAGAAGAAAGTAATAGAAAGAATAAAGTCCCATTATGAAGTAACAGATTTTTAATACACAAAGGGAGAAAAAACTTACGTGCAAAGTGGTGACTCGTTTGGTTTCTTTGGCGCTGTGCATATACCTCCATGCAGACAATAGCCAACGCACTTGTCCCAGTTATCCGACTGCATATCACAATTAAGACCTGCCCATTGTGGTGTACAACTGTTGAAAAAGAAAAAGCATTTCAAACAGAATTACAAACAAACTGTTTCTACTGCACTATCAAATAAAGTTGCAGTCGAACTTAACAGTGCATTTAATCTATTAATAGAGAACAAAAATTCTGAATTTTGCAAGCCTATTTACCAATGCACTTTTGAGATAAATCGCATCTCAAATTTTTATCTTAGCCAAAGAGCACAATGGCTTTTGAAAAAAGCTAAACAAAGCAAACAAAAACAGATAATGCCAAATAAGCAAACATTAATGTGAAACAAAAGTAAATGAATAATACAAAAGAGTATAAATAAACAGAGATAAGAACATAATAAATTTGTCCAAAAAGGTTCTTTTCCGGCAAAAGTTCCAAGAGCAAGAAATCCCAACAATGTGTAAAAACATTGTTTGGTTTTATTAGAACAAATCAAAACCCTCTCTTCTTTTGGATATTTGTAATTAACTTCTCCAAGACTTACAGAAATTCTTTTCAATTGGAATAATAAATCAATAATATTGTAGGGTTTTTTTTAAATAAAGAGTTGATGTATATATTTTAGGTAATTAAGACTGAACATTACAGTAAAAGCAACTATTGAACATTATCAAGCATCAAGGTCTTTTTCTGGCAAATATAACCAGAATCGGCAAAACTCCTGATTTTTTTAAAAAAAATTCAGATTTATATTATTTAATTTGAATTTTTTGATTTAAATAAAATCTCTTGATTTAAAGTTTAACAAATTTATATTTACCAGCCAAATAATTCAACAAAATATATCAACAGTTCTTAATATTATATAAAAATAATAACATAGCTTAAATAGTTGACATTTTTAACTAAAATGTTTCATAACTTATTTTTTTATAATTAGAAACAAATCACTGAATAAATAAAATCACAGCTACTTTTGCTCAAGCTAAACATCCTAAAATTTTAAAGGCTGGAAGGCAATTTATCAGTCAGAAATCAAATGAAGAATAAATTAGTTTAGATCAGAAGACAGAATTTAAAAAAAAAAAAAAATATTGTAAATTTCTCTGGAAAGAGCAAGCAAGTAAACATAAAACTAAATGGGTAGAGCTTAAATATTTTCATTACCAGCACATGAGTTTTATACAGCTAAAGGAAAATTATAATTTAACAGTTTAACATTGCTTTAATCCACTTTTACTTTTTAATTTCCTTTACCAGTCTATTTTGAAATACAATAATTTACCTTTTCACTATTTCTTCAGATAAAACGTTCATTATCAATGAAATCGAACTTTTATAAGAATCACACCCTGAAGAAAATATTTATCAAAATAATTTTGACTTAATGATTTATTTAAAGAAAATCCACTGGCTCGAATCAATGATTTTCTTTTAAAAAAAATCAAAGTTGTTTAAATTAATGAATTTCTTAAAAAAATTAAGTGATTAAAAATCACGAGTTGAATTATGATTTAAATTAAGTAATTTAACCAATAATGATTATAACGTAGCTATTTATTTAAAATTAATGTGATATATTGTGTAGAATAAAAGTGGGTTTTAAAGATTTGTCATTACGTTGTTTACACAAATATTTTTTATTTCAATTGCTCATTGCTAGAGATAAGGATGCCGAGTTTATTACTGTTTCTGTTATTGTAAATAAAAGCAAGAACGGACATAAAAAGTACATTAACAGAACACTGTACCTGCATGTTGGTACTCCTTTGTTCATGATGCATGTACCACCATTTTTGCACTGAATATCTTTGCAAGAACTTGGGGTATAAATTTCACAATGAGTGCCTGAATATTGTGGCTGGCAAAGACAAGAATAATCGAGGCCATTTTCAGCTTTTCTAGTTACACAAGTAGAGCCATGCAGGCAACCACAGTGATCTAGTTCACACCGTCTACCACGATAGCCTTTTGCACACTGGCAGAAAGGTTTCTTGGGACCACGCTTACATGTACCTAAAAAAAGCAAAGAAACTACTGTAAAAAGATTCTTAGTTTTTGCTTTAAAAATTAAAGATAAAAGCATTATAAAAAATTAAAAAACTTTTGAAGAAAATTTAAAATTATTATTTTTTTTTTATGTTTGTGTAGCTTTAAATGAACACAAGAAGGAAGAAAACATTAGAGATATTTTAATTTGAGTTCAGATCTTTTTGTTTTACAGGATAGTTTTAAAATTGATAAGAATTACAAATTGAATTATTTTACAATGGAAAAGTAAAACTAAAATTTAGTGACACTTAAAATAAAAGATATTTAAAACATACTATACTCTACTGATTTATACTTTTTAAATTAAGCTAACACTAAATTTTAAAACAGCTGCTGAAAATTTTAAATTTTTCAAACAGTTTTATTAATTTTTTGGTATGAATTTTTGAACTTTACATCGACCCAAAAAATTACTACAAAAATGATGAACTTCAGGTATACCTCCTCAACACCTGACAGCATGAAATCTTTAACAATTAAATTACAATGACTTGAAATAAAACATTTAAGTAAAATAAATTTAGGACAAACAGAATATTGTAGCCAATTAGTTTATGTACTTAAAATAGATTACTAAACCTTACCGCCATTCAAACAAAGAAGTTCGCACATATCTTGTTCACATTGTTTCCCAGAAAAGCCAGGAAGACACTGGCAAACAGGATTACCATTGACTAGAGTACAATTTCCATTTTGACAATAGTTGTTGCACTTGGAAAACTCACAAGAAGATCCATGGAATCCGGCCATGCATGCACATGAACGTTCACCATTAGTTTCCAATCTGCAGATACCATCATTCTTACATCTAAAAAATGATTGTAAAGTGAAAATCACAATGCAATTTGCATAAAAAATTTAGAGCTTCAAAAGGATAATTGAATATATAAATGTATCTGTAAAAACAATACATCTAATTCAAGAAAAGTAGCATACTATAGGTATTAAAACCTCATTCAACCAAAAAGTTAATTTGAATTATTTGCTCGATATGTACCATAACTGTTAGAAGACTTTACTTTAATGAGTTTGATTTTGTTGCTGTTGTTGTTACTTTACGTCGCACTAGAGCTGCACAATGGGCCATTGGCGACGGTCAGGGAAACATCCCTGAGGATGATCCGAAGACATGCCACCGCAATTTTGATCCTCTGCAGAGGGGATGGCACCCCCGCTTCGGTAGCCTGACGACCTGCACGCGAAGTCGAGCACTTTATGGTAGAACAGTTTAACCAGGACCAATACCGCACACCCTCGGTTCCTACGCAGACTGATCCAAGTGGTCACCCACCCGCACACTGACCGCAGTCGGTGATGCTTGACTTTGGTGATCTGCTGGGAACCGTGTCTTAACGATCAGTCCACTGTGGGACTTAATGAGTTTGAAAGATTTTTTGAATTATACTATAATTTAAACTTCTATAAATAGATTATGAACAAGGTGAATATTTTTTTATTTACAATATAATTTCAACAAACTTTTATAATAGACTACAAGCAAATTAAATATTTTTTCGAATTATATTATTTTTCAATAAAATTATATGTTTAATTCTTTATTTTATTTGCTTCTTTTAAAAAATATTTGTTCTAATTTACCTTATGGAACTGCATTTTTCACATCTGGATCCATAGAAATCTGTAGGACAAGTACAATATCTCTCTCCTTTTTCATAATAGCAAGTACCTCCATTATAACAGTAATCATCACATCTTCGAGTTGGTTTTTCACATCGATCTCCGGTCCAGAGAACAGTGCAACTAGAAAACAAAAGGAAAATAAGATTGGTTACTAATTTTACTCCTTATTCAGTACATTTTATTTTAAATATGTTAAATTATATTGCTGTACAGTGTGCAGAAAAAAACCCAAACAAACAATTTTTAATCTAACCTTAATAAAAAAAAATATCAAAATATAAAAAAATAATAAAAGTAGACTTTTATCAATAAATAAAATTTGTTTTTGATTGGCTGCCTTTTGCAGCGATGTAGAAAGGCAAACTCTTATATAAATTTCCAGTCTTCTACTTTTAATCTATGTCATTCTTGCTGAAGCAATTGCTTTACAGAGCTCAAACTTTTGTATATAATGATTATATACAGAGCAAATAAGCAATTTCACACAGTCATTTTCCTTGCTTTAACAACTCTAAAATAGCAGATCTTTTGCTTGACATGGTAAAAAAGCCAAAAAACAATGTTACCTAGGATATATATTATAAAATAAAGACCTGACCCCACAAATTAAAAAGAAATTAGTTAATTTCTATTCTTTCTATGATGTATTAACTTCGTCCAAGTTCTTTTTGCTGCTCCCCGTTATCACAGAGAAAAGAAATCTTAATGAAATTTATTTCTTTTTGTGAATTAAGCATGTAGTCGGAATAGCATGATGAAAATAAAACGCTCAGAAAATTTGAAACAAAGCAATTGAGAACATGCAATTGCTAAAAATATTTAAAAAAATCCTGCTTCAGCATTTTATTAAGGAAGTTTAAACTAATATATATTGAGAGAAAATCATTCATTGACTGAATCATTCATTCATGAAAACATTAAATGACTAGGTAGTTTAAAAATAAGCTGTATTCATGAACTAACACAAAACTGAACTAAAGAAGATCAGGTAATTTTTTCAAACTCTCACTGTTTTTGTTACATTAAGTTCAAGAATAATTCTTCTATTTTTGTGAGTATTCTTTTACAGTATCCAATAATGTTTGGAAAATTTTCTTAATGTATAATGACAGATTATAAGGATATATTTCTTAAACTACATTGCAAAAATATATAGCACTGAACTGGAAAAATAATAAATTTACAATAAGTACCAAAACTTTTAGTTGAAAAAATTCTGCATTTAGAGCAAAAACATTCATGTTTGAAAAGAAACATGAATAAATACATGTGTTTACTTTCAAAAATTTAGAAATTTTGCTTTGAATACTCTTTTTTTACCTGCTCTTCGAAAACAATCATTCTTTAAAAAAATTATGAACTTACAGCAAAGACATTCAGGAATTACGATTTTTCTCTTAAAAATTAAATAATTTCAGTTAACTTTTTTTTCCAAATGCTAACAGAATTTCTGAATAACAGACACAGGAATTTGATAGTTTCAAAAATGATCAAAATGGATATCATTAATATCATAAGATCAGCAATTTTCACGAGACCATTAAAAGATACAGGAATTATGCATCAAGATTTGACTATATTATCAAAAAAGAGTTAGGTATCCAACTTTCATATATTACTTCAAAACTTTTTAATGAACAGCCTATTATTGTAAATAAAACATAATTTATAGATATAAATAAATAAATAAATAAATACAATGAAGTTATTCATATTTACTATAAATTTTTTAACCAACTTCCAGTGAAATATTGAGAAAAAAAAATTAAACATGCTAACTAATCAAAAACAATGCACAGAAATTGAATTAAAAAAAATCATGCATTCACACATTTTCCAGTCAATTATGTTCAGGATGCAATAAATAAATAAAAAAAGGGATGGGAAAAGGTTTGTAAAAAATTGGCGATATTTACTTGCACTTGAGAGTGGGCTTTTGATAATGTGCACTGTTTCTAGATATATCTGCATAGCATATTCCTTTATTTTTACAAAAATTAGCACACCTATACACCTCACACTGGGAACCTTCATATTCAGGTGCACAGCTAAAGCAAAGCCAGGGGAAACAACAAGATTCCACAATATTAGTTAAATTTAAAAAGGGAAATTCTTAACCTTCAATCAATTACAATGTTAATAATTATAGGTATCATGCAATTTGAATCATAACAAATTACCAACAATAAGGATTATCATACTAAATTGTCTAAAGAAAAATAGTGGAATGCTGCTTTATTAGTTTTCAGGAATAAATTAGATAGTTCCTTTTGTTACAGTATCATTAGTACATTAGAAGTTTTCTGAATGTTTGTTTTTTAATACATTAAACACTAAGCAAAATTTTGACTTTTGCATAGAATATTGATTTGCTTACTTACAAAAATAAGTTCAAAAAAATAATGGAATCATATCTGATATAAATAACATTGTACAAGATACAATAAATAACCAAAATGTGAGTTTTAGGCATTTATATTGCTATGTTATAATAATAAAGCCATGTCCTTTTACAGCATTGGCTACAATGCAGCACTCAAAGTGCAACTCATTAATCCTTCAAGGATTAAGCAAGAGAAGAATTCCCATAGTAAAATACAAATAGAAACCAGAACTAAAGGGGAAAAAATAAGCTTACAATTAGGAAAAAACAAGTAAACACTGAGAACAGCATTCACTTACAATAAAAATAATAAGACAATAGAGCCGGTAAACTGAACTCAGGTACTCCGAAATTCCATATATTCTGAACTGATGTTAGTTTCCAAATATTTAAAAATAAAATTCCCTTTGTAAAAATATTTATAAAATGACTAAAAAACAACTGTTTAGTAAATTATATAATAGGAAGACAAAATGTGTATTTTAATTAGGGCGGCAATGCAAAAGCTGACAATAAAATAATTCCCATAACCTCCTTGAGAACTTATACTTTCCAAGAATATGATTTGAAACTTAGGTATATGATTTAAACATATAATAAATATGTTTTAAGGGGGGAAATAACACACATTTGTACTCTGATTTTATCTAAATTCAAATATGAGACCCATAATTCATGTAAATAGAAATTGCGATAATATATTATAAAAACTATTATTCACATGCATGTTAGTATCTTGTTTATCACAAGCTTTGATACAATATTGGGAAGTGATCAACTAATCAATTTGCTTCCATATTTAAAAGGATATAGCATAACGTTACCACCGAAAAAATTATCCCCGAAATCCCAATGCTTCGAGACATAATCTGATTAGAAGATGTCAATAAAATTTGCATGAAAAATCAATTCAGATAAGCAGTTTGATTGATTTGAATTTTTGGTAATTCTAACAAACAAAGGTCCTTTGTCTTCTCGGGTAATCCTGGTAAGCTGATATTCACTTATATTCAGCTTCAGATCAAATTTTAAATACACATACAAAAAAATTAAATTGCAGGATATTCTGTTCTATGTATTATTAATGAGCCCAATTCAAAATCATTAAAGTGATCCTAAAGCAAAAGGATTTAGTGATATCATGCATATAGAACAGTGTAACGTTTATATTACTCACTTAACATTTTATTTAGTTTAATATGAATATAAAAAGCTTAAAAAGGATTTTTTTATAGTTTCTCTCCCCCCATAGTATAATAACAAATCAAAATAATTTAATAAACAGTTGAAACATACTTGCAATATGGGTCATGACTTTCATCTAAAGCACAGCTTCCACCATTAAAACAATTTAGTTGACAAAGGTGCCCTGCAAAAAAATTCTCATTACATTTATTTACTGAAAATATTTAATCACCAAGTTATTTAGCTATTATGTAACATAGTAACAGTAATACCAGTGTATTTTACTAAAAATGAGTTATCTTTTTGGGGAAAAAGAAGCTAATCTTAATACAAATTTATTCTACTATTGAGTGTTTAATAAAATGAAAAATGAAATTTGTGATAAATTTTATTTAAAATTATAATTTAAAACTTGTTAAATACTGGGCAACAAACTTCAAATGAATTTGTAGCACAAACAATGTCTTAGCATTATTACTGGCAAAGGCACTTCTGTCTCAAAGCAAAACAGATGTCTGCTTTATAAACCACAAAGATTTTATTAGGTTTAAAACAAAATATATTCTTCAAACAAAATAAATTAAATTCTTCAGTACAATAGTTTATGACAAAAACAAGTTAGCTGCATAAAATGATAATTAAATCAAAAATTAATAAATGACTTGAATTTAAAAAAAAAACTGCATTAGTATTTCCTATTTTATTTCATAACTGTTGTTGAAAAGCTGACCTAATTTTGAGTTTACAGCAACCAAATGTTCAACTCGGTAGTTCTGCAATTTTAAATCGAATCCAGAAAACAAAGGAATTCCTGGATCAAGTATTAAGAGAAATTAGCCTTTGTGGAGAACTTTTTGATGGAACTAACCTGCAATTGGGTTACACAGAAGAAAAACCACAAAAACCTCCTACTGTTAGCCTGAAGACAAGGAGACTCTAACCAATGATTTGTCTACCACTGAGAATATTTTACATCAGCATTGTGGTCGGTGCAAGTAAAGGGTAAAATTTGTATCGATCAGCCATCGCCAGGTCACCTTTTCAGAAGGCGAATGCTCTATCCACTGTGTAACCATAGCTCTAGTATTTCTATTGCATTTTTCAAAACAAAATAAAATAGCTAACATGTAAAGTAAAGCCTTCCCACAAAAGCTCGTTGGGGGCCAGAGGGGTCATGGAGGTTAAGGCTTCATAATTCCCTGCTTTTACTTCCCATACAAGCTGTCACCCATCGATCTGGATATATCGATATTTAAATAATTAAGTTAACTGTTGAGTAAAGAAAAACTAATTTTCCTAATAGATAATCTTAGTTCTGATTTTTTCAAAATTTTCAGATGCAGGCTTTCTGCATCAAAATGATTTGAATAATTGGATTTTTGGTAATTATAATTCTACAACAATTTTAGCCTCATTATACACTGCCTTAATAAATTTTATTAAAATTTCAGTGTTTCTGAAAAATCTAAAGACTCCCTTTTGATTAGGCTTTAAAAAGGTAAATAAAAAGGATAAATAATAACAGTAATATAAAAAACAGAGTCATCTGTGCAGAACATCTTACAGAAACCTCCAAAAATTCTGGAAGTAAAAAAGCATTCAATACAGAGTCAAAATAAGTAGATCAATAAAACAATAATTTAGAGCAATTTTATTATGTGGCCCTGATACAAGGTGTCTTAAAAAGTCAGACATCCAAAAACTTGAAGTTTATCAAAATAACTATTTCAGAAAAATTTTCAAAATCTTTTGACCTGTTAAAATTAGAAACTAAACAATATTAGAAAAAGCAAGCCTAACTACAATAAATTATCAAGCATAGAAACACTGTAAAATTCATCAAAGCACAGAGGCTTTTACGGCTTGATTACATTGAGAGATCATCTGACAACTGAGTGGTAAAGATCTTGCATTGGAAGCCCATGTGCAATAGGCCAAGAGGCAGACGGGAAAAAAATGGATGGATTATGTCTTGAATGATTCAACAACTTTAAAGATCTCCTATTGAAGATCAAGGTCAAGGACAGAGAGGCCTGAAGAAATATTCTGCCGCAGGCTAAGGCCCACCTTGTAGTGCCAATAAAGATGAACTATGATTAAAGATTAAATCTATAGGAAATGGGCGGGGCACACATTAAGAATGCCAAGAGAAAAATTAAAGCATGTCTTTCTTCCTTTGACCCCTCATGGTAAAAGTGAAAGACCAAGAATGACTTGGCAGCAACAAAGGAAAACTTATTTAAAAAGAGAAAAATTTAAAAGATTAGAGGAAGCCAGATTCCAAAGTAGGCTGGATGCCTTATGAGCCAAATGGCGTGAAGAGCCTGAGAAAGTAAGTAATAACAATAATAAATTCAAAAAGTAGTAAAATTGCAAAAAATAGTTCTTTTTCTTTCGTAAATGAGATATTTAATAATTTTATTAAAGACAGCAATGATAGTTCTATGATAAATGATCATTTAAATAAGAAACCAATTGCTTTATATAATACAGAACTTCACAAATAACAGCATAATTACCAGATGGGGAAGGTGGTTTAGGTATAGGCACAATACAATCTGGGTGATCGGAATTAACAGATTGATCTATCAACTCTGAACACAGGCATATGGCATAAGTTTCATTTTTGGCCACACATAAAGCATCTGATCCACACATATTTATGTTGGAAAGGCATGGTGTACTATCTACAAAGGCAAGATAATTTTTAATTATATTGATCACATATTAAAATATAAATAAAAAAATTTCAGAGAGTAGCAAGTTTTCCTTACGATTAATCTGCCTCTTTTCTTGGACTAGAACAATGTCATTAGCTTTGTTTAGACTTCTCACTAAGAATGTAACATTTCCGTGCCCAAACTTATCCATACGTATCACAGCATTACTTGGTGTAGTTGTCATGTAAATGTAATCTTCAAAAACATCAATTTTGTATGGCTTTTCATCTGCTAAACGAGAAACGAATACCATTTATCAACAAAAAATTAAATACAGTGCCCGCCGTTTATTAAAATCACTTTCGTTTTATGCTCTTTTGATTTTATTAAGCGGCTGATTTTATTAAGAAGCGATTCAACATTTGGAAGAAGAAAAAAAAATTTGTATTCTAAATGCACACACTTTAAAAGCTGAAATAATGACAACATTAATGTTTTATTTTAACTAATTTAATTATTTTAATAAAGTAAAACCCTACATAAGATTAAATTTACAAAATTTTTGCAAATAACCGATCAATGGTTGCTTGAGTTTCAGTATTTAAAATTAACTTTTCAACATCATTTGAGAGTTTATAGAAGTTTTTATAGTTTTCGATATTTCCTCCTCTTTGTTCTAAAGCTTGCCGCACTACATTAAGTGCTTTTCTGACTTCCATTGAAGATGGCACTGATGAGTTCATTTCATCTTCTGAGTCTGATTCCTCCATTTCTTGATTGAAAATAACTTTGCAATTTTTGATGTTTGTAACAATTTCAAAATCAGATTTTTCTCCTGATGTTTGCAGTTTATCGTCAATAGCTACGGAACATGCGCACAGTTTTTGGAAATCCATTCATGTTCTCTGTTAAGATAGATAACAAAAGAAACTTCTCTCCCTTCTATGGTTCATTCAATAAAAAGTAAGATAAGAATTCGACCCCCTGTTGAGTGAGATAGGTTTCTCCAAACTTCATTCAAGTCAAGGAATTGACATTGATTTCTATGAACTTGCCGCTTACCATCCACATTTTTCCTTAACTCTTACACTATGTATATCGCAGGAAAATGCTAGCCACGCCAGCTTCACAGGCTTGTGAGTAACTGTTGCTTCCTCAAAAAAATCTTTAAACTTCGAAAAATAAAATTTTATTAATAAGAACAAAAGAAGATGAAATACTGCACGTTTGATTTATTATGTAGTCAAAATTTTGATTTTAAAAAGCGGCGGCATTGATTTTATTAAAGGATGCTTTTAACATGCATTAATATTGTAACGATTTGGTTCTTGCCGATTTGATTTTATAAAGCGGCTGATTTTATTATCCAGTGATTTTATTAGCGGCGGGCACTGTAGCTTTATAAATGTAACAGTATTCTCCCTATGCATTTCTTTTTTTTTGGGGAAGGGTATATTAATGAATTTAAGTGATTTTAAAAATAATTTTTAACAAATACCCCTTTTTTTTAAAAAAAAAAATACACATTTAAATGTTTATTTTATCATAATTTTCATTTTAAATTATAGAAAAAAGCTTTCAAATTGTTTACCAATAATTTTTTTAGTTCCCTTTTTTGAAAAATTTTGTGCATAAAACATAATAAAACAGCATAGCATATTAAAATGCATAAAACAGCCTAAGAGGATACTTTAGAAATTGTTGAGAGGATCAAATTCCGTTATTATATAATATTACACCTCTTGATAAATTTTTACAGGGTTAAGTGAGCGCTCTTTCAAAACCCAAAGAGCTCTTTCCGGTGCGGAAGTGCCCCGCCCTTTTTATTCCTAAGGAGAACTCTGCAGTAATGCCTATATACAAACAGTGAACGATTACAATAACCTTGTATTAACACTAGAAAGACTGAACATTGCTGTACACCTAGAAAGTCTGAAGGGATCAGTCTGACACTTTCTCCAGATTATTTGTGTGTAGATCAATTAGACATCCAAAATCTTAAAATATAATTATAATTAATTTAATAAGAAACATGTTAGTGACTCAATCATGAAAATTTTATGGTTTTATATTCCATTTGATTAACAAAAGTATATGATTAAGCGGAATACTGACTTTTCAATTATTTTTATATATTAGTTCAGTATTTAATTTTCATTAAATTATTAGTTCCGAATTACTATAAATAATAATTGAATACATGTTGAAATACGATATATTCATTTTTTAACGAAACTGGGGTACCTTATATTTACGAAAACTATATATTTACCATATTTAATAACAAACCTACCAGTGGTTATGACGTATCTACCAAAATACCTTAGGGTCCACTTTGGCTCTTCCAGTCATAAGATTCTATAAATAAATTCCTATAAAGCTAACATATGAATAGGGACTTAAATTGAATCAAAGTATAAAAAATCAGAAATACTTAACATTTTTAGTAAGTTGTTTCTTGAACTACAGAGCAATATAAAACGACAGCAGACAAAATGGCCACAGCAGTTTATTAAATACTTACTTTTGCATGATTTAGATCAAGTGTTAAAATGCAAAATACCTTAAAGTAAGGAACCTGCATACAGTGTTTTAAAAACTATGAAAAGATAATACAAAACGAAAAAGATAAATACCTGAATTGAAGGCTTTTACAAGATGTCTGTGTCTTCCATCAATGTTTACAGATTCAACTCTAGACGCTTTTGGATCTGCCCAATACAGCCTGCCGGCCGGATGATCAACCGCTATTCCAGTAGGCCAGACAATATTTTTGTTAACCAATACTCTTCGGTCACTTCCATCTAGCTGAGCTCTTTCTATTTTTGGAAATGCTCCACAATCCGTCCAGAAGATATACCTAATTTTATTTTAATCAAAAATTAGAAGTTTGTAGTTTCTTAGAAATTTAAAATATGTATTCTAAGCAATTAAATAAAATTTTAAAAAAATTAAAAACTTCGTTTTTTAAGTAGACTAAAAAGAAGTAAATAATTTTATTTTTGTAACCAGCTAAAACAAACACGCAGGGAACAACGAAAGAGCAAGGTGAGGAGAAAAATTTTCAGTGACCATAGCCATTTGGTATGAGAAAGGTTGCCATAAGGTGTTTTGCGAAACCCCAAGGGTTCATTGGAAGGATTACAAGGGATTTGAGCGTAAGAATCATTAATCCATATTAGGTAAAATATTTTGGTTGTTTTTATAAACTTCTTTATGTAAAATGCCACTGAAATACTTAATTCAACAGAGCAAACATACTTTGGGAGCATCAAAATAGCAAGGCGAGGAGAAATTTTTTTAGTGTTGATAGCCATTTGCTATGAGATATTAGTTCATTGTATCTTGCCACTGTAAAAGAGGGAATTAGTTCATAGATATATCAAACATTACTTTATTAAGGAGAACTTGAAAAGAATAAAAATACCATAACTAGACATATCAAAATAATAAACAGCATTTCCTTTGATAATAGAAATGCATTTTTGCATTTTTAACATGAAATGCATTTTTAACATAAAAAGAAGTCTGTAATTAAGAACAGTTGAACTGAGGGGCTATCGGGCATCCAAAACTATCCCAATACCTTGAATTTTAAATAAGCAGTGAATGAATAGTTCTTAATGGGCACTTAGAAGCATAAAAAGAGATCCATAGTTGGCAATTTATCAATAAATAAAATAGCCCAAAACAAAACCAATCTTATGTCATTAATATAAAATTTCAAATAACTTTGATATAGCATAACCAACAAAAAAACTGTGAGAAATTAATACAACCCTGTAACAGAAATATGTAAATGGTAAGGGAAATAAAGCAGATTAAAGCTAAAAATAGATTTTAATATCCGAATAGTCGTGACAATGAATTGAGTCATACATTTGTATTGAATTAAAAAATTAGCCACTGCATTGATTAAGAAATTTGTTGTTTTTTTTTATATATATAACGTGATAAAAATTAAATAATTGGTCTAATTTAGTTATAATTGGATTAAAATTAATAAAATATGTTAATAACATTTTGAATTAATGAATAACATTTTTGAAGTTAAAGAAATTTTAAAACCTATCAAATATGTAATGCTTGTAATAGCATCACAATATTTTTTTATAAAACTAATATTTTAATGATAGTTTAGATAGATAGATAGATATAAATTAAACATACCCATCCTCAGGGTCCACTGCGATGTCATTTGGTTGATCTAAATCAGATGATATGATGGTCTGCCTTAAAGTGCCATCTAGTGTAGCAAGGGAAATGGTGTCAACACCGGAATCCACCCAATATATGTGATTATTCACCCAATCTACAGCTATACTGCGAGGTTCTGTTAAATCAAATATCTGAAAAGAAAATGAAATTTTACTCATTATAATGAAATATTGTAAAATTGATAATCAAATTAACCATCAAAGTGAAAAGCTTTGAAGTCTTCAAAAAAATGAAGAACTTTTCGTTGAAATTTTTTTTATAAATGTCAAAAATTGTTTGCTTTTAATGGGTAGAAAAAGTGTTTCAAACCAAAATGTCTCTAAATATTTTAAATCATTTTTTTATATTGTAAATATCTTCACAGTAAGTTCGTAATTTTTCAATAAATTTTTTTATGCGTATTGTAAATTTTCTAACTCAATTTCAAGTCTAATACTTATTTTTTATACTTTTACAAGGCATTGTCTTATATTTTATGTTAATCCACATTAATAATTTTTCGGTATCACAATATTTCTTGAGAAAAATGCTTGAACAAGGTTCTACTATTAATGTTTTAAAAGTAAATGTAGGCAGTTGAAGTAACGGGAAAAAAACAAGAGCCTAAATATTTTAAGTAAATATATACTTTTTTCTTTCACATTTTTAAATATATACTTTTTTCTACCTGCGCTATAAGTTCAGAATTTTAATTAAAATTCTTTATATTCATTGCAAATTTATTGATTCTTAAGTCGATTACTTAATTATGTTTTATACATTTACAAAGCATTATTTTATATTTCATGTTGACCTACATTTGGCTTTTTTCTGCATCTATTATTTACAAGATATGGTATCAAAGTTCTACTATAAATGTTTTAATAGTAGATCTAGGCAGAGGCAAAAATTACAAAAAAACACTATTTAGTAATACAATGAAATTACCATTATCGAAAACTATGATACTCTTTCTAAAAACCCATTATAAAATTTAAGAAATTATTTTTTAAAACACAAAATATGAAACGACTTAAAAACCAAATACCAATTTCTATTGCCTAAAAAAAAATATTATTTTCTAAATTATAATACAATACTAGTTGCTAAAATTTAAGTATTTCTAAAATAAATAACATACCTATGTTCTTTGCAGAAAACATTTTTAAACAACTAAAGTCAAAATTTTAAAATATTAAGAAAAAAGCTTTCATGATTATCATTGCAATAAATATTTCATGTTTATTATTGATGATTTATTTGTTCAACGATGGCGATTTTTGTTCATTCCTTTAAAGTTAAATGTTGATCCATCCACTAATGAAATTTGAGATTATTTTTAAGTGATTATTTAGGATTTATTTAAAAGTTGATACTCAGTTTTTCAGCCATCAAAATATTACAAAAGTTTTATCCCACACATGAATACAAACAAATATATACTTACAACCATGACAGGATTTTCATCATCATCTCTTTTTACTCGAGTGAGATTACTATTATCCAAAAAATATCGATAACGGTAGATGGCTTTCTGGTGGATATCCACCCAAAACAGTATGACTTCAGAGTCTTTGTACAATATATCGATGGAATCTATTCTGTTTTTATTTACTTCTGTGTTCAAAACATCATTCAAATTTTGTGCCATGGGCTTGTAAGGATTGATTTGTCTCAATTCATTTTCACTTGCCAAGAAAATAACAGCCTCCTTTCCTGCAAATGTAAACAAGCTGATTGTAGAGCTGATATAAACATGAGGAAAATACAATGAAGAAAAAGCTGTTAAAAAAATTAACTATTTCTTAATGTTTTGTCTGTTGTCTGTTCGTTTATGTGTTTACTATTGTGATATTTCAATAATATGTGTGATATTTCAATATATTTCAATAATTGTGATATTTCAATAATGTGATATTTCCATAAAAGATTCTCTTAGGGGCAAAAACAAAAAAAAAAAGAACAAAAGTGTGACATTTATTTACTTATTTTTTCTTTTAAAATGAGGTGAGGCTATATTTTACTCCCTATCCTTAGGCGTTCACAATTAATGTGGTGTTCACTACTTTTACACTTGCTAAAAAACAAAGCAATCTGTAAAGCAAACATAAAACATTTTTGGGAAAAGTTTTAAACTAATGCATATTTATACAAAGAGTTTAAGATTCCATATGAGAGAATTAAAAATAAATAATTTTTTTGGTTAAAAGAAATTATAGTACTAAAATAACTGGACAGAAAACAAGCACGCTACTTTCTTTTCTGTTTCGATAATTGTAATGTTATGTAATTTATTAGTTAAACACATCTTAAATAATTTTTTTCCATAAAATTTTTGGTTCATCAGTTTGGTTAATATAATTAACCAGCTTAAAAATGTGGCTTTGAAGCATTGACATTTTCAGTTTAAAGTGCGTATATTTTTTCAGCTTGCTCCACATCTATAGCCTTGAATTTTTAAACTAGACTCTAACCTTTGAGGGTTAGTAGAGAAAGCAGCTACTTAAATAATTTAAAAAACATGGAAGAATACATATTTTGCAACACAGGATGTAACATATGTTGAGAAGGACTGAAGACACACCAATCAATATTCAACCAATCAATTTTCATTATGATTTTAAAAGCGACAAAAAGCTATGTAAAAAAAAAAGTCAAATGGAGGGATGCCATAGGCAAAATATGTCTTTTTTGTTATCCTATTCTCATGGACATTAACAGAAATATCCTCACTGCAAACTTTAGCATTTTAAATGAGTGACTTTTTCTATGGTCATTTTCACCATATAGGCGTTTCCAATAAGCTTAACTGTCCTCTATGTTCTACAAGAGAAACTAAAAAATTTAACAGTTTAACAGTCAGCACCTTTATGACTACAATTACTTGTTTTACAACCAGTATACAAAGGCTAAGTGGGACACGGAAATAGAAAAGGTTTTTTTACTATGCTGCTTGGTATAGAATGGTTTACATAATCTATAGTGGAAACAGTTACATCAATTTTAAATATTAAATTATTTCCAGCATTTTATTTGAGCCAAGATGATATATTGAGCAAAGATGACATAATGCTTGATTATGGTTCCAAAATTTTAAGCATATATTTTAGAACAAATACTTTTCTGAAATGCACAAAAAACGATTTTGTAATGTGTTACACTAGTAAGACCCGTTTAAAGTACTAAATGGACATAATTATTATGGCTAATTATTCATTAGTTACACTGAAAAATGTTTTAACGAATGAAGAAAAAAAAAGTTAATGAAGAATAAAATATGTTACCTTCAGCATGACAAGAACCCTTTTCACCAGCAACAGGATGATATCCAGGAACACAACTGCATGAATAGTGGTCCTTCTTTTTAGCAACACACAACTGAGAACAGGCTCCAAAGCTGCAAGGGCCATAATCTGAAACATTTAACATTGAAAGTTATGAAAGTGGAACCGAAATGAAGGATTTCAAAATTGTTATTACAAGGCAGATTTTTTTTAATTTTCACCAGCATTGTGTAGCACCCAAATTTTTTATCAATTATTATTGCTTGTAGCTTTAAACTCGTGAAAGTTTAAATAGTCAAAAAACGCTATTTTTCCCAAGTTAAATAAAAACATTCCATGTAAAATTAAACAAATTAATCATACATTACAAAATAGAAATTAAACCAAAAAGAACAGGTATGGCAAATGGTATAACGGCTAAAATTGTACCTGGATTGCAAAATGATAAAAATATAGGAAAAAAATTATAAATAAAATTGGGAGAGAAATTTTGAACATCACATAAACAAATAAAAAAGAGTTTTTAGTTTAATCTATAATTATAAAATTTTCTCTTAGTAAATATTTCTCAGACATTTATTTAAATAATGATACTATAAATTTGTCAAACAAGTATTGATGTTATTTTTAAAATATCTTATAATAATTTTATATAATTGAAAAAACAAAAACTATTATTTTGCAGAGATACATCGTGTCATTTATGATTTAAAACCTTATATTTTGTTATTCGCGGTGCATTTAATGCTATTACGACTGTTTTATATGGTGCAATTTTGAGTTAAGCAAACGGCTTTTCGTTAATTTCTTATATTTTAATAAATTATTTTAATTAATTATTTAAAATTAGTATTTAATAATGTATTTAATTAGTTTTTTCTGAGCAAGGCAGGTAGTCAGTTAAGCTACAATTTTTAAACACTCTTACAAAAGTAAGTAAATATTTAATTTAAATAAAATTGAGATAATAAATTATTAACGACTTTATTAACCACTTAAATAGTCCAATTTTAAAAGTATTGTATATTGTGCTTACCACAATCAATTTCATCAGAATTATCATCACAATCTTCAAAATGATCACAGCGGAATGTAGAATTAATGCAATGACCACTTGTACACTGGAACTGATGGGGTGCACATAAGTGTTCTCTTTGACCTGCAATAATAATAAATAGCTTCAAAATAAAGATAAAATTTTTAAGCTTTTCCCATAAAAAATTACATTTTTATAAACACTAAATATTAATAATAATATATCAAAAGAACTATTTTTTAATATAGAAAAAAACTATATTCAAGTCAAAAAGTGAAGAGAAAAATTATAAATGAAAGAAAAATGTAATTATGAAAGAAAATTTTTTTAAAATTAAAAATGAAAGTTAGATCTTACAAACAGTGCGTAGCTCATCAGAATTATCTCCACAATCATTTTTCCCATCACAGAGACTAGATCTTGGTATGCATACACTATTCTCACATCTAAAACGTCCAGGAGGACAAGCTAGAGTTTCTAAAAGACAAATACAGTATTTTTGAAGTACAATACCAGTATGTACAATCATTAGAATTATCTTATATTTCAGAATGCCAGCTGATAGTCAGGCTTTTCACAGTAAATTTCCAAAAAAATAAATAAATAAATAAAAAATTCAAAGATCAAAAATTGTACACGTAGATAATAAAAAAAATTCCTGTTTTGTATGGAGAGCAAAAATGTTTCCAAGAAGATTTATTATTTTATAATCAACTCGCTATAAAATCAAACAAATGACACCAACAATTACAGTTTAGTTCAGGAAATTCTAACAGAAACTATCACATTTTAAAATTCATTTGTCTTTTACAAACTGACATTTATGTTAATTTAATTTCCTGAAAGATTTTTAGTTTTTTTTCCCGGAAAGGTGTATGAAAAGGGAAATTCTATAACAAATTTTAAAGTACGGGTACTTGCATTTGAAGGAAAATCAAATATCGATAAGCCTGCTCGTATTACATTTAGAACTTTCTGCGTACGTTTTGGAACTTTCCAGTTACCTGAGCAAATATTTATACAATGTGATTTAGTGTTTGAAAAAAGTTTCAAAATTATTAGCTTGAACATAAAAAACAAAACATGTTTAAGAAGTTAATAAAAGTTGTAAACAAAATTATAAAACATTATGTTAACTATATTCCTATACTAAACTGAATTGAAAAAAATATGTGCCAAATTATAACAAACTATTATTCTGATTAAAAACACTTACTGCAGAGTGCTAGATCTTCATCTGAATTATCATCACAGTCATTTTCTCCATCACACTGCCAAAGAGTTGATATACATTCACCATTACGACAAGTGAACTGCCCGTTCTGACATGGAATGCCTAAGAATATACAGAATTAAGAACATGACTGAACAAAAACTTCAGGAAAAACTAATTCAATAATGAATTTTTCCTTTTACTTTTATAAAAGAATTACTATATTTAATGAACTATTTGCAAGAGAACAGGTAAGAGGTCATTTCAGACTGAAATCTAAGTTAAAAATTATTCCAATTAAAAAAAGGTCTAAAAAATACAGCAGAAGATCTACAAATCACGATTCTATAAACCTCAAATATCCAAATTTGATAAATTTGATCGTAAATTTGTTCATTTTTGGTTCTAATGCTCCTGATAATTCAATTTTTTTTCTATAAATAAGGAATAAATAAATACATATTTTTGAGCATTAATATTATCAGTTCCAAATACATAGTGTTATGTTTAGTTAGTAAGTATAAGGACATGTAAAATGAACTATGTCATACTAAATTCTATGTAAACAAAATTCTATGTAACATGAAATTTTATGTAACAAAAAATTTTACATAACATTCATGTTTCAAGGTTTGCATTATTAAGATCTTCTACTGTAAATTCAAATTTTTCTAAAAAGCTAATTAGCTGACTTAGGGCATAAAACACTAATAAAAAGTAATATTTTAAAATCAAATAAAAACAAAAAAAAATTATTACCACATCCTTCTTCATCAGATCCATCAGCACAATCAGTATCTCCATCACAGTGCCAATCTCTAAGAATACAGAAGTTGTTACCTTTGCACAGGAACTCATTAGACTTGCAAGTGATAGCTAAAAAGAAATACAGATTGATATTATACTACAGATCTTAATAAATTAATAAAACATTAAAAAATGATTACATATATATATGCATTCATATACATATATATTGTTCGTAATTTTTTTATTTTTCAGAATTTTTATTTTCTTTGCGTTTCGAAGCTTTCGCGGGCCACACATCAACAGTCTGTGCGCCCCTAATTGTAATTATTGAATCAGCTTAAATGACATGAGCACACCACCAAGGTCATTATTTTTATCGTAATTAACATGCATAAATAGTAAAATGAAACACATACCAAAAAACATTCAATGAGCATAGAAAAATTAATCAATGCACTGAGGAGATTTTATTCCATTCTTATATGATTACTATTGACCAGAGTTCAAATTTGAGTCATTAGTAAAATATTAGTATAGATATATTTTTAAAATAAATAAAATATTTAGTATAATTTTTTGAATAAATAAAACCTGTGCAACTTACTGCAATTGACTTCATCACTGCCATCATCACAATTTGACTCTCCATTACAACGCCAAGATGAACTGATGCATTTTCCATTGTTGCATCGAAATTCACTCTCAGAACAATTTCNAAAAATTTTTTTCCTCATAAGATTTTAGGATTTTTCTTTCTTTTTTGAAAGATGCTCACCTTACCATCATTCTGGAAATAATCATTAGTGTATTACTTCATCGTTTTTTCTTCTTTTTAAGATTATTTCCAAAAAAAAATTTTTTTTTTTTAGCTGGGTTTGACAATGAAAAAACGGCTTTTTGTAGCGATTCCGAAAGCCGGAAAAATCAGTTATCCGGAATAGCGATAGTCCCGATCGTTCTGGATAATCGGCTCCGTACTGTACATATTTTCGAGCATTAATATTATCAGTTCCAAATACATAGTGTCATGGTTAGTTAGTAGGTATAAGGACACGTAAAATGATCTATGTTATACTAAATTCTGTGTAACACAAAATTCTATGTAACATGAAATTTTATGTAACACAAAATTTTATATAACATTCATGTTTCATGGTTTGCATTATTAAGATCTTCTACTGTACATTAAAATTTTTTAAAAAAGCTAATTAGCTGACTTAGGGCATAAAACACGAATAAAAAGTGAAATTTTAATATCAAATGAAAACAAATAAAAATTATTACCACATCCTTCTTCATCAGATCCATCAGCACAATCAGTATCTCCATCACAGTGCCAATCTCTAAGAATACAGAAGTTGTTACCTTTGCACAGGAACTCATTAGACTTGCAAGTGATAGCTAAAATGCAATAAAGATCAATATTATACAGCAGTTATTTAAATTAATAAAACATTTAAAAAATGATTACATATATATATGCATTCATATACATATATATTGTTCGTCATTTTTCCATTTTTCAGAAATATTTTTTCATTGAGTTTAGAAGCTTTCGTGGGCCGCACATCAACAGTCTAGGGGTCGTAGGTTGTGCGCCCCTAATTGTAATTATTGAATCAGCTTAAATGACAAGAGCACACCACCAAACTCATTATTTTTACCGTAATTAACATGCATAAATAGTTAAATGAAACAGATACCACAAAACAATCAATGACCATAGAAAAATCAATTCAAATTTGAGTCATTAGTAAAATATTAGAAAAAATATATTTTTAAAATAAATAAAATATTTAGTATAATTTTTTAAATAAATAAAACCTGTGTAACTTACTGCAATTGACTTCATCACTGCCATCATCACAATTTGACTCTCCATTACAACGCCAAGATGAACTGATGCATTTTCCATTGTTGCATCGAAATTCACTCTCAGAACAATTTCTTAACACTAGAAATAAAATAAAAAGTATTAGTAACATATGTGCTTCAAGATCTTACTTACAAAATTACAATATGATTAATTATTGACAAGTGTTTAGATAATTCCAAACTAATTTTTGTTCATTGCTATTCCTTTCAGTCTGTTTTATTAATTTTCAAATCCATTACTTCTTTATTACTTTGCACACACTGAAAAAATATTATTTGATATTTTATGTTGACCAAAAATCATCCTTTTCTCATATCTATTGTTCGGAATGAATGGTCCCATAAGATATGATCAATCAAAATAGTACTGTTTGATAAAAAAAAAATTTTTTTTCTCATAGCAAGCAATTGTAAAGAAATCAGTAACATTTACAAATTATAGCATTGGCTACAACAAGTATGTTACAACAGAGTATTAAAAATCATAAAAATTCAGTTACATATTAAGTTAAAGCACAGTTACACATACAATTATAAAAATCCATACCACAATTAGTTTCATCAGACAAATCCCCACAATCATCATCATAATCACACTTCCACCGATTAGGAATGCATCTGTTGTTTTGACACTTAAAGTAAGAGGGATGGCAGGTGGTAGTATCATCACAAGAATCTGGCTCATCTTCTTTATCATTGCAGTCACTGTCTCCATCACATTTCCAAGAGAAAGGAATACATCTTCCAGAATTACAACGGAAGTAATTGGCTGGGCATTCTCTTCCAGCTAAAAATAAAAAAAATCTCAATAACTGATTGCTTATATTGTGATATACTTCAATCTTGGAATATTATACCTACAACAATAGTAACAATTTATATTTATAAAACAAGCGTGTAAGCAATTATCAGCCAAGTTATCTTTATAATCTTAAATAGTTGTCATATGATCCTTATCTAAATCCTATATAATTGTTAACAAATTAAATATTAAGTTTTGGTAAAAGAATTGGATTTATTTAATTGATTTTTAAGCTTATTTGAAATTAGGATCTTTTATAAATATATATATGTTAGTATCAGACTTTATCATTCACATCCTTTCTTTTTATCTATTTTGAGTTCAAGTATGCAGGAAATAACACTTTAACGTTTTCCCTTTACTAAGCGTAAGAACCATATTATTCCCTCGACCTACTTAATGGACCAATTATAATTACTCAAGTTTCCTTTTGCCATATGACATAACATATCATGGAGACTATTTTGCAACATTTTTATTCTATAATATTTTTACTCTTCCATAATTTTTATTAAGTACTTCGATTTTGTGTATCTTGGATGATCGTTCTCTTGCTAATAATGTTTAAATAAATATTGATGTCCTCTTCCCCTGCCTAAGACCTGTTTTTATCCTACCTCTTGGCAATGGCTTTATAAATATATATGGTAAAAAATATAAAGAAAACATGGAAAATAATATATTATATTATTTAAATTATATTAATTGTATTAATACATGTAAATATTATTAGGTTTAATATTTACAGCTACAAGCTTGCCAAATGGCAATTCCATTCGGTATTGTTTATTATCCTTCTAATGGACTGACTTATACAGTATTTGTTGATAACTTATTTCGACTCTATAATTATTTCTATTACATAAATTATTTCTATAGTGAGGCGTTATCATGTAGCTTAATCTTTCAAGGCTAGATGATCATTTAAACTATAAAACATGATGCATTTCTCTGGAGACTGGTGAGTTAAGGGTTCATTCCTTGCTACCCTCTTAAGAACTGACCAAGCAGTAATTTCATAGATACAAAAATTTATCTTTAATAGTTTAATCCAGGCAGAGATTTACCTTTGAGTATTAATGAATTAAAATAATAAGTAATAAAAAGTAAGTATTTAAAAATCAACGGAAATTTATTGGGAAAGATTATTAAAATGTAAATAAGTGAATCTGCATCTCTTGAAAATTAATAAAAATAATAAAATTTTTCTCGAAATATGTTTCAAAGTAATTACTATTTCATTAATAATATGATAGGATGAGAAATTTTTCTGTGGCTTTCTAAAAAAGTGTAACTTTCTTTCTCACCACGATGAATAGTAAATTATCTAGTTGACAGGTGTTTCAAATTTATTACACCAATGCTTGATCTATTACAGAATTTTATCACGTAAAATACATTGTTTTGAGAATATAATTATGATTATTGAAAATCCTGAGATAGAAATTACAAAAGCTTACCACAAGTATCTGGTTCATCGGAATTATCTCCACAGTCATCATCTCCATCACATTCCCAAACTGCAGGAATGCATTTAGTATTGTCACATAAAAATTGATTAGGCAAACATGTGCGAGGAGCTGTAAGTGTAACAAATTGTTAATAAGCAATTAGAAACACGAGTAGAATTTCGACATGAAATAAAATATTTCTTAGATGAAAATAGTCACATACTAAATGCAAGGCAGTTTTTTATTTTTAGAAATAAATATAAATAAATGAAAAGAAAAGCTAATAGAGAACATGTACTTACACACTAATTGTAAAGTTAAGAAAAATATGAAAAATTTAAAGTACAATGACATAACAACATTACTTTTGACAAAAATAAACAGACTATGAATGCACACATATGAAATGAGTGAGGCAAATAAATATTTAACTTAAAAATCAAAAACACAAAAGCTTATTATTTAAAATAATTACAAAAATTGAAATTTGAATGAAATAAATGAAAAAATAAAATTAATCTATTTTTGTAAACATTTTGTAACCATTTGCAAAATTAAAATGGTTATTCAATGCATACACACCAAAATTTTCAACAAAATCTAATTAAATGTAATAAACATAACTCAAAGAATTGAAAATGAAAAACTATCAAATCTACACCAAGAAGAGGACCATTTTGGAAGAAAATAATAGAAATGGTCAAATAAAAAAAATTTGATAGTAAAAAACATAGTTTGATAAAAGTTAGAAAACTTAATGATTGTTTAGTCCAAAGTTTGAGATTAATCAATGGGGAGTTCCAAAGCAGTTAATTCATGAGACAGAACGAAGCACTCACAACCAAAGGTAGCAAGACCAGTGAAAAGTAGTGAACTCATGCACAAGTTCCCACCCTCTTAGATTTGCACCTTACATAATTCACAGTCATTTCTAATTACATACACAATACAATTTTTTTAAATCTATAGTTTGAGAAATGTCAATTAGGTTAAAAACTGATCATAGAAATAAAACTGTTAGAGAAACCCAAACATACAGAGCAAAGCTATGTGTTAGCCACATAAACACAACTCTGCGAGGGTAGACCAACTAGCGTTGGAAAGTGTTTAGTTATGCATGTATGTGTGTGAGTATAAAATTGTACTACTTACTGCAATTCATTTCATCTTCACCACCTAAGCAGTCTTTTGTACCATCACAATGACTAGCTAAACCAATACAGTAAGCCTGTGTTGTTCCATTTCTTGGACATTTGAATTGACTTAAGAGACAAGTATGTTTATCTGAAATATAAATGAATTAAACATACTGTATAGAATATTAATTACTGTATAGTTTCAAGTCATATCTGTAATCTCAGATGGGTCATGGATGTCGACCATCTTATCCTTTGCCGAGTTTTAACCAAACATTCTCTTGTGGACCGCTACTGAGAGGCCAGGGGCCATTTGGATTCATAGACTATTGTTACAACTGCTTCTCTTGTTCTCTTACGTTTTTCTCTCTATATATATTTGTTCTTTACTTGGTTCTTCGTATTTATCACTGTAATTGTCTTTTAATTTTTCCATTTGAAATATATAAATAAATGTTGGTTATGAATAGCGGCTTCGAGTGGTATACGCTAGAACTCGTCAAATGGTGGTTTATGAACTGAAATAATTGTTTCCTACCAAAAAATAATTATTGATGAACAAGGATTTTTTTGTCTTGGTAACGTATAGTCAAATTTCCCGCCTTACCATTGGTATGAAGTTGTGAAGTCACACTGATTGAAAATTATTACTATTACAGTAATTATTATTAAACTTTAATTAAATCATAATCATTTGATTTTTCTTTCTCATCCTTGCTTGTCCCGTTTAATAAAAATTTTATTGAAAATACATAGCGTGTTCAGTTAAAAACTTAGCACTTTGAATAATATTTTAATTTATACAACTTTTAATAATTGCTGAAACACCTCAATTTTGTTTTGGAGGAAAACATTTAAAACCTTACGTTAATTGGTGGGGAAACTTTCTCCTCCATCAAAAACAAGGTGGTGGTCTTTGAGATTAAATGTTTATAAATATATTATAAAATTAACTTTTATTTTTCTGAAATTATAATAAATATAGAGTTAAACCTTTTAATTTTCTGCAGTCCTAATTGTCTAAGCATAATGCAGGCATACCACTTCTCCACAAAAAATCTCAAGATTACACATTATGAAATTTAATAAAAAAAGAAAAGAAAAAAAACAGAGTGTATTTGTACAATGTTTAAAAAGTTTTTTTTTTTTTTTGGGGGGGGNTTTTTTGGGGGGGGGGGGAGATATACTGAAAATTATAGAAGTCTAGAAGTTGCACAGCATTATTCAAAATTATAAATAAATAAATGAACAGAGGCAATAATATGAACAACTATAAATAATATAAGTTCAGTGTGTTTGTTGATTACTTACCACAGTCAGTTTCATCAGAGTTATCTCTACACTGACTCACTCGATCGCATATTTGATTGGGTTGAATGCAGTTGTGATTTTTACACTGGAACTGTCCAGGGCTACAGTGGAAAGGTGGACAGTCTTCTGGTTCATCTGATTTATCACCACAGTCATCTTGAGTGTCACAATACCACCAGCTAGGAATGCATTTATAGGTGGCAGCACAAACAAATTGGGAACTGTGATAAGAAAACTAAGTCAAAATCAATGCTTTATTTGATTTATTTTTTTTAAAAAAAATTTGTTCATTATAAGGGAAACTAAATAGAAGCTAAGGTCGGAACTGTTTTCTTAGTACCTGGTGCAATTATTTCTGCATGAAACACTGTCATCTTCTAAGACATAATTTTCAGGACAAGCACACAAAGCATCTCCCCCAGGTTTCAAGAGGCAGAGAGTAGTGCAGCCAGCAGTTGTGCATGGGTTGGTAGTTTTTACTAATTAAAAAATATTGAGAACAACACTATTTTAATAATATTAGTGCAACAAAAAGAAAAAATAAATACATGCTTTAAATAATAAGTGCTTTGAGCAAACAGAGAGTAGCCACACTTCTTCCAGAGAGGACATTTTTTTACTTTCTTCCTTAGTAATACCTGCCAACATGGGAGATATAAAATAACGGACATTTTACTAGGGACATTTTTAGGCTGCGAGTAAAGTTTTGATGCATCATGCATAATCATGTGAGTCAAAAATGGAAATCAAAATTGGAAATAATATAAGCACTTACATTTAGCGAAGTAAAAAATATGTATACAAATCTTAATCTAAAGAAGATTTTTTAAACCATTATTTATAGTTACTTAAACTATTAACACTCAACATACTGCAGTACTGGCAATAGTACTATCTGTTGAGGAATAAGAAAAGTATTTTTGCCATCAGCGGATATCGCCTAAATTGAATTTTTCTTAAATTCTTCAACAAATAAGGAGAAATTACAGAATTTACGAGTAAACATGAAATAGTCGTAAAATACAGGAGTCTTTGTTAAAACAGAGGAAACTTGGCAGGTATGCTTAATATAGTTTCGAAATAGGAACTGTACACGCTTCTAGTATAACATAATACACAAAAACATCCTATGGCCTAGTTGAAATCTTGGTTTTTTATCAAAAAAGCTCACCTGATCAATTTAAAAATTTGGCTAATATCTTTTAATGCATTTCATGTCCCAAAGTGGACTAATTGTAAGACATGCTTCTCAGTAGATTGCTAAAGTAAAGCGATACTGGCTGCTGTCAGTGAGCGAGTGGATGTCCACTTTGATTAGCCTGTGAAGGGGCTGAGATCGCAAGGCATTGGTCCTCGTTAAACTGTTCTGTCGTAAAGTGATTGACTTTGCAAGCAGGTCATTGGCTACTAAAGAGGAGGAGTCCGCCCTTCCGCAGAGGATCACAATTGTGATGGCATGTCTTCGAACCATCCTCAGGGATGCTTCCCAGATAACTTATTATACAAATCTAGTGCAACTTAAATAAAGTACAATTACAAATTCTTCTTATATATTTTAAAAAGATGGAAATTACAATTTCATTTAAAAAAATAAAATAGTGAGAAGAGAATGATAAAAGATTTCAATTTAGTCAGATAATTATAAGCAGAAAATTAAAGCTACGATTTTTACATTTTCAATATAAAAACGAGAAATTTAGATAATAGTTAAATAATTAAATGAAATAACAGTTGAATTAACATTAGACTTCATAAAAATCAATAAAGCAACTAAAATTAATTCAAATTTTTGAGAACCAATAAAAAAATTTTACCATGAATGTGCATAGTTTGATTTGCCAATCTAATTGCAGGAAACAAACATTATTTTTGAAATTTAATACTAAATGATGCAGTCAATGTTCGCAAATAAGTAAGAAATATCAAGTCTCATTATGTGTAGACATTTTAATGTGTAGACATTTTAATGCTACAAAAAACAAAATTACAAAATTTGTGTTTCCATTCCTATGAAAGAATACATTTAAATTTATCTTAAATTTAAATAGAAAATGCCAGCATTGTACACATCAATAACATTATTTTAAAAATCCTGAAAAATGCTAATATTCTTTTAAACATCTATGGTATTTTGATCTAATGTATGTTCTCTGATAACAACATTCATGTGTGAAATTTAGAAAGCTTTCTCTAGGAAGTAAAATCTAGCAAAAGTTTAAATAACTGACCTTCAAGTATTGAATTTAGGAGTCTACAGAATAAAAATTTTTTTTTAAGAAATCTGTTCTAGTGAGTAATAAGGCATGCTTACAAGGTGTTTGTCTAAATGGATGAAAAACTTGAATATCCATTGGTCGATGTGTAGTTGTCGCTATAGTAGAATAATTTAAACAATGGTATTTATGGCAGCGTTCAATACTTTTTGTGACCCAATCTGTCCAATATAATTGATCTTCAAACACAGTTAAAGCAAATATGTGGTGGATAGCATCAAATTGACCTAAAAGAAAAATATTTTTCAACACTTTTAATTAAATAATAAATTTATTTATTTAATAAAAATAAGCAATCTGTAATTTATAAAATTATTTTTCTAATGAATTACTTCCAAAAAACTATAAAGATGCATAAAATGCACTTAATTTCACATTTAACTTAAATATTAATTCTTTTTTCCCCTTTATGCTCAGCAAACAATTATTTAAATTGATTGTGTGAGAGTAAAATATTATTTATAGCAAGTTGCGATTAAGTTATTACTTTCATGTAGAGGAATACCATCAAAAAGTGTGTAACAAATTAAGATTTTCTGCATAGGTTCCACAAAATTTGAATATAGTTTAATTTTGCCTTTCACTTTAAGGAAAGTGTTATTAATTTTTTATAATTTAAAACTTATATCACTTTTTGTTAGTAAATATCTACCATCTTTGAGAAAAGAACTGGATTAGCATTACAAATTTGGTGACAACACTTAAGGTTAATTAACTAATGAAAAAATATTGTTTGTTGAAGATTTCAAAATGTAATTTAACTTAGTAAAAAATAATGAGTCTTTATAACTCTTCACTAATGTTTTGCACTTTAAACTTAAAACTGCCTTTTCAATAAAATTAATTTTAAATAATTTTAAACCAAAGCAAAAACTATAATATTAAATAATAAAATGGACACTCACCTTTCTTAATGACAGTTCGTCTATTCTTGCCATCCAAATCAGCTACAGCAATGTAATCCTCCTTAGCGTCAGCCCAAAATATTTCTCGTGTAACATAGTCTATGGTAAGAGCGTTAGGCCAGCCGAGAGACTCATTTATAAGTTTAATAAATTGGGTACCATCCATGCCAGCTTTTCCAATGTATGGTTTATCACCCCAATCAGTCCAGTACATATGCCTACAATGTGAAGTATTAACATCCAAACATCTATTTCAATATACACACAGATAAATTATAAATATATATGCAGATAGACAGGGGGAAATGGGGCATGATCAGGTAGCAAAGATTTTAAAGCCGTTTGGAGCTTAACTATTCGACCTAGAAACTGTCATATTTAACAAGATATTCATTGTTTAATTGTGTACAATGCGGCCATTCTTGAAAAATCATAGATGTGCTACTTTTTGATAAAAAAAAATAAAAAATTTCTAGAAAAAATCGAATCACCTGGTCTAATGGTTGAAGACTAGGTACATAAGTTAACTTTAACTCCATGGAAAATTTAAAAATACTAGAATTTCAGTGAAAAAGTAACAGGCAGTTCTATTTTAGATGACAATTTAAGAAAATTATGTATGTAATTTACATAGATTGTAGTCAAGGGTATACTCAAGGGGCGGGTGACAATTGTCTTGGGGCATGGAGTTGCTGAAGACCGAATCAAAATTTCTTAAAAAATATATAGTGTTTATTAATTAGATTGTTTTGTTTTTTTAAAGAAAATGGAGAGAATTTTTTTATATCTATATAAAAACAACAATTTTGTATAAAGGGCTTTCAAAAATTCTATAAAATATATAAGGAAGCCTTTTTGCGTTTTGAAGAAGGCGCCCGCAATAAATCTTGTACTTGGGCTCGTAAAACCTCTGTTCTGCATTGGATGAAGTCATCTTCTTCCTCTGCAGCACTGCAGCTTTCGTGAGACCAGCATAGACTCACATCAAAGGGATGGAGGTAAAACCCTGTAATACCTGGTCTTACCACGAGAGCAAAATTTATCAAAACATATGAACAGTGCTATAATTGGATTCAATCTTTATTGTTTGATAAGATAAATATCTTTATTATATGAATAATAAGCTGGACTAAAAGCAATTTTTGTAACTGTAATGACCAATAAATAAGGCTAGTTTAAATGAAAATGTACTGTTATCGTATTATTAAAACAATGTCAAAATATACTTTTAGCATTTGCAAAAGGAAATAAATTTGTAAGAAATTGTAAATAATAAAAGATTTTTAACGAAGTTATCAGAAGAAATTTACTCTAATTTCAGCAATTGATGTGGAAGCAATAATAGGAAGCTTTCTTATTCATTTGCCTGACATGGCATTATAAATAAAATGATGTATTTAAAATAAATCTTAAGATTTGTCAAACTCTGTTTTTCATCAAAACTCTGTTTTTTTTTCTTCAACATCAACACAAGGCAAGCTTTCAAAATAAAGATCTCAAAAGAGAGAAAAATTTTCCTACAAAATGGATAAAAACAATCATCATTTAAAATCTGGGAAAAATTTTACAAAAAAATAAAAAATAAAACTCATGTTAAGTTTAGCTCTTTCAGCACATTAAATTTCTATTCCATTTCTACCTGCTGCAGAGCACCTTGAATGGTATTTTTTACTACAAGTTTAAAAGTTGATAATTCTTAAATTACTTGCTGCATGTCAGAATTTTTTTTAAATTTAATTATACTCTGTGTACATTTGTCTAGATATTTTCATAATTTCAAGTCTTATCATTCTTATGCAGCAAAACTAATTTTAAATGCATAGTTAAACATCCAAAAACGTGGCAGCACTGATTACAAATTTCAATATAGAGGGAAAACATTCATACTTGGTAACACAACTGCATTCAAATTTAAAATGAATTTTGCTTTTATATAAAAAGGGATTAAAATATTTGAAAAGAAAGATTGAAAATAAATTTAACTACATAACTAAAAGCATCTTCGTAATGGTGAACAAATAAAAGAGATTTACCCTTGATAAGGATCTAAGACAATGGCTCTAGGCTCTTGCAATCCTTTCCTAATGAGAACTTTTCGAAATCTTCCATCCAGTGTTGACACTTCAATAGTATCTTTTCCTTTGTCACACCAGTAAAGATTACGCCCTATCCAATCGACAGCTAAACCATCAGGACTTTGCACTGATCCAGCATGCAGCAACTGTAACAAATATTAATATTTACTCTTAAAAATTCAAAACTTTTATCATCTAAAGTTAAAGTATAGTTGAACTCTGCATTCATATTATGCTTTGCAATTACCACACTTAATATTGGTTTTTTAGAATCCCTGTAAATAGTGAAGTAATAGCATTATCGAACTCTATTATCAACCATTATGAAGATTTGTTCGAGTAAAAGATGGATTAAAATCACCTGATTCTTTTTCACTTAAGAATAAAGCTAAAAGTCTCTTCCAGGCAAAATGAATTGGAGACTCACTTAACTACTGCCACTAAAGATATTATTTGGTTTTTAATGATTTTAATCCCTGCTTTGCTCTTATCAACCTTGGGAATGCTTAGTCAGAGTTTTAAAACGTTATTTTTTTCCTTCCATTTAACATGATTTTGTAAAAGTGTCTTATCTATATTTTCCTGTTTTTCAATGCTTTGAGCTCAATATCTACTTTAAATTTTATTCATTGTAGCTAAGTTCCTATTGGGTTCTTACATTGCAAAGGATAACTCAAATAAGTTTTTATTTTAACTAGTAATTTTAAAAAGTATTGTTTACATGTATATGATTCGTTTTCTAATTGTCTTTTCATAAGCATTCATGTTAACTTTAAAAATAACCAACAACATTTAAAATTGAAATATTTTTAGGAAAGATTTCTAGAACTTGTAATACCTGATGCCCAGGAGTGCTCAAACACATTCTTTTGATGCTACTTCCAAGTGCGGTAACATCTGACCAGTAGAGACAATTTTCCATCCAATCAAAATCAAGGGCAACAGAATTGGTTAAATTACGAGCCAAAAGCTCTGTGTCAAAGCCATGAAGATCAATTTGTCGAATATAATAACGATTGGAAAATATAAGCATTGGTTTCACAGCTATAAGAGAATAAAGATATACATAATTATTAAACAGCAAAATTTGGTTTTCAAATAATATAAATTATAATAAGATATACATGATCCCACAGGAAAAAAGAGAAAACTGTTAGGAAGGATCCTTCTCCAAAATGCATAAAAAAGTATATCGCAACTAATATTTTTTATTCTTTATCTAACAACTAAAGTAAAAGATCTTTACTATTTTAAATCACAAGCTGAAAAGATAGAAAATATAGAACATTAGTATGGGAAAAAATTTTAAATTAATATTAGCAAAACACATTAAAAAAATCCTATTAACTGCAGAAAATAAAGTTTACATTGAAAAAAGAAAATTAAAAAATCCAACTAAGCATATAACATTAAAATCAGTTAACCTTTTGTAAAAAGGCATGTTTTAAAACAACATCTGGCATAGACAACTGAAATAATCGAACTTTAAGATACCATCATTATGTATTATCTAGTATCTAGCAGACTGATTAATCTGAAATCATGTAACTGAACTAGAATCCAATAGAATGATTTTCAGTCCAGTTGGAGCAACCTAAAATCATACAATCGAACTGTAATCCAATATAATGATTTCCAGTCCAGTTGGAGCAATGTGAAATGATTCAACAGAAGTAGAATCCAATAGAATGATTTTCCATCCAGTTGGAATTATCTGAAACCACACAACTGAAGTAAAATCCCATAGAATGATTCTCAGTCCAGTTGGAGCCATCAGAAATCATGCAGCTGAACTAGAATCCAATAGAAAAATTCCCAGTCCAATTGATTGAGTTTTATAATTACAGAAATGTCACCATTCCAAACTTGCAGAGAAAATATTAATTAGTTAGAAATTGAAAATTGAAGACATGGGAAAGTCATATTTTACTTTGCTCAATAAGGTCACATTTGTAAGCTTATTGTTATGACATAACTGGCCCTGGAAATATAGAACATTTATAATATTAAGCAATAATACTCACAGGTGTTAGCTTTACATGTTACACCACCGTCTAGTGAGAGGTAGCCTGTTTCACAGATACACTTGTATGATCCTTGGGTATTACGGCAATGTTGGCTGCATGGATGCTCCTCTTTGCATTCATCAATATCTAGAATAATTTCAATTTTTGAAGACATGCTACCACTGAAGTGCAGAAATCAGTTATTCCACAGATTATCTAGCTATTGTACAGATCAACTAGAGAGATCTGTTAAAGTGTCAAAAATTGATTCAATTTCTCTTATTACCTAGGTAATTTGCAAACTACCTAAATAATTCGCCCATTACCTACGAAACGCTTGTTAAAGAGAAAATAAGATCTTCTGGAACAGCAGCAATGTTACTGTACTGCTTCTGCTTAAATTACCATAATGTCAAAATAGCTAACAAATTAGTTATAAAATGATCATTAATGTGCACATGACCAGAGGAGCCAACTTTCCAAACTAGTAGTTATCACAAGTACAATAATACATATAAATAAATTCTAAAGTTAGCGAAATTTAAAGGTGTTTTTTCTTATTTAATTCTACATAGGTATATACCTAACATTAATAATATTATGCATGAATTTATTGTTAAACAAAAAAAGAAACACTAGGGTATTACTTTTCTCGATTATTCGCTACAAATAGCTAAATTTAATAACCCTTGGTAGTTGAGGAAAAAAAAACTTATTTTTAACAGATTATTAAAAAAATTCTCAAAACTCATTTTTTATTACTGAACCATAATGATGAGATCTTCACAACAAAATTGCAATAATTAAGGATAAATCTTAAAGGTTGGCACCTCTACGTTACCTAGGAAACATTACGTGATCACAAAAACAAATAAAAATATTTCAAAATAATAAAAAATAATTTTTAAATATATATATATATATATATATAAGAAGTTTTTTTGAATATAAGAGGCACAGGACCTCTCAAGAGTCCTAGAAATGTGTCACCTTAAGCAAACTACGTGCTTGTCTAATCCTTTACGGCGGCTGTGTATACGTATAAGCCGTTTTTGAATATAAATGCCTAGTTGAACTAAATAACCTGCACNATTAAAAAATAAAATCTCTTATTCTGAAAAACTAACAATTTATTTGGTAAAAATATTATGGAAGAAAATCTTTATAACGCAAACTATGAGACGTGAAGCTTTGCATTATACAGAATTTTGTTTATATAGATCATTTCAATTATCATTAAACTTACCTATTGAACATATTTAATAGATTAATATTTAAATGCTTTTAAACAACGTTTAGATGCAAATTACTTTAAAACACAACAATGTGCACTAAGATTTTATGCAGGAAAAAAAACTACAATTATCAAAAGCATTAGAATTAACAATTAAAAACTTTAAAATTTTTTCTAAATGACTTTCATTACAAAATTAATGTGGTTCATGGAGAATTGAATTTTATAGAATCATCTTCCAATGTAGATAGTACATATACAATGATCATAGATCTTCCAATGTACAATTATTCACGTACTATCTCTCATAACTATCTAATAATAGTCATGTGCAAGTTGATGTGAATTATGCATATTAATGCATATTAGAATGAACCATTTATTTAGCAAATACTATATGATTTATAGTATAATGCTTTTGACAATTTTTAACTTTTCTTAATTATTAGAAACTTTGTAACATAAAATTTTTAAAAAAATTGTAAGAAAACAAAAAAAAGTAAATTAACCATGTAAGTTCCTTACACATGATTTTATTTTAATCATAAGACTATAGATAAAAAAAAACTATTTATTTATTAAAAAAATACTGTGGAAGCACCATAATAAAATAAAGATGCGCAATATTGAGAAACATAATTTGTATTAATGTACCTATATGTTGTAGAAAGTTATTAGAAAAACTTCAAAATAAATTTTAAAATCTTACAATTAAAATTATGTAAAAAGCTTATCAATTTAATAAATTATTAATATTTACCTTCACATATTTGTCCATCACTAATAGGGCGATAACCATCACGGCAAGTACATTTATATCCAATAGGAAGATCAACACACTTATGGGCACATGTAAATTCTGATTCACATTCATTAATATCTAAAAGAAAAATAGAAAAAAAAGGTAGTCTAAAATCGATAAGGCAAAAGTAAAAATATCAATTATTTACTTTATCAGATAATTATTTTTTTAAAAAATAAATAATGAAAAAGCTTAGTTCAACTGAAAAATAACTTGGAAACAAAGTAAGCAAAATTAATGACTTTTATGATAACACTGGAGAACAACTTAGCCAAAATTAAAGTAGTTTAGAATATATCATAAATAGAACTGTTTTGAAACTACATATTATCACCATCATTAGTGCCAAGACACACATAAACATCAGGAAAAGAAAACTATACTTCTTTGTGTTTTAATACTGATGATATATGGTAGCATAACAAAATAGATATGTATTTCAAACATCATGTAACAGAAACAAAAGTAACTTACATTTTTCTTAATCGTTACTTTACAGAAATTATAGGAATTTCAAAAGATTTGATCATCTAATTTGTTAACTTCATTACTGCATAAATATATTACTCAAATAACTTAAGTACACTTTTTATATTAAGAATTTATACCATTAGGATCTTAGTTTTAAAACTTGAAGTAAATTATTTCTTTTTCATTCCTGAAGAATAACAGTATCTTACTAAAATTTCAAATTATTGTTTTAGTAAGACGTATTGTTGCCGTAGAAAATGAGAGTGATCAATTTTGTTTCTAACTAAAAACATAATTTAATATCATCTAAAAATGTATTAAGAAAATAACTTTACAAATATGATAGTTTAATAAAATTTAAGTCAGTAAAGATTGAATTGAATATATAGTATAAAAAGCAGAGGAGGCAAATACATAAACATTTTAACCCGTAAAAAATTTCTTCTTTTATTGTGCTTACAGATTTATATAAAGATTGCCCACATGAAAAATTAATAAATGTAATAACGTCAGAAATATAGTAATGATAGCAGAGCTAGCCTTTAAAATTATAAAAAAAATAAGAGGAATACACCACAGTTTGCTATGTATCCCAATATAACATACATACATCCAAATGTATAAGTCGACCCACTTTTTTTTATTGGGATGTTGAAAATTTCTAAAACTTAAAAAACATTTTAAAAAAATTATCAAATCTACAAAATTTTCTGAAATTAAAAATATTTCAGTGTTCTTTCCGGAAATGATACATTTGTCCTCAAATAAAGATGATTTGAGGCAAACAATTAATCAGGTTAAATTTGTAGCTTTATGGTATGTTTTAAATATCATTGAGTTACATTTGTGAAATACTCTTAAATAAATTATCTTAACTTTTTGCTGTTCTTATTTTTTTTCTGAACCTAAATTAAAGTATTATCTCTAAAAATACTTTTATATGTAATGGAAACATGAGAAATGATGAAAAAATTTACAATACATAATATTTAAAAACTAGTTTTTGAAACGGATAAATTGAAACAGAGTTATTCATAACTATCTCCTTATTTATAATGCATCGATATGTCTTGATTAACAATCGTAGAACTTTATTAATGGTGTATAAAGTTTTACATTACATATATCTTTTTTAGAAAGTTAATTTGAAATACATTTGCAAGTAAATTCTTAAGGGATAAAATTCTGTTCTTGGATTATTTCATTAGATCCATGTAAAGTGCGCCAAAAAATGGCCCACCCCAAACAACTTTCGATCTATTGATCGGATCTTCACGTTCTAGGACTCATTCTTAATGATTTGAGGGGATGACTTCAAATATGTCAATTAAATAGAGCAGTCAATATTTCAAGTAACGAAATCAGACACAAAAATGTGCTTTCTCTGAATAAAGATATCTTTTTTTCGACAGATTCGGATTTTTGATCCCCAAAATATAGAGAACTGCCGCAATCTAGGAAATATGGTCCCCACAGTTTGGTTAGAAGATCAGTTCAAAGTATGGACCCCTTAATGTCAATATTACATTTTTTTTGCATTTTTCGCCATATGTCTAAAACTTTTAAACTATATAAAAAATTGAATTGTAAGTTATACAATTTTTTACATAATTTTAAAGAATGCAATCTTAAATAGCAAAATACTAAATTTGTGTGAAGTCGGTCTGATAGTTCCTGAGAAATCAAGTTTTAAAAAAAAGTCAGATATTTAAGTTTTGATTTCATATTTTAAATTTTGCCATGATAAACAACAGAAGACAAATGAAAAAAAATATTCAAAAGTAACTTACTACACTTATTTTCATCTGAATAATCCCCGCAATCATTTTGCCCATCGCATAACACCGACATGGCAACACATTTTTCATTCTGGCATTTGAACTCAGATTCACTACAGGATGTTATGTTTGAAGGCTGGCCTGCGGTGGAAAAACATAGCATAATAACTCAATATCTTATTCATATTCAATAAACCTACTGATGATATGCAGTACAAATAATATGCTTACCACAAGTTTCTGGATTTTCATCACTTTCATCACCACAATCATCATGTTTATTGCACTTTAAGGTTTTTAAGATACAGCGTTTGTTAGAACATTCAAATTCATCCTCCTTGCAATGTCGATGAGCTAAAATTAAATTAATAAATAAAGACAAATGAACATTATACATTAAAATATTCAATAAAACTAACAGTTACAAAGATTAAATATTAAACCAATACTTACGACATAAAGATGGTTCATCAGAGTTATCACCACAGTCATTGTCACCATCACAATAAAAGTTTCTCCCAATGCAAACAAAATTCAGGCACTGAAACTCATTTGATTTGCAGGCGTTTTCAACTAAGATAGACGAATTCAAAATTTGAATACATTTTAAATGTTTTTCTCAAATGTGATAACTAATAAAAAAAAGTAACTACAAATCAATAAAATTTAGTATATTTTAAGAAAATGCATTTAAAAAAATTATAGCAAACTCTCATACACATATTAATTGGTAATTAAGGGCAGCAGTGCAGATTCAGCATACATTTACTGGGTGTGACTAAAAAACTCAGACAGAGTAATCGGATCAACTAATTTCTTTTTAAATTGTGAGTCCTTTTTGTGTAATACTTTAATTATAAAAAATTTCATAATATATATTTTATTTCACTTATTGGTTTTTGGTTTTGTACAATATCAAGCAGAAGATCAATTTTAGAATTGTTTAAACAAGGAAAAGGGCAGTGCGAAAAAAATCATACGTTTGCTCTGTAGACAATTGTTGTACACAAAAATTTGGATTCTCTACACTAAAGCAATTGCTTCAGTGGAAATAGGATAGATTAAAGGAAGAAGGCTTGCGGCCAACTGCTAAAAAATTCAATAAGGGTTTGGGCCTCTGCAAAAGGCGTCTACTTTAAAACTAATTAAATATTTTTTTCATTAATAAAAGTCTATACTTAGAACTATTAGTTATATTTTGTTAATAAAGTTATATTAAAAATTGTTTGTCTGTTTTTTTTTAACGCACTGAACTAGATCAAGACCTTAGGTTAATAAGGGCTGTTTCAAAAATCAAACCATTTTCTAATACAGTGCCTGCCATTTCATGTGCTTCCATCAGTACCTTACATTTTTAATTCCAATAAACTGCTAAATATGCTAAAAGTATATCTAATTTAAATAAGTAATTAATAGAATCTTCTAAATTTTTAAAATCTGATCGCAATAAGAGAATTCCATTAACTAATAAGTTTACGAGCTAAACAATTAACGTGTAAGCGTGCAACATACCCTGTAGTAATTAAGGTCAAGAACTATATTGAAAGTACTCATAGTATAGAGGTGGAATTTTTCATTCTTTTTTTTAATTTTGCGATCAAATTTAATCACAATATTTGGTGGATATTTTTTTTTTGAATTCTGTATTTATATATTTTTTTATATTTATGAATTTACATATATTTTTTTATTTATGTATTTATATATTTTTTTTATATATTTCTTTGTATTTATATATAATTTTGAAATTTTGCATAGCATTAAAAGAAAAAAAAATTGTTGCTATTGTTATTTTGAAATTTTAATTAGACGATTTCCAGGTTTAAACTGTCTCAGCTGTGTTAGCTTGTTGTACAGATTGTTATTTCCAAAGAGTGTGTAAAGTTTACAGACTGACACATACTTTAGTCTACTGCTAAATCCACTAAAAGATCATCCATTTTAAATAAGTAATTAATAGAATCTTCTCAATTTAACAAATCTGATCACGATAAGTGGCTAATTCCATATACTAATGAGTTAATGAACCATACAATATTGTGAAACTGGGCAATCTACCCTGTAGTAATTAATGTTAAGAACAATATTTACATCGAAATTTTTAAATTTTAATCAAGATGATATTTCCCCGGTTTCAACTGTCTCAGATTTGTGAGCTTGTTGTACCAATCGCTTGCCCCGAAGAGTGTGTAAAGTTTACAGGCTGAAACATAGACTAACTAAAGTGATAAAAGATAATGAAAATAAGGAACAGTGCTACTAATCCTAAAAAATTGAAAGATTAAAATGTTCTTTACTTAACACAACATTTTTAAGATTTTGCTGGCTAATGCATTCAGCAAAACTTTAACAGCCAAAGAGTATATAAAGCCGTAGGCAAAGCATATTTTTGGGTTCTTTTTTCAGTTTTGTCACAGCTTTGTTAACTTGCTCTACCAATTGTTTGTTTCAAAGAACATGTAAAGTTTACACACTGAAACATGAGTAGACAAACTAGAGTAATATTAGACAATAAAAAAAAGGGATCAGTACTGCTAATCTTTAAAAAAAATAAAAGACTAAAACATTCTTTACTTAATGCAACAACCCATTTAAGATTTTGCTAACAAATGTAGTCAATTTTACCAGCCAAAGAATATATAAAGCTGCTGATAATGCATGTTTTTGGGTTCCTTTTTTAAGTTCAAAGTCATGCAAAGATATGCATAAATTATTTCCTATTAATTAAAAAGTAATATTCGTTCATTCAATAAAAATCATAAATACAATCATTAATCTTTTTATTCAATAACCTTGAGTTGAGTTCAGAATAAAATCAACTTTGAGAGTATCTCTCTAGCATAGAACTCTAAAACCATTACATGATTGCTATATGTTTTGAATTTATTAAAATTTGTTTTTATTTCTTACACTTCCACTAACTCATTTGAATGCACATAGCTAAAAAAAGCGCCTTAGCAAATAAATTAAAGCAATTAATAAGCAATACATGGAATCCCTTTACGAAAACTATTCTAATTTATACATATTGCTTGCATTTTTGATTTCATAATGGAAGTGTCCTGTGGGGCTTGCCCCTGCAGCAACATCCTCCAGGCCCCGCGGCAGAATCGCAGCGACATGGCGACATCGTCGCAGAACGTTACACAGTTCTTGCAGAAAGATTTTTCTTTTGAAAAGTAAAAAATTTTAGTTTTCTTTTCTACAGAAATTTACATGTAATATTTGAACCATACATTTAGAATAGATAATAAATTTTTGAATAGCTTAATTTACGCCAACAATATCATAAAACAATGTAATGCTTTGATTGTATTTTCGGCAGTTATTTATATTGATTTTCATGTGGTTTTTTAATATCTCGATTTATTTCAAATAATATGGAAAATTCGAATCGTGCATTTGAGTATTTCATTTTTAAGGCAATGAGTCTACCTAATTTTTGGCAGCTATTGATTTCTCAATAGTTTTTAAATTCAATATTTTTTATACAATATTACAATTATTCATTAAGCATTTGAGAAACCCTTTTTGAGGAGTCCAATTCGCATGATTTCGTCTTCGATCTTTTTTTTCGATAACACGGATTACATGATTTCTAATTATCTTTTTATTGTGATGGTTACTTACAAAATGCGTAGGAAATAATTTGTGCACTCTTCCCCCCCACACACACACACATACAAAATGCGAGATATCACCCAAATTAGAATAAAAAATTATTACCTGCTCAATTAAAAAAAATTATAGTTTTTCTTTGTAAACACAGGACTTTTGTTATTTTAAATTATTAACATGTTTGTAATTATTAAAAGTGTCTTGCAGAAAGACATTAGTGCTGGACAGTTTTGTCATAGATAGCTCGAAAAAATCCTGCCACAGGGCCTCCAGGTTATTTTTAAAAGTAATTCATACATATATTAAAAATGAAAAATATTTATTTTTATGGAGCTCCATAATTTTAAAAATAAAAGATTTTTTTTATTTTTCATACCCGCTTCTTCATTAAAGCAGTTCATGATTTTTTAACATATAATTGCTTGTCTATACCACTCTGGAATAGAATAATGGACAATTGAAAATAAATCATCACCTTCAAAAGAAATTTCTTGATATTCATTTATAGAAAAGCTTCATAATCCTAAGATGTACTTACCACATCCTCTTTCTGGATGCTCATCAGATGCTTCTTCATCACCACAATCATTTTCGCCATCACATAGCCAGTTGAGAGGAATACACTGACCCGTGTTGTTGCAACGGAATTCATGACTCTCACACTGCCTGGTGCCTGGAAGATAAATTTTGGTCACAAGAAATCTCTGAGATTTTAACAGCTAGTGAAAAACCTAGTTGAATAAGTAACTAATAACAAGTAATTTATTTTTTTCTTAAATTTTTTTAAAAAAAACTTTAGTTTTTCAGAATTTTAATAAGGAAATATTATGTGGTTGTTTTAGTTTATTGAAAATAAAAATATTTCATACTGCACTGATCTGTTTCATCGGACTTGTCGAGACAATCAGGGTGACCATCGCATCTCCACACAGCTGGAATGCAGTCTTGATTGTTACATTGAAATTGATCTGAATGGCAACCATATTCTACAGAAGAAAAATAGGAAACATTGCAACAATGATTACAATTTAAAAAAAAGAAAAATAAGTATTACAATGCAGCTTGTTTATAATTGTGTAAACTTCACAAAATAAGAGTAAATATATTAGTTTTCAATCCAAAGGTATCTAAAGTAAGTTTGTACGATATTTTGAAAACAAAGAAGTTAACATGATTTCTAAAAATGCAAATATTTTATTCCTGTTCGATATATGCATATAATACTTATAAAATTCTGCACATCAATAATTTAAAATATTTTTGCAATTAAAAATGAAAAAATAAGGATAATTAAACTAATGGCTTTCTTTCGATAGAATTAAAAGTTGTTTTAATTATTGAAAATTGTGACTGAATATCATTATAGTGAATTTAAAAAAAATTTCTTAATGGGCACGATTATTTTTATAATGTATAGTTTGATTTAATTTTTCAGAACAAAAAAAATTTCTTTTTAACTATGTATAATATTTTTGTAAAAGATTTCATAAAAAAATAAAGAATTATAAAATAACAAAAAAATTCGAATTATGTACAATAGTAAAATTTAAAAAAAAAAACTTTTCTAAAAATTATTAGTACGAAAGAAATGTACTTAAGAAAATTGTAAAACCTAAAAAAGTTATCAGTTATGTAAAATTGAAATGTATTTTACTCAGAGGTTGGAAATAAGGCACTACAAGTAGCGAAACTACTATAGTCGCTATTTGTTCATAATTTGGTTTAATACACTAAGTATTTCTAAAAAAAGTAGTATAGTGAGTAGGACAAAAAAAATGCTAGTTTGTGGCAGTTAATGGTAACTATTTGTAATGCTAACTTAATAGAGTAAAATGGTTAAATGCCATTAATTTTTCAAATCCAATAGGTGCAAATGTACGAAAGTTTGAAAGTAGACACAATGAGAATGCCTATGTGGCCCGGCGTTGTAGATTTTATCTCGTAGATTTTATCTTATAAATTATAGTTAATTTATCAATTCACTCAAAACATAGCTATGTCTTTAAATGCACACTCACAATCAATTTCAAAGATTAGGAGGAACAAATTTTGTTCAGTATCTTTTGGTATACTTTATTACAAATATTTGATAATTTTCTAGCATTTCTTGAACTAAATATAATCTTTAAAGTTTTATTCACTTTGAACATATTTTGTAAATTGAGTCTTCAAGCCAAATTCGTTACATAAATGTAATTAAGAAGAGTGGCTAGATTTTGAAAGTAATTTTTAATCACTACATTAAAATAGTTGCAGTTGCTAACTAGATTTGTAACAAAGAAGTTGCAGTTAACTACAAAAAAATGTAGTCTTTTTGACCTCTGATTTTACCAACAAAATTGTATTAAACATATAAGACAGCACATTAACCAATGGCAGACAATTAACCAACTAATTTTTATCAACTTTTTAAACATATTTACCAGTTTTCTCAAGAGAGATACTGCAAAATTAGAAACTTACTACAATCCCTTTCATCTGAGCTAACAGTTCCATTTAATCCATCATTGCAGTCATCATCTCTATCACACTTCCAAGTTTCTGGAATACATAATTCACTTCCTTCACAATGGAAAGAATTGGCTGGACAGGATGTTTCTGAAACTTCTTGAAAAAAAAGATAGAAAATAAAACAATCACCATTTGTTCAAAAATATGCGAAATTCATTTAGGATTATACTTATTTTTATCAACATGCAGTATATGTACGAGTTTTACAACTTTATTAATGAACACCTATTAAGTTCATAGCATCTCAACTAATTTTTATATATACTAACCAGTAATCAATAAGAAATTTTTCTATTAGTTTTAAAAAGTTCTACAATATTGTTTTTAACTTTGTTTATTTTGAGCCTCAAAACAATCAGACCAAAAATGATAATGAATAAATAAAACAATTTGCTTGAAATTCGATGACAAATAATAAAATAAAATTTGAGACAACTGTCACTTTGCTGCATATCATACTTTTAAAAAGCAAGAATAATCTTTACTAAGTTAAATATAATTTGATCACTAGACTTAGATAAAATGAAAAACTTTCTGCGAATTAAAATACTTCCATCAAGCTCTTGATTAACTCTTGCAAATAGTTTCAACCCTTTCCTTGCCACCTTATTTCGGCAAAATTTGCTTGAAAATCACCAATTTTTAAAAATTTAATTAATTTTTATAAAACTCTAGATTAATTCACACCACAGGGATGAGTTGGGTAAAAAATCAAAAAAGATGAAAATAGAAATCCTAAAATGTTATGTGCAAAAATACTTTTTATATCATTAAAAAATGGCTGAAATTTCAGCAAAAAAATTGTAGGACACCTTTAAAAGTTTTAAAAAATATCAAGATTTTATTTATTTATTTATTTATTTAAATCATGCTAATAAGAATTTGAGTATTCAATTTTAAAAACCATATGAATACGAATTTTGATGTTTGATTTCAAAAACAAATTAATATGAATCTCGATGTTTGATTTTAAAATCAGGTGAATACAAATTTCCATGAATAATTTTTAAGTCACTTGAACACGAATCAAATCATAATAGTGGCTCTTAAATCGTGAGAATACGAAACACAATATTTGAATCGTGAAAAATACTAAACACAATGCACAAACTTAAATCGTGAAAAATACTAAACACAATGCACAAACTTAAATCGTGTAAATACGAAACACAATGTGAGGTTTTAAATCATGTGAACATGAATCGCGATGTATAATTTTCAATCATGTTAACACAGATCACGATGTGTGTTTATAAATCATGAGAATAAAAATTTTAAATTGTGTTTGTATAAGTAGGCAAAATTGTAAAAACTAATCCTTTTTTTTTCTTGGGAATTCCAAAAAGAAACTTTTTTTGAAAAGGCGGATTTTTTTTCTCTCATTAAATTGGAAAAGCGAAAAAAACTCATGGCTGAAAGTCAAATGCAAAGACAGCATTGCAGAACAAGTATGACTAGGCGAAGCAGAGAAAAAAATTCTCATCTCAGACTCTGTCAGACTGACCAACGAGTTAGAACAAGAGATTTTTGTTAAGTAATACTAGAACATTTTCTGCGATGGTGACAAATTTTCTCAGAACGGCTCTTGTGTATATTATACATATCTATTGATCAAATAATCACTCTTACTTGCTTCACAGTCTTTTTCATCAGACATGTCCCAGCAGTCATTTTGACCATCACAGACCCAAGCAGGATGAATGCAGGCTGTAGTAAATTGACAATTGATGAGTTTTTGTAAGGGATCCCAGAACAAAGGATGAAGCGAGCAGTCTGGTTGTGCTGTTAAAAGTGCAAAATTTGTAAATGAAGGGGAAAATAAAGACAACGAAAGAATAAACTACAAAAGATTTAATTTTCATTTAAAAACAAAAGATTTACTGCAAAGAGAAATTTAATTCTAAATTGTGAATAATATTAAAAAAAATTAATTTGTTAAAATAGGCAGGATGTTCAAACTCAATATTTTAAAATCTTGATTATCAAAATAAGAGCTTGACTAGGAATAATATTGCTTTCACCTTAAAAGTTTACTTTGGTTATTTCTTCTGTTCTGTACCTACCAACGCAAAAACTTCAAAAAAAATTATTCTAACCATATCTCGAACTGTAATTCAGGAATAGAGTGATGGTAAAGCATAAACCAATTGACCATACATTGTAGAATATTATACATGTTATACATTCAATATTTAAGATGATATTAATGATACAGCTTAAAACGTTTTATTGAACATTTGTATATAATCAATATTTAAGCATTGTAATGTTTCAATAATTAAGCTATTTTTAATAATGATAACATTTAAAAGATTTTATTGTCCAACATTGAAAAGCACATCAAAACATGCAATATCTAAATTGTAATTAAAAAATGTCCTCACGGAAGTAAATTTATAAGTACAATTAAATTTTTATTTCTAAGATTGATGAAAACAACCATACATAATTAGCCAAAAAATGTGTTAACTTCATTTAGAAACAATCTTAAGATAACACTAATAAGTATTACAATGCAGCTTGTTTATAATTGTGTAGTTTTCAATCCAAAGGTATCGAAAGTAAGTTTCTACGATATTTTGAAANCTAAGATTGATGAAAACAACCATAGATAATTAGCCAAAAAATGTGCTAACTTCATTTAGAAACTATCTTAAGATAACACTATACAAAAAAAAAATCTCTCTCTCTATATATATATATTTAGATCAAAATAATCTTTCAGTATCTAATACTAAGTTACATTTTTATAAATACAAATTTACTAATTTTAAATCCTTTAATGCAAAATATTATTTGAAATCGTATACAAAAAATATTTTAGTGCTTGACAAAATAATTTTTTAATTACTTAAATCTCATTTGTAAGAATTAAAAATGTAATGCACTCTGGATTATTTTCAAAATGAGGCAAAGAATTTTTTTAGAGATTATCAGGAGAATTTTCAATTGATGTAAACATACAAACACAACGTAAAACTCTTTATTTTTTGTGACAAAACCTATCATATAACATTAGTGAAAAATTTGTTAATTTCATTGAAAATAATCTTTACATAACTGTGTAAAAAATTATATTAATAATTTGAATGTTTTTTAATTATAGACAAATTTATTACTTAATTTTTAAATCTTACAATGTCCTTGAAATCTTTTAAACATACTATAAAAAAAAACAGGAAAAGTAAAACTGTGGAAAATAATTGGAAGTATCATGTTACTTTTGATAAAAATATACAACTACTTCCTGTTAGATTTTTCCTTCTGTATTATGGGTAAAATAATTAACAAGATTTTTTAAAAAATATATATATATAAAAATAAATTAATAATCTTATATTTTATAGTTCACAACTAACTTAACACATTTTTTTTAAAAAATCGTGATAACTTACGACAATCCATTTCGTCACTTGCATCAGGACAATCTGGATCGTTGTCACACCGATATGATTGGCTAATGCAGGGTCCACCAAAAGTGCACCTGAATTTTTCTTCCCCGCAGCTACACTGGTTTTCGTCACTATAATCACCACAACTGTTTTGACCATCACAAACTCTCGACTTTGGAATACAGCGGTTATTAGCACAATGGAAAAATTCCGATGGGCATGATCTGGTTTCTTAAAAATTGGAAGAAAAAAAAGATGCTAAAACATACAAAGATACCACAAAAAAAATTCATGACATGCCAGAAAATACATTGTGATTTATTATTACAAAGCTACTTTAATTATATTTTGCAATGGCTTAGAATTGTTTAGTAAAATATTATGTAATTTTAAAAAAATTATCACATTCTACATTATTTATCACATTCTACATTATTAATAATTGTTTAAAGATTGAAGATACATTGTGATTTATTATTACAAAGTTTCTTTAATTATATTTTGCAATAACTTAGAATTATCATAACAAAATAATATTATATAATTTTTCAAAAAATCATTATATTCTACATTATTAATGATTGTCCAAAGATATTTCTAGATATGTTTCAGAAAATAAAGGAATTTCATGTAAATAACTTTTTGTCAGTTCACTTGCAATAGAATAAATGTGAACGTAATTACAATCACAAAACTGACAACACCTTTCAAAGAAGGCAGCAGAAAAGAAAATTTGCTTATAGATTGCCACAAAGAGAAAAGTTCTTATGATATCCAATACAAAATAGACATTCTTTGGTGCAATAAACACAATATCAATTCGTCTTAAAAATTAAAAGACAAAGTAAATAAAATTACATATTTATTTGCAAAATATGCATAGAATATTTTGACACTAGTTTTGCAAACTTTGGCATCTTTCCTAGAATTAAAGTAGGTTTTTAATTACTAACTAATTATACTATTTTTTTTACCATTATACTAACAGGTATAAAATAATTGTTTGACTTTTAAATTAATCCTAAAATTACATTTGTTTCGAATGCGTTTTAGATATTAAAAAATTTGCATTTAAAAAGTTACTTCTACCAAAAAATTTTGACAAAAATCAATTTTTAAAAAAAAAAAAACTAAAAGTTAAATTTCTTGTCATTTTGAATCACTAATTTAGTATTTTGTAATTTTAATGTTATAATTTGGATGTTTTTTTTTTCAAAGTTCATAGAAATTAGTTTAAAATGCTAATTCTGTTGTTCTTGCTAATGAGGTTTTGACTGAAAGGCAAGTAGCTGCACAATGACAATTCAAAAGTCATAGGCTGTACATTCCTACTTAAAAAGTAACTTTCATACAGGATAATAAAAATTTTTACAAACAAATATTAAAATAACATACATTTTGCTTAAAAATAATAACCAACCTTTTGCATACCGGATTCACAAAAATCTAGTTATAAACTGTTTTTTCCCAGGTTTTCTTACTTAAAATTAAATAATTTGCAAATAAAGAATTGTAAAACTCTTTAACTTTGTTTGAAATTGTTCATTTTGGTTACATTATACCTCCAAGTGCTAAAAATACAGACAGAATTATGAAGAATTTATCATAGTACTCATTAATATTTAATATTAATATTAAATATAACTGAATAATGTGAGAATAATAGAGCTTTTTCTTCCATTTTTCTGCTTAAACTGCCTTATCATGAAGCATAATTTCTTTAAAAAATTATATTGATAAAATTTGAAAAAAAGGAAGATATTTTCTGAATAAAAAAAGGAGTTAAAAAGCTACAAAATGAAAAGTTAAAAAGAAATTGTTAAAAAAAATTAATTAAAACTTTTTAAAAAATTTCAACATTTAAAATGTTTTTTTTAATCACAATAACTCATTATTACGTAAAAAGTTATTTGTGAATTATATTTTTTATGCATTAATATCTAATGCCAAGAAATTAAATGTATAATTACTAAAAAACAAAAACTTCCCACTTACAAAAAACTTTCCACAACTAATTTGAAAAAAATTAACATAAAATGTCTAAAAAACAATTGAACTTCTTGTATTAATACAAAACTCATTCATAAAAGCTTTGCTTTTTTCGGAACATTATGAAAAACCAACAAAATGAGTCTGAATTAAAAAAAGGGGGGGGAATTATGTTAACGTTGTATGTTGAAAAAAAATAATTTCTCTCTGATTATGACAAATTTTATATCTTTCTTTTAAAAAGGACTGTGAACAGTAATAGGTGTTCGGTCTTAAGCGAAGCGCCATCTGTAGCAATTGTTGTGAACTGCTCAGTTTCTCTTGAACTCTTGTTTGAGCCAGTCGTGGCTTCCATTGTAATAGTGCAATGATTTTGGTTATTTACAATTGTTAAAATAAAATATTGTTTGTTGAAATTATAGTATTTAATGAACCAGCGCACTGTGTACAATCGTGTACAATAGGTAACATTTACTTATACCAAAAACATAAAATATTTCTTAATATTACTATAAGCAAAGAACAAAATAATTTTTTTTTAAAAGAAAAGCTTCAACTTTTAAATAAATTAAAAACATTATACATATAGAAGAATTCAAGATAAGTGACATACTGCAGTATAATTCATCTTCATCTGTACCATTGAAACATGCTGAAACTCCATCACAAGTAAGCTCAAATGGTATACACATTCCATTTCCACACTGAAACTCTTCTTTTGTACAGTTAGCTTCTCTTTCTAAAAATGGAAACAAGTTTTCTACTAACCAAAATATTTCTATTATATTTGACATTTAACGTTTTAATCAATCAAACATGTCACACAAACAAATAAATAATTATTTATTTTGGCTTATGATATTATTATTCACTTGCTATTAGCTTTACCTAAAGATTCAGATTACTTTAAAATCATTTTTTTCTTTGAAAATAATAATATATAGTTACAAAATTGAAAATTATTTAATTTTAAGGTATCTACATAATTATTTGTAACTTATTAAACAGTAAAACTTATTTGTAACTATTGTAATAATTGTATTGTAGAAATTGTAACTAAATGTGTGTATCATAAAATGTTGCTTAGTAAGGTAATAAAAGAACATCAATGTTAGTTTTAAGCTTTCTATTTTGAATACACAAAATCTAAAATAACAGAAAATAATATTAAGTAAGGATGATGAATAAATATTACAGATAAATACTATTTAATAAGGGATAGAATAATTTAATGGTGAATACCATTATGATTTTTATTAGTTTTATGCTAATGACAATCAAAGATATTTGGATCTTCTCTGTTTATTAATTTCAATATAATAATTATCTTCTTATGATTGATAGGGAGATAACAAAATAATAAGCTAAAACTTCAAATGAAAACAAATATTTTTAGACAAATATTTAATACAGCAAATGGTTGCAAATTTTTATATTAAAAATATCATAAAATTTTGCAGTAAAAGAAAATGTTATTTTGGAAAGTATTTTTTTAACCTGCACATCTAGTGCCATCTGGAAGAAGCGTTTTTCCTGATGTGCAAGAGCATATCACACGTCCATCCACAGCAACATTGCATTGATCTTGGCATCCTCCATTTAATATGTGACAAGGATTTAAAGTACCTGAAAGATTTAACAATTCAATATTTTCTAACTGTAATTAAATTTTCTTTACAACCTTAACAGAAGAATTTTGCAATTTCACAAGCATTAAAAATAGTGACATAATGTTAACAAAAAATTATACGTACATAATTTCTTTTTAAAAAAAAATTTATTTATAATATTGACGGGAAAAAACAAAGATATCTTCTAAAATTTAGAAGAAAAATAGTTAAAGAGAAGAATCTAAATGGAGAAATTAGAATCGAAATGAAGAAAAGGAGTTAAAGAGCTACAAGGTGTCACGTTGAAAGAAATTTTTTTAAAAAATTTCCACATTTAAAATGCTTTTTTCAACCATATTAACTCATTAAATGCAAAAAAAGTTATTTTTCAATTAAATTTTACAAATAAATACTCAATGTCATGAAATTAAATCTATAACTACTTAAACAAATCTTACCTGAAAATTAAAACTTATTTGAAAATAATAATAATAATAATTCAATTTAGAATGCATAATGTCTAAGAATCAAAGAAACTTGTTGTAGTTTTATAATTTTATTTAGTAAAATATTAGATTACAAATTAATTTATAAATAATTAATCAAAGTTGCATTTTTTTTCTTCTGAACCTAAAGAAAATTTCTTTTCAAGTTGAGTTTGAATAAAAAGGAGTGAGCATTATATTGATGTATGTTGAAATTCCTCTCTGATCATGACACATTTTTAAAACTCTCCTTAAAAAGAATAGCACTAATAGGTAACATTTACTTTATTACTGTGAACAAAGAGCAAAATTGTTTAAAAAAAGCTGCAACTATTAAAAAATTTAAAATATTGTACACATAAATGAATTCGATATTATTCTTATAATATACATAAATTAATAAACAACAATGACACAGGCAACCCAACATCTGAAAAGAATACAAAAACAAGAGAACAAATTCAATTTGTTCTTGCAAAAACAAATATTAATATACGAAAACCTAATAATGAATCTATAATTGTAAAGCTTCAAAACAATATAGTTCGTTTTAATACTTTACAAGGGGAGGGGAATATCACTTATGGTTAATAATTTATTTTAATTAATAATTTACTTTATTTAATAATTTATATTAATATAAATTTAAAATGAAGGAATACTTACAATCTGTATCATTGGCAACAGCAACTATCCCCATGGGTCGTGCTATGTTTTTACGAAGCGTGACAACATTTCCTCCAGTAATTTTGTCAGCTCTCATAACAGCATGAGCAACCCAATCCGTCCAGAAAATGTAATTGTCATAAACAGCTAAATCAAATGGATGTTGAGGATGATCACTTAGCAAAACCTGAACAGTAAACCAAAAAACAGTCATTAAAATACAAGGGTAAAGCAAAATGTAAAAAATTTAATCTTTATTGGATGGGTATATAAAAAGGAAATGCACATGCAGAGGTAACATTCACACATACATTTTAAGCTGAATGTTACTTACAGGGTATCTGCTACATTTTAGATTTTCAAATTCATGACTTTTTAAGGCTTAACAAAGTTACTATTTTCTCCCGACAAAAACAGAACAATAAATTTGAAAATCATTATAATAATATTTATTGAAATGATAGGTACAACCAAAACTGTTATACTCTGCATCTTCATATTTATAGATTTTAAACTTAAAAAACAGAGTAAAGAAAGAGTTGAAGCAATAAAATAGCTCAAAAAGAAAAAGCAAATAACTTTTTTTCCCTGCAGAATTATATTCTAAAGATACTTTCCTCGGTCATCGGAAAGGAAAGAAATACTCCAGATTTTTCTGTTCTCATTTCGGAATAAAAAAAATTCGCCAATGACTTGCTTGCTTTAGTTAGAATTTTAAATTGATAAAATAAAAAAAAAGAAACAAAGATTTTTAAGTCACAGAAGTTTAAAAGATAATTCGTTCTAGAAATGATGTTTTTTTCTTCATTTTTTTAAAAAACGCGTTAAAAAAATTTTATATTTTAATTAAGCATGAGTGTGAGTGGGGATTTTGTTAGAAATTCAGATATTCGGAACACCATGACAATGGGGGGGGGATTCCATTTTAAAAATTAGACCAATTTGACGACCTAAATTCATGACTTTCCATGATTTTTTTTAAAAAATAGTTAAAAGCATGACATTTCATGACTAATTTTGTTCAATACCGAAATTCATGACTTTCCATGATTTTTCATGACTTTCCAGGTACGCGGATACCCTGTACTTATTCATTTGCTAGGTACTAAACAAGGCTTTGAAAAATCCACTGCTTTGTCATCAATGCATGAACTGGTACCAGTTATTTAGCTAACCTTAATAAAGAATCTTTCTCTTATGGAAAAATTTAATGTTCGTCTCTTCATCATTAGGCAATTACTACCACATTGTGCAATTCATCCTAGTATATTAATAATAATAAAAAAATTTGAAAATAACTTATTTTTAAAAAAAACTCAACTCCTTAAAAGTTGTTACAAACAAGTTCAACTAAATTAAATAAATTTAGTTGTAATTATCCTTTTTCTTAATAATTTAAATAACTTGACTGTTATTTTGGATCATGATTTTTTCTGACGCAAATCTAACAAATAAATATTGACTGAAATCAAGGTTGGCAAGTTTCTGCCGAGGTGGTTAAAACCACTGGTAGAAACCGGTTAAAACTGGCATGGCAGAAACCCTTTTCTGCCACATTTGTGGCAGAAATTCAGAAAATGACATAAAAGTAAGTACTGAGATTGACAAAATTATCACCATTCAAAATCAAATATTACATTGTTTGCACTCTGCAGTAATTTATAACAAAAGACAAGTTTTGATGCAGTTTCTAAACCTAAACAATTTCTCAATTTGCTATGCACAAACGAGAAATTTGAGAAGATTCTCTCAAGTCTCATTCGTGCATAAGAGAATCTTTCTGCATTGAGAGAATCTTCTCAAATTTAAAAAGATTCTCTCAAGTCCAGCAGAACTAGCAGGCATTGCCATCAAGGAACAAGCAAGATTTGTGAAACTTTCATCGATTGCATATTTTTTAAAACTGAAATAATATGCAATTACAAAAAAAATAATATATATTTACAAACAATGAATTAAAAAGTTTGTTACAGTTACATGGAGTTACATTTTTCAGTTTACTTAAACAAAATGTCATTACGCAATTACTAGAACTATTCTAGACGTTTTTTTAGTTTCTGCCAGTTTTTGCCTGTTTTTACCAGTTATAACCAGTTTCTGCCACTGGCATGGCAAAAACCAGTTTCTGTCGGCAAAAAGCCAACCCTGACTGAAATTAAAACAATTGTTTAAAGAACAAAAAGACTTATTTGTTGTTTCTTCCATTTTAATATAACGAATACACAAGACATGTGTCAAAAATTTAAAAAAGAAGATTAAAAGAATTGATCAAAAGAAAACATACACAGAAAGTACAAACAAAAGAACAAAAATACACAGCTCAGGTAAAGAAACATAAACATTTTATAAAAATTGAACAAAATATTTGTTACACTGCAATAGTACAAAAAATTAGTCCAATTAGAACAATGGATATAATAGAAGGAAAAAAACTTACATATCTCTCAGTTCCATCTAAATTGCAACGTTCAATTTTATCAAGCCTTGCATCAGACCAATACAACTTTTGAGACTTGTGATCTAAAGCTAATGCATTGGGCATGTGAATGTTTGTTTCAATAATGGAATGAAGATCAAACCCACTCAGATATGCACGTTGAATACTTGGATTCATGGTATTCCAATTTGTCCAGTATATCCGCCTAAAAGTAATTAATAGTATTGCAAAATCATTAAATAAAAAATGCTAAAAATTAAAGAAATTAATGCATAGAAAAATTAAAAAAGGTAGCACACTAGATTAATAGCATGAGAGCATGTCTATTTAAAATATTTTGAAAATGAATAATAAATTATACCATAAAAAAATTACATTACATTACAAATTATACCTAAATAAATTTCACAAAAAAAATTTTGCAATTTAATTTGAATAAATGCATGATGATTCAAGTCTCTTTTCCACCATCGAACTTTGCAAACCATATAATATGATATTTGATGAATGTAAACTTAGATGAATAATATCAAAGTTTAAGTCAAAGATAAAAGGATTTTAAAATAAAGATTATTGCAAGAAAGAAAATTTAAATATTTAGTTTAAAAACAATCTCCAGAATTATAATTTTTAAAAAAAATACAGTTTAAACACTTAAAAAATCCCTGTCTTAAGTCCAATACTAAGATCCTATTTGATATTAAAAAGAGAAAATTTTATTTATATGTTCATTTGAAGAATGTATCAACCTATTAGAATTGGCAGATGCCATATTTTAGCAATAGTGTGAAATTTTAATCTCTTTTTTTATGGGTGGAAAATATAGACTAATACTCTAGAAAATATACAACCACTAAATGAAAGAGAAAAAAATATTAAGAAAATACTATTTTTAATTAAATATTACAATAAAATATTATATAATATAAAGCTTATTGAAAAATTTAAAGAAGCACTTAAAACGAAAAAATTTCGTGATTTCGTTTAAAAAATTGTGATTGGTAGACAACCAGTTGGAAAATCCTAGAGACCCTGAATCTAACATAGTTAGAGATATAAGATAAATAGGTAAGAAATCTGTGTTTGGCTGAAAACCAAAATTCCCAGAAAAAAATTTCTTTGCAGGTTTATTCGGAATTCACCAACAAGGTATCTTTGTTCAAAGAAATCTCAAACTTATACTAATATATACATTTCTTCTTACTTTAAGAATAAATATAAACTATTCAAAGAATCTATTACAAGAAAATTTTTTAAATAATTATACATTTTGGGAAATAAATTGCTTTTAAAAACTGTCATAACTATACTTGGCACTTTTATCAAGCTTTTATGTTATTATAAGCAAAACAAACAGTTGATTTTTTTTATAAGCAAAATACAAAACAAACCAAATACAACATACAAAAACTATAAAATATAAAAAGTAATATTTTTATATTTAAATAGCTGAATCAGTTAAGCCAGTGTTTCCCAAAGTGTGGTAATCGTACCCCCAGGGGTACGGGAACAGTTTAGCGGGGGTACGCGTTCTTATGCGAAACATCTTACAAGAAACGAAAATTTCAAAATTTTTTAATTAAAAACGAAGCTAGACATGAAAATTTACGATTATGTATTTTTCTATTGGTTATTTTTTGCAGAGTTAACAGTTAATAATTAGTGATGTTAACAGCCAGTTGTGATTTTTAACTTTTGTGCAATTTTCTTATAGTAAAAAATACATTCATTTTTTTTTAGTGGTACGCCAGCGTTACGAAAAATTTAGAAAGGGTACACAAAAGTCNGATGGTAAGGTAAACATCTTTCAAAAAAGAAAGAAAAATCCTAAAATCTTATAAGGAAAAAAAAAAAAATTTTTAAAAATGGCGGGAAAATTTATTGAATTTCGTCCCGGTTTTTTGGTTTTCCAGTTTTCTGATTTCTGGATAACGGGTTCTGTACTGTATAAAGTTCATTTAAAAAAATTTAAAGAAGCTCTAAAAAGGAAAAAATTTCGTGACTTTGTTTAAAAAATTGTGATTGGTAGACAACCAGTAGGAAAATCCTAGAGACCCTGAATCTAACATAGTTAGAGATATACAGCAAATAGGTAAGAAATCTGTGTTTGGCTGAAAACCAAAATTCCCAGAAAAAAAATTTCTTCGCAGGTTTATTTGGAACTCACCAACAAGGTATCTTTGTTCAAAGAAATCTCAAACTTATAATAATATATACATTTCTTCCTACTTTAAGAATAAATATAAACTATTCAAAGAATCTATTACAAGAAAATTTTAAGTAATTATACATTTTGGGAAATAAATTGCTTTCAAAAACTGTCATAACTATACTTGGCACTTTTATCAAGCGTTTATATTATTATAAGCAAAACAAAAAGTTGATTTTTTTTATAAACAAAATACAAAACAAACCGAATACAACATACAAAAACTAAAAAATATAAAAAGTCATATTTTTATATTTAAATAGCTGAATCAGTTAAGCAATAAGTTAGGCAAACTCTTGTGTGGGTTTGCATATCTTCTTACTGGTGAAAAAACAAAACACAGCTTGAGAAAGTTGATATAATTTTAACATGATTCTAGAGTATGACAGTAAACTTAGATGTAACAGTAAAACTTACGAAGCACAACTATCAACATCGATGCCTCTAGGTTTATCTTCAACTCCAAGCTGTATGATAACTTCAGGAGAAGCATTTGCGGATGCCAAATTGATTCTACTGAGTGAACTGTCACTATGGCTTGTCCAATACAAGTCTTGATGCACAGGATCATATGCCAGACCCTCTACAGATCCTTGCTCTGGCAAAATATAAAGGTTAACAAAGCATTACATTTTTTGAAACAGTATTTGTGATGAATATTTTGTAGAAACATCTAATAGTATTTAATTTGATGATTCTACTAATTTCACCTTTATATTTATTTATATTGCTTAATTTTTTTAAATTTATCTTGTTAAGACCAGGAATATCTATCCTTAATTACTTTTTTTGGAACTTACATAGAGATACACATAAGTTTTAAAAGAAACAACAACAAAAAAAAACATTAAGCAGCTAAAAATCATTGATTGCTGGGTGTAGGGACCATGCTCCATTATTTTTTTTAAATTTTTTTTTTTTTAATGAATACTGGTTTAGATTGTTCAACAGTGACGATTTTGAGACAGAGGCTAAGCTTTGTATTTATTAATATTGTTGTACAGTCAACCCATTTTTGAGTTTACAGCTATCACCTTGTAATTTTGAACCCAAACCAGAAGACAAGGTAACTCCCGGGACAAACTAACCTTCATTGAAAACTATTTGTTCGAACTAACCCGCATTTGGATTGGAAACATGAAAACCTCCCATGGTCAGCATGACAACAAGGGGATTCTAAACCATTATCTGTCTACCACTGAGGATACTTTAAGTCAAGATCAGAATATAAAGAAAGGTAAGAAACATTTAACGATACAGAACTGAAGATAATTTTGAATGAATGACTCAGGTTAAAATAATGAATTTTCAGAATCTAGGGAAGTGAATCAATACGTAATTTCACTTATCCAAATGTAAGGAATTTGTAACTGATGACATACATGATGCTTTCAATCCTTTCAGGGAATATCAGGCAATAAGACGAAGAGAAAATTTTTGGATTGATGATAAAGAACAATTGTTTTTTTAACAAGGAATTTATATGCTGCAAGAAAGATGGAAAAAGCAGAATGTAAGGGAAGAAAATAACTTTGAGTGTTGAAATTATGATCACTTTTACATAAAAAGCTCACAGATTTAATAAAAAAATTCATTTAAAACTCATTTGCACCTCTAATTTATTTTAAAGTACCAGACTGAGAGTATGCTTCTTCAAGATAATTATCTTTCTGTGAGAATTAAAAAAAAGAACTCGATAGCTGAAATCTTCCAGCAAGGCAGTGAGCACAAGTGCAGATAATTTTTCATCTATGTTTTTTTTTTTTATTTATTATTTTTATACTCACAAATTATAATAATATTATATTTATCAAACAAACAAATAGAAGTAAAATTGCTGAGATTCCTTTTTAAAACAACTCTAAACTTGTTTCGAATAAAAATTAAAAAGCTGAATTGAGAGAACTCCACAAAGAACAAAAGAAAAAGTTTTTTTCTTTCTTTTACTTGATTACTCATTTAACAGTACATGAATTTATTCCATTATTTTTTTAGTATCATTTTATACAAAATCAACTTTAATTTAAACATAAAGTTTTTCAAGTTTAATTTAATAGTGGTTTAATTTAATAATTAGAAATATATAAGTAAAAACAGAAAAAAAGCATTTGTTAGTACTATTTTTACAGCATATGTGTCAAACTTTTTTGTTAAACATATTTCTACTATATTAAACTTTTCTTAATATTTGTAAGGATTTGAAGGGTTAAGTGTAGTACATATTTTATTAATTCGATTAATATATACAGTTTTTTTCCTGCCGTCAGGGAGTTGGCCACATTGGTCATTTCCCTTCAAGAAGCTTTGTACAAAGTAGCCTTTTGTCAATGATCAAAGAATTAGTAATATTGTTCAGAGTTGGGCAAACTGCTAAGTCATTAAAATTCATGGAACACAGAGGGCAGTCAGAAATGCCTATAAGGTAAAGGTGATTCTGGAGATAGTCATATCCATTTGTTAACAGGGTTCGTGATTTTTTTGATTTTTTTAAAAAAATTTAAAAGAATCAGATTTTTTTGATTTAAATCAGATTTTTTTGATTTAAATCAGATTTTTTTGATTTACATAANCGAGTCAGCCCAGTGGAAAAGACGTGTCATTTCTATTATGAATATATTATTACAGTTTGATTAGTGTTCCTTTTTATTTACGAATTGACATTTATTATATTTCACCGGCACTAAATTTAAAATATATTTTCCAGAAGTAAATTATAATAAAATTAAAAATCATCCAACAATTTTTTTTTGTTTTGCTGACCATTTGGCGCCCCTTTGTGAGTAGCGCCCGGGGCATGATGCCCTCCCTTGCTCCCCCCTCGCTACGCCACTGGCTATCACCTTGTAATTTTGAACCCAAACCAGAAGACAAGGTAACTACTGGGACAAACTAACCTTCATAGAAAACTATTTGTTGGAACTAACCTGCATTTGCATTAACCCCTTCCTTCTCGCTCCCGTGAAAATGACGGGGTGAGTTTTCGCTCGCTATTTCTCACTCCTGTGATATTGACGGGCTACAGTGTTCAGTAGTAATGCGCCAATAAGAATAAAACTAGTGCGTTTCTTTTGCCCAGAAAACATTTTATTTCTCATTTTACACACCATATAGCAGTACCAGGATATTTTTAAAGTAATTGTAAATAGTTGGTTTATTTAAACACTAATCAAATATGTGTATTTGGCAAAATAGTCACTTTTATGACCGTTTTCTTGAAAATTAACCGATCATTAAGGGGTTAAATGGAAGGGGGCAAACATGAAAAAAAACATGGTCAGCATGACGACAAGGGGATTCTAAACCATTATCTGTCTACCACTGAGGATACTTTAAGTCAGTACTGTGGCCGGAACAAGTCAAAAACAGAATATAAAGGAAGGTTAGAAACATTTGACGATACAGAACTGAAGATAATTTTGAACAAATGACTCAGGTTAAAATAATGAATTTTCAGAATCTAGGGAAGTGAATCAATATGCAATTTCACTTATCCAAATGTAAGGAATTTGGATGCCTCACAAATTAAAGACAAGATGAGATAAAGAAATATACAGTGCTAGTCCAAAACTACTTCGAAACACTCAAATGGAATTTCCTTGTCCACCTAAATCATTTTAGACACTGTTCTTTTAAATTTTCACCTGTTTTGATCAATAACCAATGACATACATGATGATTTCAATCCTTTCAGGGAATATCAGGCAATAAGACATCGAGAAAATTTTTGGATTGATGATAAAGACCAATTGTTTTGTTTGCTTTTTTAACAAGGAAAATATATGCTGCAAGAAAGATGGAAAAAGCAGTATGTAAGAGAAGAAAATAACTTTGAGTTTTTGAATTATGATCACTTTTACACAAAAAGCTCACAGATTTAATAAAAAAAATTCATTTTAAAGTCATTTGCACCTCTAATTTATTTTAAAGTACCAGACTGAGAGTATGCTCCTTCAAGTTAATTATCTTTAAATATAATTATCTTTCTGTGAGAATTAAAGAAAAGAACTCGATAGCTGAAATCTTCCAGCAGGGCAGTGAGCGCAAGTGCAGATAATTTTTTATCTATGTTTTTTTTTATTTATTATTTTTATACTCACAAATTATAATACAGTAAAACCTCGCTACAACAATATTTTGCGGACCAAATAAGAATATTGTTGTAGAGGGATATATTGTTATATCGAGGGCCCACATAATTCTGGGACGCAATAAGATTTTTTGAAATTTAATGTTATATATTCATTAACTATAAATATATNAGAAAATAATGTTGAAATTTGAAAAAAAATCGTTTTACAGAGGTTTACTGCTTCAGAGAATATCGTTATATTGAGAGGAAGATAACATTAATCAATATGCAAGTTTGGCGGGACCGCGGAACATTATCGTAATAGAGGGAGTTATTGTTGTATCGGATATCGTAGTAGCGAGAGTTCACTGTATTATATTTATCAAACAACCAAATAGAAGTAAAATTGCAGCGATTCCTTTTTAAAACAACTCTAAACCTGTTTCGAATAAAAATTAAAAAGCTGAATTGAGTGAACTCTACAAAAAACAAAAGAAAAAGCATTTTTTTTTCTACTTTTACTTGATTACCAATTTAACAGTACATGGATTTATTCCATTATTTTTTTTAGTATCATTTTAACATAAAGTTTCTTAAGTTTAATTTAATAGTTGTTTAATGCAATGTTTAATTTAATAATTGTTTAGTGCAATCTTTAATTTAATAGTTGTTTGATTTAATAATTAGAAATATATATGCAAAAACAAAAACAAGCATTTTTAGTACTATTTTTACAGCATATGTGTCAAACTTTTTTGTTAAACATATTTCTGCTATATTATAATTAAAACTTTCTTAATATTTGTAAGGATTTGAAGGGTTAAATGTAGTACATATTTTATTAATTCGATCAATATATATATTTTTTCTGACGTCGACGAATTGGCCGCATCGGCCATTTCCCTTCAAGAAGCCCAGTATAGAGTAGCCTTTTGTCAATGATCAAAGAATTAGTAATGCTGTTCAGAGATGGACAAACTGCTAAGTCATTAAAATTCATGGCCTCTCTTATGGAACACAGAGGGCAGTCAGAAGAGTCAGAAATGCCTATAAGGTGAAGGTGATTCTGAAGATAGTCATATCCACTTGCTAACGAACATGACTATTTTAAAATTTGCTGAGAAAATCTGTCTGGGGTGGTCCATGGGGACGGAATAAAGAATAAGGATGGACCACATTTTTTAACAAATTTATTTGTGGCTCAGACAATAGTGAAAGAAATCTGATTATAAGGAAGGGCAAAAGGAGGCTGCGCAAGTCAATATCCTTGTTTGGCCAGTCAATCTTATCTCTCTATTCAGGATAAATTGCAAGAGATGGAAATCTATCGGAAGAAAAATCACCTAGCTATCGTTGATAAGTTCGACGATTTTGCTACCTCTACAAGTTTTGACTGGCTTCTTTGAAAAGAGCAAAGTGAATCATATATAAAGCAAAAATTATAAACTTAGATAAAATAATCAAAAACTTATATAAACTATTATAATTGAATTGAAGAATTAATACATAAAATAAAAGAAAAACACTTACTTTCAACAAGAACTGTTGGCTTTGTACCATTGAAAAGTACACTGTTTATGGTGCCCCGCTGTATATCTGAATAAAAAAGACGTTGGCCGAAATAGTCGAAGGATAAACCAATCACGTTCCTCATGTGAATTTTGTTACTAATGCTGGGGAAAGGTGCATTGGGATTTTTCTCATCAAACATGTGGATGCTGTCGATTTTAAGTACTCTTGAAAACATTATGAATGCCTCATATGCTAAAATTATAAATATTTATTTTTTAATATTAAATGGAAGAAAATGAAACAATGTTACAAAATTACAAATAAGTAAAAATTGCTATTTTATCTTTCTCAATATAAAGTGTTTTATTACTTAGCTGTCCACTGAAAAATTTACTACTTTATTATTCCACAACAATTTTTTTTAAACGATTTAATTTTTTAAAGAAAATAAGATTTTTGGAAAAAACCTGTTTTAATGATAAATTTTTCTAAAAAGTTTTTGAAAAAAATAACTTAAATTTTTTATTTAATTTCAAATTAAATACCATAAGCCAGAACCTAGCATACTTGTAGATAGTAGTGTAAGGCATAATCATTTATTTATACAGACATACTATGTAAACAAAAAGAAATAGCAAAAACTGAATACAGCATTATTATAAAATAAATGATCTATAACAGCTTGTCATTCTTTACTAACCACTTCAAACAGAAATGTCATTAAAAAAATAGCCTAATTGCTATCATTATTTCTAAAAGATTTACTATTATTATTTCTAATTATTCATAAAACTAATAATATTATATATGTTGCATACGTTTGCATGAATGTCCATCTTCAGCTAATTGGCCGTGAGAACAAGCACATGTGTAAGAATCATTTCCTTGATATAAGCATAAGTTGGATTCACATTGGCCAGAACTTTCACAAATACCTTTTTCACATTTTCTAGTACAAGGATTGCTTTCTGCACAAAAAAAGTAAAACAATATTAAAAGAACATAGCAGCATTTTTTAAAAGTTATATTGAGACATCACATAAAAAAGTTAAAATAAAATATTCAATCATTTTTACTGGTTTATTCTCATTTGTCTAACAATGTGTCTAAATTATTCATAAAGGACACTCTTGCGATTTCTGATATGATACTCATCAGATTAAAATAAATATAGTTTTTATTATTATTCAATTTTTCTTTTTTACATAGCATAAAAAAAATTTTCTTTCTAGCCTAATTATGTACATAGATAATCCAACAAATATTATTCTCGTCTAACTTAATATCTTTCATGTCTAACGTTAGAATTAACTTAAAAGTTACAAAAACTAAAAATTATTAAGTTAGGAGGCAGAATTTGCCAATGATTATAAGATTCAAACAGAGCATAGAAAAAATAAGAAATCATTGTAATGGAATATCTATTGTGTTAAACTTAATTTTATCATACTTAGACATTTTTCACATTGCATAAAATCAATGTCTTACATGTCTAATTTAGGTATTATGAATGTGGATAATACAACACTGACTCCAGTTATCTGCATCATCCTTCTTAACTAAACAATTTCCCCCAAGTGAAACCTGAATGTGAACCCCAGTGAAGTGAATTTAACTTGGTAATTCCTTTATAACTGTTCACACAGAAAATAATAAGTTATAAGCCTAAGGATTATTAACAAATGTGCGTAAATATATAAAGCAAAGTCCCGACTCGTCACTAATTCACCCAGTAATTATTGGGGCAATTATAAATAATTAGTCCATTTGAAAATATGCTAAATGACTTGTTCCCAACAATTACCAACTATACCTTATTATAGAAATTATTATCTTATTATAGAAAAATAATAAGTTACAAGTCTATGGATTATTTACAGATCTGTATACATAAAATGTAAGGCCCAGACTCATTAACTGATCACTTACTCTCCCAGTAATTACTGGGGGTATTAGAAATAATTAGCCTTTGATATTAAACTAAATAACTTGTTACCACCAATTACCCCCATGTTTATGGCAACAGGTTCTTTGTGGCATCTCTACCACAAAGAGCTGATTTAATGTGCAGGTGAACGATTATGTGTAACTGAAAAGCGGTAAGTTTCCATGGGTGTACTGAATTACTACATCAGGCGCATCCCAGTTAAGTTTCTAACCCTCCAATTTGCACTCAAAATACTAATGCTGAGGATTGAAAATGCTGTCAAATATAGCAACTTGGTGCCACGAAGAAGTAATTTTGTGTATAATAAAGTCAACATGGAACCACGAAGCAGGCAGGGAGTTCATGAAGGAAGGCCAGCTGGTAGCGCAGGCAGCTAATTTTGTATAAAATGAAACTTACCCGACAACTTCTGTGGATGGTAAACCACTAAATCTTTCAAGGAATCTTCTAGCTGGTGCTTTATAAGATCTCTATTTTCTCCATTTTTATCAACTTTAAAAATGGCACCACCAGATTTTTGACTATAGCAAAATAAATAATGACAAAAATTAAAAAACTATAATAATACTGCATTATATTTGATTTTAAGTGTAAAAAAATAATGCAGAAGTAAAAAAACCATGCTTACATCTCAGTCCAATAGACATGGCCCCCATAAATTGCGACAGAGACAGGTTTTTCAATAACATCTTGCCCAACTACAACCTCTCTCTGACTGCCATCTAGGTTGATTCTTTCAATAGTACGGGTACGCATATCTGTCCAGTACAGTTTATCATCTTCAAAATCAATGGCAAGATCTTGGACTAACTGGAGAGAGGAATTTATTAGATCTCTCCTATTACTACCATCCAATGCTGCCATTTCAATTTTAGGAGGAATTTCCCAATCACACCAGAACATTAGCCTAAAAATATTCAAATTTATATTTGAGAAATATAGTTGTATTTAACAACACTATATTACAACCTAAACTGGTATTTTGTGTTTACAATAAATTTTTCACAATGCAAAACTTGGAAATGATTTATTTTATTTCAAAATTTTAAATGAATGTATTCACTACAGAAAGGCACAGTTTATACATCTTTGAAGAGACCAATGTAAATTGGTGTATAACTGAAAATTACACGAATGAATAGAAAATCATATTAAAAACAATAAGTTTGATAACATAATAGCAACATTAATTTGTCACTTTTATTTTATTTCATAACCGGCATTGAACAGCCGATCCAATTCTGAACAACTACCAACGTTCAACTCTATAACCTTGTAATTTTTAACCCAACTCAAAAGACAAGGGATCTCGTGATTAAATATCAGAAGAAACTGGCCTTTGTGGAGGACTTTTTCTATGGAACTAACCTGTGTTTGCAATACATGGAGAGGATAACCACAAAAACCTCCCATGGTTGACCCGACAGCAGAGGAAATCTAACCAATGATCCGTCAGCCTTTGGGGATATCTTACATCAGGACTGTGGTAGTAGTAAGCCAGATGCAGAATTCATAACAACCAGTCATCGCTGGGATTCGAACCTGGGTCTCCAAATTGAAAGGCAAGAGCTCTATCCTCTGGTCCACCACAGCAATTAATATTATTGATACGCAAAACAATAGTGATAGGATAATAGTAATTAAAATTAAAAACAAAACATTTGTCACAGAAGTGAAAAAAATAAGGTCTTAAATTCGCATATTATGTACATACACAATTTATTCCATACAGGTAGCACCCAATATCATAATTAAGGAAGAAAATGAAGTTGAAATTTTTAAGAAAATCGTTTTAAAAGGCTTATTGCTTTAGAAAATATCACAATTTTGAAAAGGCAGGGTAATATTTAATCACATGTAAATTACCTGGGACCACAAAATACTTTTGTAATAGAGGGAGTTGTATCAAATATTGTAATATTGTATTGCTTACTTATGAATGTGTTAAGTTTCCGAAAAGATGCGTTGCTTGGTGCATATTTTATGATTAACATAATAACACTTACTTTTATACGCTAAAATTTATTAATAAAGAAGGTGTAAAAACTTATGTGTATAACTTAAAACTTACCCTTTAGAGGGATGAACGACTAAATTCTTTGGTTTTGACATTTTACCAGAAACTACAACATATCTGTTGCTTCCATTCAAATGTGCCACTTCAATTGCACCCAAAGAAGCATCAATCCAGTACATATTACCTGCAACATGATAAAAATTAATTACGTTTATTTAAAATTTAATTTGAACAAATTTAAATGTAAGTCTAAACATAAGTTAAACATTGATATTGAGGATAAATCATAATATATTTTAAAACAGTATCAAGCGTGAAATATTTAAATCTCGAATCCAAGTATTTCAATGTAATTCTTGCGTTGGATTATGATTTGTAGAAAAAAACTTGCTTTAAGTAGTTATAAAATTTATTTCAAATAAAGCTAGACATAATCTTAAGTCAAGAACACCAGCATGAATTCCAATGCATAATTTTTAACATAAAAATAGGATTAGAGTGCTCTTTCGAGTTTTTTCTGTGTTTGATAAAAAAAGGGGGGTTGGAACAAACTTCCACTACTTTCTTTCAATGCTGTCTAGAATTTCAGAGGAATAATTATTTTCATCAACCCTCTGAGTGTTAGTTTTTTGGAACTTTCAATTAGTGTGTTACACATAAATTTCAGTGCAATTTTGCTCATAAGCATAAGAGGGTTAATTTGTTTAATACTGGATCAAACAAATCAGAAAAATTGCGTACAATTAATCAATATTTCCTTTTGATCTTGATAGAAGATAATGTGGAACAGATTTTAAATCTAATACTTTAAAATATACTGTTGGAAGAGCATGTGAAAAAAAATTTAACTATAAATTGCGCTCTTCCTTCTACCCCTTTTGAAAGCTTCTATTGTTTTCAAATAAAAAGGTAAAAAGTATGTTTAAAACCAATTCTTTTCAGAGCAAGATTTTTAAAAATTCAATATATTGATCAAAAAGTTGCTTTTATAAAAATAATCAATGCTATGGTTGGTGATGAGCAGTGCTAGTGACAATCAATGAGTTAACTTTATAACTAATCTTTTTTTCTGTTAGAGACCATTACTAGTATGATTAGCACATAGTGCCTCCCCCAGATTCACATCAACTCTCAGGAACAAAAGGAGGTTGTGAAAAAAACTCTAAAAAATCTTATTTTGAAAAAGTTCTGACAGCTTCCAAATAAATTAGTGCAGATTTTTAATGAATAAAAAATGTCACTAAATTAAATTTCAAATTTTTTTTAGTACATTTAAGTGAAGTAGTTTGATGAGTTCAAATTACCTGCATTCCAGTCAATACTAAATCCCTCAATGGAGTCTAGACCCTTTATAACCACCTCCCGATGAGTCATGTCACGTTTTACTCTAGTAATCATACCAGCGTCACTGTCCGTCCAATAAATGTAATCTTCCGCTGAAATAATATAAGCAATCATTAAAAAAATGAAAATCAATAAAAACAAGAAATTAAGTTTTGGGTTCAATTAATTCTAATTTAACTAGATTTCTTAACTGAAAGTCGATCACTTTTTGTTCATAAAGTCTTTTTAACAAGATAAGATTAAAATAATTTTATATTTAATGAACCACTAATCAATTTCCTTTTATTATTATAATATTTTGTACAGATATATTAACAAAATACATAGTTAATAAAACAGTGAAAATGTGATTTCCTCAAAATGAAAGAATAGAGACCAGAATAACAGTTAATTAATTTTTATAGAGTAAATTGAACAAAATTTAGAGTTAATATCACTCACGTTCATAAAAATCTAAAGAGGAAGCCATGGATATACGAGACACTGGAGCAAGTACAGGATTTTCTTCAGCGGTTTTCTTTAGACCAATACCATGAATCCCCCAGTTGGAGGAATATAAAATGAATTCATTAGTCCCTGTAAAAACAAGATTAAATAAAGTCAATTAAAGTAAGACCACTTAAATTCCCATTACATATATACATTATTTACAACTCACATTACATATACAAAATTTACACATTTTATTTATACAAAAGTATTCACCTATTCAAAAAATTTTTATTTTAAAAGTGTTCTAAGTGATTAAAGACAATCTTTCAATATGCCTTCATCTCTCAATGTCTCTCTCTATGTCTTTTTAAATGGAAACTTTTCTACTCAAGAACAAGAGGAAGACTGAAAGAGAGATGGTTGGACGATAAAAACAAGGATCTAACCACTTTGAAGGTGAAAAACTGGAAGTTAAAAGCTGAAAACAGAAAGGTTAGGATCGATATTGCTCAGTCGGCCAAAGCTTAAAGTGGGCAGTAGTGCTGTATAAGTTATTAAAGACAATCATATACTAAAAAAAAAATCAGGAAAATTGACACAATTATTTATTTTACAATTATGGTTTCAGAGAATAAAATTAAATTATTACAAAAGTTAAATAGTGTCTAAAATACAAATACAAAAAAAATGTCTTACCAATGCAGTTAGTTTCATTGGTGGGATCTTCATGATAACCTAGTGTGCATTTGCATACCCGCTCTATCGATGAAATAGGCAAACATATGTGAGAGCAATTTCCATTATTCAAGGAACAAATGTTGGTTCCTGAAAAAATAAGGTATTCTTTTAATAAATGGAGACGATGAAAATCACTTCTTTTAAGACAAATAAAAAATGCAATTCATACACAAAACAAAATTATTATTATTAGTCTCAATTTAATCTCAATAAGTAATTAGTCACAAATGAAATTACATTTTCCATTACAAAAACTATGTTCCAACATTAATTACACGCAAATTTACAATAATAAAACATATGTTTGATTTTTTAAATATTTCTATTTTTTCATTATAGGAAGAAAAAAAATTACTCTTTATGTAGCAGTTTACCCAACAATGAAAAATATATTTGGCAAAATTTAATCAGGATTTGTAAGAACTTAAACTAAAGAATAATATTTTATAACAAAATTTGTGAATAAATGCAACTTCATCAATTTTTTGTCAAGCTATTTATAAGAAATTGAATATAATACAAGAATAAAAACATTTTTAAAATTAAGTTCACTGAAGGAAAATTAACTGCAAATAATTTTAAGAACATAAAATTATTTCACCTAGTATTTACTCACTTCATCCTTTTTAAAATATTTCATTTGAGTTAATAGTACAGAATATTTACTTAACCAACAGAATATTTGCATAACCAGATAGCTCAAGATAATAAAATTTGCTTCATGCAAAGAAACTGCATGCAGCTTCACCAAGTTTTCGTCAAGATATTTACAAGAAATTGAATATCATACGAAAATAAAAGTTACATTTTAATATTTATTATTATTTATTAAGAAAGTTATATTTTAATATTTATTATAATGATTAGGTTTAAAAAATATTTTATCTGCTCTTGAAATTCAAATGTTAATCTATATTTTTTTTTAATTTGCAAAAACTTAAGTATAGCAGCTAAAAACAAAATATTATTTAATTTGTTAGATTCAACTAAAAACAAATTTTAAAATATATTTTTGAAAACTCTGACAGAGATCAAGAAACCTTAAATAACACTTACTGTTTTGTAGCTGTTCATCGTAAACTCTAAGACCGTAGACACCATCAGTATTTTCTCTCAAAACAGTATGGTTTTCTCCAGACAACTTATCAACAGAATGAATGGCACTATCTCCAAACGTGGCATAAAGTAAAGTGTTATAGTAAATAGTAAGAGCTGATGGTTTCTGAATAAATTCTACTTTTATTGGCACTGTCTCTACTTTCATATTGTTAAGAAAGATTCTTTTGATGACATTATTTGTACTATCCACAAAATATAAACAATGTCCAGATACATCAAAATCCAAAAATAAACCTATCATAAAAAGTGAAAGATTTAAAAGTTAATCTTACTACTTATTAAATTTGTACTCTATAAATCTATTACATTAAAAACATACTTGTTGCTGTATTCAGTTTACTATCATAAGAACCAGAGAGAATAACTTCACGAAAAGTGCCATCCATTTTAGCTCTCTCGATAGCAGGATTTACATCAGCATTTCCATGATCAGACCAATATAGCCATCTAAAAATTTTTTTAAAATTAGTCCATAAGACAAATAATAAATTTTAAAAAATCTTAGTAAACTAACGATAAGATTTTTATATACCAGGGCTGTTTTTTAAGTAAGGGCCATTTTGTCATATACACTAATAGGTGACGTGTGTGTCGCAACAAGTACTTGTGTCATATCCTAGCATTCCTTGGGAACAACTGTGCTCAATTACAGCTGTGTAGGTAACCTGTACGGTCAGTTCTGTGTCTTTAAAATGTTCAAATTTAACAAATACTTAGGTACGGTCAGTGATGCATTTTTAGTCGGCAAAAAACCTGTCCGCTGCATACATTCACCGGCAGATTTGATATGTTGATAAGTTTACAAAGCTTCCTACTGACATGCTGCCAGAAACTTTTGCTACTATATGACAATGACTCTCTCCACATCTCAGTTCAGAGCTTTATTCATCTCTTTTACCTGGGAAGTTTTGGACCACCCCTCGATACAGTGCAGACCTTGTGTTAAGTAATTTTAATCTTTCCAGATGTTTCAAACATCATTTTGGTGGCAACCAGTATAACGATGACGTGAAATTAGTCGAGACCTCTTGTTTATCGGAGCAAACGGCAAGTTAGTATGAAGAGGGAATTCTAAATATAGTTGTAAAGTACAATAAGGTTTAAGCAAACTTAGTAACTATTTCGAAGAAAAAAAACAACAAAGAGAAACAAATGTAGCATTAAAAAATAAATTTGCTTCATGAAAATTTTTTTTCCTTTGGTTTTTATTTTCAAATGGCCCTTACTTAAAAAACAGATCACAGAATATTAAAAAAAAAAAAACTAAGGATAAACTTAATATGGTTTGATGAAATAATTTACCCTTCAAAAGGATCAACAGCAAGTGAGCGTGGATTATGTAGATCTTCATTAATAATATTGACAACATATTCTCCATCTAAATTAGTAGCAATAATTCTTCCCCCGGTCTCAAGCGCAGAAGATGAAACAAAAAGATTTCCGGAAGCCCAGTCAACGGCAAAACCATCAGGATTTTCTAATACTATAGAAACAAAGTAATTTTTTTTATTTACTTCAAAACAAAATCATGTATTCAACAGAACTGTAAATTATTCATAAAACATCTTATAAAATAAATAATTCTAAAATAATAAATAAGAGTTTGTTTGTCTGTCTGTGTCTCTTATAACTCTAAAAATGTTTGTTCTTTGATCTTGAAATTTGGAGAGTGGTGGAAAAGAGAAATTTTTTTCCCATTCTTAATATCGTTCAAAAATTTAAATTAGATCATTCGAAAGACACATTTCAAAAATAGAATTTTCTGTTTGGTTTAGTATTAAACATTGTTAAACTATAAATGATTCTATTTTTTCAAATATTTTAAGATAACACCAGTGATGTTGGTAGCTCATAGCTCCATTTAATAAAAAAAAAGTTTATTGCATATTCTTTAATATTTAACTATTTTTTAATCATTATGTTAGAGAAACTCGTTGTTTAATATATATACATGGTAGCATAGACAGACTATGTCACCAAATTAATGAATCTAAAATTAACTAAAACCACACATTTAATTTATTTACAGTTATACATTAATAACGTGTTTCTAAAAAACTAAAAAGTTTAAAATAAATGGTAATCAAAATAAAATAAATAAATTATGACTTGAAAAGCAAAATAAAGAAAGAAATGGTACTAATCATTTTTGGACAAACTAAAAAAATCTCCATGCTAATATTGACACCAATGGTGCTTAATTAAATTTAGTAACAGGCATTTATTGAAGTAAAAAAAATAAGCTATGTATTGAAACACAAAATTAATTTTAAAATATTACTTATACATTTAGGGAAACCTTAAAATACAACCATAGTTTCAATCACCATTAACCAAATCAATTAAAAATAAATTGACGCCAATGAAGTTTTATTAATTTTGGTAAAAAGTACTACTGATAATTGGTGCAGTTTTAATACATATATTGCTTAATCTAATAACATAAAGTCACTGGGAAAGGCAAAAAATAATAGTAAATAAAAAAATAACTATTTTAGCTACAATAATTGTTTCAGTATATGTTTTTCAGCTTTGCGCATTTGTTGTTTCAGTACTGATTTATTCATTATTTACTTTTTTTTACCTCTGTTCAAAAACCAGGTATTCATCTAACTGCTTAATAAATAAAAACAAACTCCTCTAATTTTTAAACTTATGAGAAAAAAATATTTAATTTTGTACCTGTATCAATTAAAGTTTCAACAACTGAACCAGACAAATTTGCACGTTTCACTTCATTTAAATCCAAATCAGACCAAAATATTTGATGCCTAGAGGCAACAAAGTCTATTTGATAAACTTTCATAACCTAAAAGAAAAAAAAACAAATAAACTAAAATGAGACTACAAAAAATAGTTTACTTTTGTTACATTTTAAAAAGGTTTTAAAAATATCAAAAAAATTCAATTGTTTTAATGGTAATTAAGAATCTAAATATTCAAATATTTACTTTAGGTAAACTAATTGGTGGTATCATATTGTAATAAGGCATAGTGAGTTCAACTCCTCTAATTTCATTCTGACGAGTAAAAAGCAAAACTTTTTCATTTTCTGAAAAGAGAAGAAAAACTTAATATGAAAGATTTTTCTTTTTTAAAATGAGAAGAAATATTAAAAAAGTTAAACATACTGTAACAAGTTTTCTTGTCTGCTGCAAGACTCATAAGATGAGGGCAATCACAACTTCGAGCATTGTTAAAACTGAGAAGACAGAGATGTGAGCAACCACCATTGTTATCCTTGCATGGATTTGTAAAGTTACCTAAAAATATGGTAATTTAAATTTATTGTTTTTCTATAGTTTCCAAAAATGGGAAAAATTAAACAGATAATTCAAACATTATTTAATTCTGAATTAATACCATCAACCATATCAACTTAGAAATACAATTTATTTTGAAATTACCATTTATAAATATTTCTTATTACATGAAGAGTAATAAAAGTTCAGGAGGGTTTTGTTTTTTAAAAACAACTAAAATAAATTATTAAAAACTATAATTTACATTACTCAGCCATAAAACCATAATCTTGATTATAAAATTGTAATAGTTGCTTCTCTGGTAATGTCATATTGCTTAGATATAGATGGTTTTATCAGCAATTTTAGAGTCAAAGAGAATAAAAAAGGTGACATTAAAAAAAATGACATTTAATTTTTTAAACAAACACATAATACCTCAATAAATTTTTTCAATCTAAAAATTAAAATTAATTTAAAATATAAGAGTTTTACATAAATAATATAAAATTGAAATATAATAAAAATGTAATTTGCATGGAAAATTATTAACCTGCTGGTTGTCTGGAAGGATGATAAACTATAATATCAAATGGTTGTGTGATAGCTCGCTGAACTACTCTTACATCAGTTCCATTCCATTTATTTGCCTAGGGAAAATAAAATATAATGTTACTGTGATAAAGAAATAAAATCTTTAAAACTTTATAATACACTAAAATTCCACACAAGTCCTTAAAATTATGAAGAAATAAAAAACATATTATAGCAACATTCCCTAAAATAATTTTTTTCTTCTCGTAATATTATTATATATGTATTTTGTTGCAAATTTTATAAAAATTAAGAATGAAAATTTCTAGAAAATATAACTTAAGTACTTCAATGAATAACTGTATTTAGTTATGTAAAACTGGAGAGTGATATGCATAATTAAAACAAAAAATAAATAAATATCAAAGCTAAAAACTATTTATTTTGAATTTTGTTAGAAAGAAAACAAATATCCAAATAGAGTCTCAATTCTGAAAAATAATATGGATCATCATTACTTAAAAATAATTAAAAATCACATGTGACCAGAATTTAAAATGAAAAAACTAGATAAATTAAATAAAAAAATACCCTAACTATAATAGAAACATATAAAAATATTATCTTAAGATATACTATTAGACTATTATCATTAAATTTAATTAAGATCATTACTCAATTATGAAATGCTTAGAAATATAGTTACACTTATATTATATACACAATTATTATATACACAAAACCTGTCTTTCTCAAAAATATTATATTCATACAGTTTTACAAATATGGGACTTGCAAATTAAGACTTGATAAAGAGCCATTATTTTACATTAAACTGTTCCTTAGCATTGCACCAAAGAGAAACAAGACAAATTTCTGAAATTTCCACTTAAATAACAGCACAATACATAGAAACATATCATTATCTACATGAAAATTACAGGGTTTTACACTAAAACACTTTTCTGGATTTTTTGAAAAAGTGGTTTATCATTATACTGCTACTAGTCCTTTAAATATGCATTTACAAAATTAACAACTATATACAATTCAAAAAAAGAATTAAAAAAATTAAAAAATGCAAAGACTTTTAAATCATAAATACCAAAAAAATTTCATTTCACTTTAAAAACTTTTAAATGCTCTTAATTTATATTTCATTCAATTCGTTTTTAAAATTAAAAAATAATTTTTAAAAATATCAATATTAGAATGACTAAACAAAAATTCAATTAATACTTCTTACCCTCAAAACAGAGTTTGTTCTCCAATCTGTCCAGTACACAAAATTACCGAATAATGCAATACTGAAAGGGTGTGAAAGACTTTCGTGACTGCGGAGAACTTCTCTGTGATCTTTTCCTTCATATGTGATGGTATGGATGGAATCAGATCTAAAATACAATGATCTATCACTCAAAAATTCCAGAAAAAAACGGAAGAAAGGAAAGAAATAAAAAAAAAGAAAATAATAAGAAAATGAAAGTGATCTATATTTAAACTTATAATTATAATAATAATAATTATTCAAAATTTAACAATAATATATAATAAAATTAATACATAATAAAATTAACACATAATAAAATTAACACATAATTATTATGCTTATAATTTAAAAGCATTATCTCTTTCCATATGATTCAATGATAATAAAAAAGAAATTGTTTCTTTTATGTTTTTGTTTCTTCCCCCAAGCTTAACTCACGAGGAGTTAATGAAAACTAGTATGAATTATCTTAAAAGGTGCATAATTTCTGGAGGAAAAAAATCTGTACCCATAGGTCAAAAATTTTTTTTTAAACTTTAAAACAAATACTTTTTGCAATTATTTATTAATAGTCTATACAAAATGCTACCATCAAAAAATCTACATTGGACAGATAAAACAAAATACACAATAATTAGAAAGAAAAAAATATGTAAGCAAATATTAACCCAAAAACTTTAGCTGTCCTTGGTGTTATATGTTTAAATACAAAGGTTTTAATTAGAATGCATATGATATTGCAGAAAACCTTAAAACGCTATTAATGACATTTATAAAAATATGCCAATTTTCAAATTTAATTAAGTTTTGCTACTTTTTCAAGTAATTAATTAAGCAAATAAAATCTGGTATAACTTTCAGAAACAACTTAATTCAAAAAATAATGGGAAAAAATTCTTTTAAAAGAATTAAAATAATCAAAAATATGATGCAAACTATTTACAAAAATTTTAAAACATTTTAACAAGCATAACGCTTGATCATCATGAATGAAATATAAAACCATGAAAAATTTATTGCATCATTAAATTTCCATTTTAATGAAAACTATACCTTGCATCTATCCAATAAACACGTTTAGCAACATAATCTAAAGTCAATCCATTAGGCCAAGCTCCATCTGTAATATCATCTACCCTGCATATTACAGAACGATTTTCACCACTCATCGAAGCACGTTCAATACGGGGAGCAGATGTATCCCAATCAGTCCAAAATAGCATTCTAAAAGGGAAAAAATTCAAACATAAGATAATACAATTAGTATGTTTAGCAACAAGCAAAATGTAACAAATAATTGTAGATCAAAACCTTAATAAAAATTTTCCCCATTTCCCATATCAACAACACTAAACTGATTCAATGAGTGAAACATTACAGTGATATTAGTGATACATTACATAATTTGAAGAGAATGCATTAGAAAAACCAAAAACTTTTTGTGCCATAATTACACATGATAATGTGAAATATTTTTTCCCCCTCTATTATTCCATTACATATTTGAACATGTTATTCTCACTCATATTAAAATAACTGTAAAAATATCATACACACTAACCTGAAAGTCATAGCTCTCCACAATATTTAAAGTGGTAGTAAAATAACTAATAAGATTATCTTAATTTGCTTAAATTTACCAACACTTAAAAATTTTATACTATACTTAACAGGTCTTATGTAGTATTTAAAACTAATAACATATATTGGTGGTCATTAACATAGTAAGTCAAGTTAAGTAAATTAAAAATCAATTTATTACATATAATTTTTTATATCACTTCATATGTGAGAAAAAATTTTTGCCAAAAGTGGAAGAAGTTATCAAATATGCAATATCAACCTCAACAACATTGAAATAAAATAATTTATATCTGTAAAATAATTTATATCTGTAAAATAATTTATATCTGTATAATCTGTAAAATAATTTAGATATTATGGTGCTAAAATTTTAATGGAAAACACATATTTTTCACCAAAAAATTATAAAAAGTTTCAGTTTTTGTAATTATAAGTGACTGCAAAAGGCAAAAGTATTTATATTCCCTTATTTACAAAAGTAATATATTACCTTTAATAAATTTATATAGCAAAAAAATTAACTACTCACCCAAATCTCGGGTCTAAAGCAATAGCTCTTGGGTTNAAAAACTTTTTGTGCCATAATTACACATGAGAATGTGAAATATTTTCTTTTTCTCTCTATTATTCCATTCCAAATTTGAACATGTTATTCTCACTCGTATTAAAATAACTGTCATGCATGCTAACCTGAAAGTCTCATAAGTCTCCACAATATTTAAAGTGGTAGTAAAATAACTATAAAGAATATCTTAAAATGTTTATATTTACCAACACTTAAAAATGCTGCACTATACTTAACAGGTCTTATATATTATTTAAACTAATTACATATATTGATGGTCATTAACATAGTAAGTCAAATTTATTAAATTAAAAATCAATTTATTAAATATAATTTTTTATATCACTTCATATATCTAAGAAAATTTTTCCGCCAAAAGTGGAAGAAGTTATCAAATATGCAATATCAACCTCAACAACATTGAAATAAAATAATTTATATCTGTAAAATATAGTGCTAAAATTTTAATGGAAAACACATATTTTTCACCAAAAAATTATAAAAAGTTTCAGTTTTTGTAATTATAAGTGACTGCAGAAGGCAAAAGTATTTATATTCCCTTATTTACAAAAGTAATATATTACCTTTCATAAATTTCTAAGGCAAAAAATTCAAAAAATAAATTACTCACCCAAATCTCGGGTCTAAAGCAATAGCTCTTGGGTTTTCCATGTTACTAGCTATAAGTGTACGCCTATGTTCACCAGTAAGTTTAGCAACTTCAATCTGATCTAAATTGCTTTCAACCCAGTACAAGTTTTCACCAATCCAATCCACTGCCAAACCTTCAGCAGTTGCAAGACCAGTTTGAACCACTACTTCAATATTGGTAAGAGCTGAAAGACGGAGAAAATTAAAATTTTATTACATCATTAACAAATCAATTAAAAATAAAGCTATTAAAAATATTTTAAACCATAGTTATAAAATTCTTTATATGAATATGCATAATATATTATTTAACTGGATATTTAGTAGTCTGAGAGGCACCAACACAGAATGTCAATAACTTAGAAATTATATTTTATATTCATAATATGTAGCCTAAAACAAAATTATAGCAGCTGATCTGCTAGTATGACCTCAAAATGTTAAGTGCTAGAAAGCAGAAGTTTTAAAGTTTTTTTATAGACAATAGACTAAGTACAAATGTAAGGAAAATAATTACGTAATTGAGAAATAAAAATTGGTTTGTCATATTTTTGTCCACAATTTGAAAACAAAATTTTTTGATTTTGGTCAAATTCAATTTAAATACAATTAAATATAAAATAATCATTCATTCCCACAATGGTGTATTCTAAATCTAAATGAAAGGAATTCAAATAAAATTTTAAAAATTTTTTCACTATTTTAAAATGTTTCAGATATAAAGTAATTATATTTTATTTACGTTACAATACAGCAATACAATTGGCTATTGGTGACAGTCGAACTCATTCCTGAAGATGATCCAAAGACATGCCATTAAAATTTTGACCCTTGCAGAGTGGATTTAATTAGAACCAATACTGTACACCCTCAGTCCCTTGGCAGGCAGATCAAAGTGGTCTGTGATGCCTGACTACGATGATTTACTGGGAACCATGACTTATGATTAGTTCATAGTGGGATATTGCAGACATAAAATGCAGCAGAAAAAGAGTGAAATACCACTTTCATTTGTCTCTAATTAGACACCTAGCAATATGATTTTAAAACTTTTGCATTTTAACAGTTGTTACAACACAATCAGCTTGGAAGATGAAGGGTAATAATTTTTTCAGCCTACAAATTATGCAAACAAAATATTAAAATAAATATTAAAATGACAGACTTTTTTGAGACTGTATAAGCCAGGGGTATTTCCACAAATTTCTATCGAAACTTATGAATAACATGACTTCATTACCGTGTTTTAGAATTATAATGTAAGCAATAACCTTAGTTTTAAAGATATTAAATGTCTGAGGTGCCAACTTTTCAAACTAGCTATCAGTAATTAGAAGTACAATATCGTAAAAATATATAACAGTTAGCCTTTACAAAATTCAAATTGGTGCAATTTCAAAGTGTACATGCTGCTTAATTCTATGTAAGTACATAATATTAATAAAATTATGAATGAATTTACTATTAAATTTAAAAACAACAATTAGATAAATTAAAAATTAGTAAATTAAAAATTATACATCACTGAAACTTTATACTTCAGATACATTATAAAATGATAAAATAAAATTGATTATACAGAATCAATGTTCCAGTTTTTGGTGAAATTAGAATATGCTCTATTAGCCTTTAAATCCTCCTACATTTGAACCACTCAAATTTTTTTCTTACAGCATTTTGAATTTGAGTTTATGTTCTTTTGATTTTCTATAAAAAGAAAAGATTAAGTTTAAGAATAGCTTGTTGGAAGGGGTAAAGATGAGATTTCTTTGATTTTTCTATTTTTTGTTTACATCAAATCAATTTTGTTTTTATTTATTTTTTTTCAGAATTGAAAAAAAAAATACTCTAGATTAGTTGTAAACAATAAATTTTCAAAACTCTTCGTAGTTAAGGAGGAAAAAACTTTTTTAACAGATTATCAGGAAAATTCTCACAATTTTTTTTTACTCAACACAAAAACACAATCTAACAAATTTCAGCATTAATGAAAATACATCAAAATTGTTCTGAATAGTAATGAAAAATTTGAAAAAAATAATTTATACTTACACCCCGATATAACATAGCCTCTATAAATTTTATCTTCAACAACATCAGTCCAAAATATTAGATCTCCTTTGGATGAATGATAAAAATCTACTGCTACTGTATTCTGTAAACCAGATATTAAAGCTTTTACAGCCATGGATTTCAAATCAACACTTCTCAATTCATGGCGATTTGAAAATATGATATAAGGTTCAGCTGACGCTAAAAATGAAAAATAAAAATAGCATTAAAGTATTTTCAGCAAAATTAAACATTGTCAAAAAACAGTTACCTCATAAATCAATCAAATGTAATATTAACAATATTAAAACAAATAAAAATAAACAAATAAATAAAATTAAACATGAATAATTATAATTTCTTTTATAGTGACACTAGTGGAAAGCTAAATGTGTATTTGAAAATCATGTATTTTAGCCAATACTACAAAATTATTGAAAAATACAGCAAATCATCCATATTTAACTTTTTTTTTTGCAATGATAAACAATATAGCATTTAGAACAATATAGCTGTTGAACTACAAATGTAGAATGAAGTTCAAATTTCTATGAATAGATTCTGCACCCACCACAGCAGTTTCTTCTCTTATATCTCATTCTTACTCAAAGCAATGATATTGATAGCAAGTTAATAAATCTAGTTTTTTCTGTCTTGAATGGGAAATTTCATCCTTAGTCATTTATTTAGTCAACATGTAACACATTCTTGGAGCTCTTATCAGTTACAAAATTGATAACTAACAAACGATGGTGGTCCCCACACAACACTTACACCTTTAAATGAAAAAGAATGAAGCAGGGCCTTGAATAATTTATGGGCCTTATGCATGATTTCAGAATTATAGTCAGTTGCTAATTTTTTGCTCTGTTACTGATAAAAGCTTTTAAAAATCGTGTATGTGCAGTAACTCTTTATAAGAAATAATTCATGTGTTTCGAACATTGTTTTGCGCGTTATTTTTTCAGCAGCATATGAACTCTCGAGTTAAAAGTCTACTTGTGCTTGCCTTATTTTAGCCTCCTGATCTCTAAAAGCAAGAAACAAAAAAAGTTGGCAGGTTTTTTCATGCAGAAATTTTAAAAAATGTTAAGAAAACTGCTAATAATAAATATTAAAATTTATCACTTATATTAAAAATTGTTGATGCGTGCCTTTTTTAAGCGTTTTGCGGATACTATGTGAATTTGCTTATCCCCGCTTTGGGGACCCCCCAATTCCATGAATAATCGGGAGTTTACTGTACTTTAATCAAGCTTAAATAAAAAATGTTTATCCAAAGTGATTAAAGAAAATTCTTAATAGCTTACATCAAGTGATTATTTATTTGGCCTACAAAATCACAATATATTGCAAATTTGATTCAATTATGTTTTCCCCAGACATAACAGAAACAGTATTTTCCAATAAAAAGATAAGGTAAAAAGATTTATAAAAACTAAATCTAGAGTTGAGAAAGCTTTTGTAAAATCTATACTATCTACAAATGAATATTCTTACCAGTGCTTTTGCAAGTGAAATGATCATATTCCAACTGGTAACCAGGCTCACAAAAACATTTATGGGTGTGTTTCAATTGCAAACAATTCTGGCTACAAATTCCCCATTGCTCACAAGATGGAATTTCTGAAAGGTAAATACATAGTAAATTGAATTTCTAATACTAATTGAAATACCATGACAATTTTCTGAAATACCATGAGTTTTTATAGATAAAAACTGTGATCACAGAAATAGAAATTTGAACTTTTTAATAATAAAAATGTAAGAATAAATAGGACAATGAGCTTTCCTCACATGAAAATTTTAAAATGCTCATTTTAAAAAAATTAAAAGCATTTCTTTATATAAGAATCTAGGAAACAGCTTTTCAGATCAAGTGATATTACAAGAGTTCAAATTTTTATTACAATTCCATAAGTAACAAATTTGACGCGAAAGCAATTATAAAATTTTTTAAAAAATTTTATAAAATTGGTCATAATATTTCTCATAAAACAAACTTTTTTGAAAAAGAAAACGCAGCTTATTTTACATATTAATCATAAAAAATTCAGTACTGAATAAAAATACTTTAAGAAAAAGAAACTGTAAAGTACCTACACTTTATAAAAATAAAAAAATTTAACATAAATGTAATGCAAAAATTATTATTTATAGCAAGAGTTTAATTTCATTTGATCATTATTATTATTCTCTTTTGTGATAAAAAAAATTTTTTAATGTTTACTTTGATAAAGGTTTTTTAATTCTATTATTACATTAATGTAACAATTACTGCATAATACAGAGCTTGAAATTAATGATGGTTCTTAAGCCAGAGACCATTAAACTCTGATTCAGAACACCATTAAGTAATTAAAAGCAATTCTCAGACTAGAAATTGATATAACAGAATAATATGCTGTTTTTTATTATTTTTGGTTTCATGTTTTGGCCCGTGTTTTTGACACTAAATAATTTATTTTATCATAATTGCAACATTATGCATTCTCTGTATTGTAATTTCTTACTACTTCTTTTTAAAATCTAAAGCAAAGACGTAAATGGACCAGCAAAAATATTCACAGGCAAGTAATACCATTTTAGACAAAAAAGTTATACCAGTAAGTACATTTTGGAGTAGTAGTAATGTATGAACTAATAATATTATACACATTCCGACCAGTGACTAAATTTCCTGATGTTACACATAAAGATTCTTTTCTTAACAAACATAATAACATGATATTATAAATAAAAATGGTTTTACTAATCATTTTATTAATTAAACCACAAAGCTTTATTATTGAAAAAAAATACTTGAAATTGATAACGCATGGTTCATGATATTTAATAGCCTAAACAATTTTAATTAAAATAATTTCACAATATTCATTTTAAGATATATGTTATATCTTATAAAATAAAAAAAAATTGACAAAATTACAGTTTTCAAATACTAAGCCTAAAAAATATAGACATAAAAATAAAATGTTGAAAATCAAAAAGGTAATTTACCTGTGCAAGAATGGCCATCTACTGTAACCTGTAATCCTGCTGGGCAATAACAAATATGTCCTTTAGGTGTTGTCTGGCACAAATATTTGCATTCACTTAGCAAGCACTGTTCATATTCTGACCAAAAAATAAAACAAAAAAAATTAGTTAAGAAAATGAAAATACAAACTTTAGTTTACAATAGCTAAGGCTTAAACAGGGAACAAAGTTACGGTCTTAATCTTTGAGTTCTTCAGTCTCTTAATATATCAATCTCTTTTCAAAACTTTTTTAAATAACATAACTATTTTTAAAAAAATAATAATGCATTCGGTGAAAAAATATATTTACTTATTTAATCTAAATATTATTTACAGTATTTAAACAAAAATTTAATTAAATACTAGAAAAGAGTAAGAACTTAGTAATCATCTGAAAGAAATTTTTAAATATTAGCTCATTAATTAATAATAATGAAATTTTATTTATTAATTTTGAATGTAATTCTTCCAATTAAGTGTTAAAAAATTTTATAACAAAAAAATGGTATTATGCTTATATTAAACAACATGAAAAAATTCTTTGCACGCTTCAAGATAAGCAGTTTAAAAACAAAAGATGGTAATACAGAAATGGTTCTCATACTTTTAAAATTATTTTGAAACAAGATTGTCATTGAAACTACACTATTATTTAAATATAGTAAAATCTTTATTATTTACAGTCCGGTTCTAGGACAGAATCTTAATCATTCAGTAAATACAATTTGTAAATACTATGTCCATAATAAAGAAACAATTGTAAATGCAGGAAAATTCTTAACACGTTGACTGACTGTACATTGCAAAAGATATTTGATCTGTATGGTATGGAGGAAAAAGAAAATGCTGATTTCATGACTAAGAAAACTGCTACAGTTTTCAAAAAATTTACAATAAATAATATATTTAAAAACTTACAAACATACTTCAATAATGCAAAACTCCTGATTAAATTATAATTCAAGAGGATGTTTACCTCCTACCTAAGCTAAGAGGTAGGCTTGAGAGTGTCTCGCAAGTTCAAATCCTGCTGTTACAGATTTCTCTCATCCTATAGCAATGACGTTATTTTGTCTTTCAACTGGACATGATGGCTTAAATGCCCATCTTTTTTTTAAATTGGTCTGAAAGACTCTTCTGGTTGCACTCTTTGTAACTTTGGACAACTTGTGAATTGTGTGTGTGTGTAAATATATATATATATACACACACATAAGAAAGAAAATATGAAGAAACTCTACTTACCACACTCGCCACCCTCGTCAGATCCATCTTCACAATCAGCAGTGCCATCACAAAACTGGGTAACGTTTAAGCAGCGAGTTCTGTTATCACAAGAATGACTGGGGAAGATGCAAGGAGGATTTTCTTCACCTGAAACAGTGAGAACAATTTGGCAAAAGTAATATAACAAGATATATTTGTACTATTCAGCTTTGCTAATAGCTATCACATTTAAATAATTTAACCCCTACTTTAAAGGTTGTACTCTTGAAAAATGTACAAAATAAAGCCCCCCCCCCTGATTATCAGACATTTTCTTTTTTTTTTTTAATTACTGCTACATCAGATAATCATGATTCTATTGTTGTAAACGAATTACTAAAAGGAAGAAAAAAATTAAAATATGAAAATAAATATTTAATTTTTAATTAATAAACATAAGCAGGTAAATGGCAATTAATTACAATTTTAGATATTTTATATTGTGTAACATTTTACAACCAGCATTGAACAGCAGAACCAATTCTCAGTTTATGACTATCAAAGTTCAACTCCATAGCCTTGTAATTTTGAACCAAACACAGAAGACAAGGGAACTCCTGGATCAAGCAATACGACAAACTAGTTTCCGTGGAGGATTTTTTTGATAGAACTAATCGCATTTGTGCTACATGGAGAGAAAAACAAAAGACCTCCCGTGATTAGTTTGAGGGGAAAAGATTCTAACCAATAATCCCACTGAGAGTATTTCAGCCAGCATTGTGGTCCGTGCGAGCTGAGAGCAGAATTCTTATCAACCTGCCACCACTGGGATTCTAACCTAGGTTACATCATTGGGAGGCAAATGCTCTATCCCTTCAGCTATCATGGCTCAATTTTATATATTACCAACAACAAATTAAAAGCAACTTAAATGTTTCAAAAAAATTACCACAATTTTTCTCATCTGATTTATCCTCACAATCAAACTGGCCATCACAAACGAAATTGCTCAGAATGCATTGATCCTGCGAAGCACACAGGTGTTCATTTTCCGCACAGGTAGCATTACCTAGACAAGAAAAGGTATAAATGAATGCTAAAATATGTAGACTTTTTCGAATATGTGAAGCAAATGAAACAGCATATTTAACACAATATTTAATGATGATCTTAATATTGTTATTAAATAAAGAAAAGTTCTAACTAAGAATGAGCAATAACTGTTAAAGTAAAAAGAAATTTCTATGTAAAATTTTAATTCTCATTAGCTGAAAGAAGTGCTGAAGTTTATTATAAAGTCCCGATATATTTCTCATTATTTAAAAATTTAAAAAAAATTTATACAAAAATTCTTTTGATTCAAGGTAAAAAAAAATATATTAAAAATATATAGTATTAAATTCCTCTGAAATAAAATAAATCATCTCTAAAAATATATTTATTTTGACATTCCTCTGAGCAAGTATTGTCTCTGCAAATTTCAGCCTTCATGTGCCACATTAAATCTCGGATTCAAGTGTGTTCAGGCTTAAAAAATTCTATCTTGGGCAAAAACAGCCGAAGCACCTCTCTAATGCAAAAATCAAATTTATTAAAGTTAGGTTTAGAGGTAAAATTCGACAGTGTTTTTTACATGTTACTGTTTAAGTAAATGATGAATTCCTCATGCATCAATAAAAGAAAAAAAGTTCCACAACATTATTCAAGAGTCCATGATAATTTATTAACTTTTAGTGAATCAAATTTTTTGCTAAAATAAAAAATAAATAAGAGGGAAACAGAGCACTTAAGTTTAAATAAAATGCATTATATTGTAAGGTTTAAATAAGTCACTGTAAATTTTTTGCTCACTATCTTTTAGAAAACAATATTTAAATCAAAAAATAAAACAGTTTTTCTTAGGTTCTACAGCTGCATAGTTTTTATGGTAAACAATAGATAGCATTGGAATATGTTTTAATTATAAAAAAATAATATTCTCTTTTCCAGAAAAGTAAAAAATAAAAAGTCTTGTGTTTCTTCAAATGAATATTAAAATGAAAATATAATTTATAAGTGCTTACTGCAATTGCTCTCATCACTTTTATCAGCACAATCCCATCTTAAATT